CTCTCTCTCTCTCTCTCTCTCTCTCTCTCTCTAATATTTATATAAATATATAGGTCAATCTGTGTTTTTGTGGAGGGGAGTGTTTTGGTGCATGGTGGCTGGAGGTGTCATCCTATCTAAAAACAAATATTACTTGATGCTTTTTAGCCCTATGGACAAAATGGTTGTCATCGCTGCGGTGTATGGAGAATGTATGAATGACTAGGAGAAAAAAAAATTAAAGGTACAACTTTTAGGGCACTGAAACCTCAAAATCAATGACTTCACGATATTTGGTAGAATAGTAAAAAGAGTGTTATCTTCAGTTTTATAACTATGAACCGAGTAATGGAGTCTTCCACAACTTTCCTGAACCATGGCTGGCGATTGAAAAGAGAGCCCCCTCCATACACACACCACCACCACAGCTACCCCCGCGCACGCGCGGGCACACACACACACACACACACACACACACACACACACACACACACATACAAACAAACAAACAAACGCACACATTCACACAAATACGTGTTAGCACACATACAAAAAAATGCTTGTATTCATTCGTACTCTCTTTCATATGGAGTAGGCTATGCATCTTATATTATGCTTTATACTAATAATACTATCTCACTTTGCGTCCATTTGATTCAGATTCATGCAGAGATGTGTTTTTCTGTTCTGTTTCAGATTGCAAGGAAGACGCTTCGGGTTCTGAAGGACAAGATGGTGCCCGCAAAGAAAAAAGAAACAGGAACCGGAGGAAGAGACGTAGAAAAAAGCCCCGATCTGGTCCTGAGATAAGAAAGAATAATAAAAAGAGAACCAAAAATGGTGATTCCACGAAGAAAAATGACAAAAAAGTTCCTCGTAGACGTCCAGATATAGACTACAGTGACGACAATGGAAGCAGTACCAAACGCCAGCCAAGTGAGCCCGATATCGTGGTGGAATCGGCTGAAAATACAGAGTCCGAATCGCCAAGCGAACAGGAAGACCTGAGCAAAGAGAGGACAGGCAGTGCACGTAAGGACGAGACTCGGAGGAGAAATAAGAAGTGGGATCCGTCAGCCTTGAAAAAGGCGCGGATGGACCTTAGAAGGCGACAAAAAGGCTCAAAGAATAGGTCTCCAAAAATTGTTGATACTACTCCAAAAATTGTTAATACGACTCCAAAAACTGTACAAGAGGTCAGAATAAAAAGTAAAGACAAACAAAAATATAAAAATGTCTCCTTTCACTTTGAATTTCCTCCATTTGAAAGACCAGTAGCTGATATGCCTGAAAGTGATAGAAAAATTCTCAAATATTTGGCACTGCAGACAGCTAGATTGGATCTCCGCCGCCGCTTTGGTCCCAACAGCAAATACAGAATGGAGTCTGTAGTAAAGAAAAAGAAAAAGCCTACTGGGTCTGTGGCTGATACACGACAGGAAAGTAAAAACGCCACATCTCAACAACATGATATGGGGACGGTTGCTGACGTGCCTTTCAAAAGCACAAAGAGACTCAAATTAGCAGATCTCTGGAAAGCAAGGGAAGACCTGCGAAGACGTCATGGCTTTAGTTCAAAAGATAGAAGAAGGAACAAGAACAAAAAACAGCAAGAGCACAAGCAGTCAAGTTCATTTCCCACCGAGAGGCCAGCTGCTGATATGCCTTCTGAAACTACAAACAGACTCCAGAAACTGGCTGATCTGAACAAGGCTAGACAGGGACTGCGGCAGCGTCAAGATTCTCAAGTTGAGGACGACTCAAGAGATGTTGATTTAGTCAAGGATCAGAAAGATGACAAATCAAAGCGTAAAAAATCAAAGAAAAGTAAGGCAGAACTTAAATCAAAATCGAACAGAAAAGGCAAATCTAAGAAGGATAGAAAAAATCGTAAGTTACTTAAAAGTCATACTGGTAAAAATCGTAATGGGCGGCGACGGAACAAAGGCAGAGGAAGGGAAAGGAAGCGGAATAAGGGGAAGAGTAACAAAGACTTAGAGGTGGACATCTACAAACAGCCACTTTCTGATATGCCTGCTCCAAAGACAGATGAGAAACTGCAGAAATTGGCGTCCCTTCGTAGAGCAAGACTGGACCTACGTAAGCGACTGGGATCTTCTGAAGAAGATGAAAATTCTGAGACAAAACTTTCCATAAGCAAGAAGTCCAAGCGCAAAAGAAAGCATAGAAAACGGAAAGGCAGAAAAGGGAAAGGTAGAAAAGGGAAAGGGAAAAAAGGAAAAGGTAGAAGAGGGAAATCGAATCTGACTGGGCAAACATTGAAGGAAGCAGAGAGAAAGTTTGAAAGGAAAAATGTCAAGATTGAGCGACGGTTAGATGTTTTGAAACAGAACACATTAGATGACCTAAGTGTGTTGAAGTCTGTAATATTTGACCACCACGGAGATTTATTTCCAAATAATTCTCTGTCAATAATGAACTTGGATGATAAGTTTGATTCAGAAACAGATTTGGGACTCGAACTCGAGTCTCCAGAAGAGGACCAACCATCAGAGGAAGTGCAGCCTCCTGTTGTTCGAGTCGGTGTCACAAAGATTTCGGGTAACAGTGGGGAGAGTGCAGATGATGTTAAAACAACTGATGGATCCCCTGCAAACTGGAAATCTAGTTCAAGTTCAACTGATGAAGATCCTCATGCCATGCCCCAGAGCGATGAATTTTCAGGTAATTTAATGGAAGTGAAATCTGCAACTGAATGGTATAAAGTTTTCCACCCATTTTCTGACAGAGTTAGTGTACTCGACTTTGCAAACAAAAAAGTTAGTGAAAATCAAAAGGATAAAGAAGAAAGTGACAAAAGAGCAGCAAAAATAAAAAGGATGAAGAAGAAGCGTCAACGACAGAAACAAAGACGACGACAACGAAAACTAGAAAAGAAAAGAAAGCAACAAAAACAAACCCGAAGTAAAAGAGAAAAGAAAGAGAGGGCTCAGGCTGATGGTACTGGAGACATTAACCAAAAAGTATCCGAAGTACAAGCAAGGTCTGGAAAAAGAAAGATGTCTGATGGAAAAGTGGGCAAAACAAATGGGTCAAAACCATCTGGCAAGTTTAGAATGTCAAAGTTGAAGAGAAATTCAAGGCATCAAAAAGTTTTACAGAAGTGGAAGCTGCAAAGGCAAAAGATTGATGAGTATAAGAAAAGATTAAAGCAGAAATCGCGTAAGAATAGAAAACTCAGGCAAAAAATATCGGCTCACCAGAGAAAGCGTGTATCAGGCCACAAGAGGAAAAGTCCATCAAAGCATAAGAAACGCAAATCTGATCGACAACAAAGGCGGATGTCAGCTCGGAAAAGAAAGCTTGTTACAGCCCAGAAGAAGAAACGTATTTCAACTTCAGAGTGGAAAGGTTTGTCAGTTGAACAGAAGAAACCCACTCCACAGAGGGAAAGGGTCTCAACTCGTGAAAAGGAGCATACAACTACTGAACAAAGTAAAACCCTATCATCCCCGATAACGACAGATGTGCCAGCAGATTGGAAGAGCCGTGTATCTACTCTGAATGAAGACTATTTGCCAGCCCCAGAGCAAAAAAATATTATGCCAACCTTGTCAGCTTCAGGGCAAAAAAGTAGTACTTCAACCCAGAGAAAAAATCCACTCTCAGCAGAACGGTTGTCTGTTGAGCAGAGTGATCAGACAGGCTCACGGAGGTTGAGTGGCTACCATCCTGAACCTGGACGACGTAGAGGCTACTACGCCCCCAGGGAGGATCTCAGGCTGCGGGAATGGTCATCAGGTAGATGGCGGCCGGACCCCAACTCAAAGAACAGTATGATGGCTGCTGCAGCCCCATACGACAGTGTGAGTACACTATTCTTCTTGTCTCATTACATAGCTAGGAAAGGCCAAGGTTGGTGTCTAGAGTGGATACTAATGCTCTGAAGCTGCTTAAAATGAATTCTGAAAAATGAATACCAAACCTCGCTGGATATATATATTTAAAAATCATAATTGTTGATGTTTTACGCCCTCCATCGAATCGACCCATTTTAAATAATTTAGGAACTGGGCTACTTCAACCCTACTCGCAAAGGCCAAACTCTGGCTGAGAAGGATACATGATCCCAGCAGAAAAACAAAGATACTCTATAAAAATTCTCCCCACAAAGGATTTGAACTTATATCTTCTGTATGATGGCAAAAAGCTTAATCATACACAATAGACACCAGTTTGCTGGATATGACTTATTATAGGAATACCAAATGTGTACAAAGAGACCGTACTTGTCTTTCAAGCCTCAAATCATATTTGCATGATGTAGCACAAGTGACCCGAGAGGGCGCTCTAAACCTTCCCCTTCTTTTTGTATTTTACACCTCAATACTTTTGTTTTTTTCCTTATTTCCTTCATATATTTTCATACTTTTCTCCAAGCCCTCTGGAAAACGATTCAGGAATGGTATTGATTTATCAAAACATGAAACTGGTTTCAAGACAAAAGACAATGGACACTTCATTTTAAATGATGATAGCTACACCCAAAAATACAGGCATGCAAGCAGCACAATATATTTTGGACATGTTTCAGATAATACACCCTTCCAGTCTGTACTATTTCTTTCTTTTCACGCTCTCTCTCCTTTCAGCCTGCCATTTTGATTTTTTTTTTCTTTGCTGTATGGCCATCTATGTGCCTTTTGTGCGTACCTTCAACTTAAAAAACAAACTGACCATATGTGTTCTCATTTTTATTTCAGAAACAACGAGTTTCTCCCGTACTGAATAGAAGCTACCGACAGCTAATGCTTCGCATGAATGGTATTCTCCAGGGAATTTATGGACAAATGCAAATGGTAGGTAGAAATAATTTTCATTACACTGTTACTCTTTCATTTTCTAACCTTTAGAGAAACCCTCACTTTTGAAAAAGAATATTTGCATGGTAACAAAAAATTCAAAATCTTTGAATAATATCATTGAACCTGATGGTGTAGATTTTCTGGTCTGGAGGGTAACATTGATTTTGCATTTGATTTGTATTCTGGTTTTTATATATACTGAGGTGTGTGCTGCTAAGTTTTCAATAGTAATAACATATGCTCTTTCATCTCAAGTAAAAAGGAGATGTATTAAATTAAAGTAAAATGTATCTCTTTTGGCTTTGATTGTTTTTAATTTTCTCTACGTTTTGATATTAGTTTTACTGGTGTAACAGGCTTTTTAATGTGGTAGTTTTTCTCAATGCCAGGATGTTTGAATTCTGTTCACAAGTTTGCAAGCTTCTTCAATTTTTTAACAAGAGCTCTCATTGTATGCTTTCTTGTTCGTGAAAACATTATTACATCTTAGATTTTTCATAGTGTTATTAATGATTGCCTTTATTGTAGCCTACTAGTAAAAATGTTTTCATTTTGGATTTGGATTTCAGTGGAACAATTTTTTTAGTGGTACGACAATGAAAGTATCATAGCTGTCATCTCTTTTGTTTTTCAGACAGAATCTCTGTACAAGGAAGTCTTTAATGGCACACGATATGACCTGATTCTTGGTGCCCGTGACATATTTGAGAATGTTGCCTTTGCCAACACTTACATTTATGGTACGATATTTCTGCATGTGCTGTGGTTCTTATTAAAGGGAGGGGAAGGATTACTTGATTTGTAGAACTTGCCTTCCTCTTGCCAACTTGCAAATATCATTAATATTATGTGAATTATTTTTTTTAAAACAACAGAAAAGCTAATCCTCCTAAAGTACTTCTGTTTGTGAACATGTTGCTTTGTCTTGTCTTTTTTTTGCTTTGAAGTCAATGTCTGGTTTGTCTGCAGTTCGGTCTGTGCATTTTGGCTTATTAGAATAAAAGATGCTACTTGTGAAGCTGGTGTAGTATCAGTCACATTTTTATGTTGTTCCTCGTAACTTCTATGTTCAAATATTTTATGAGCTTTTCTTGTAATTAATTTTTTAAACAAATCGACAGGGCTGGTACATTGGTTTCTATAATTGATCTATGATATTGATAGTATGAGATAACAAGTTCCAAAATTATGTATTTTAAACAGATGGAGTAGTCAAAGCCTCAGAGCTCACGAGGAGTATATATACAAAAGCCCATCATAACAGAAAAGCGAGGAGAATGAACAGGGTTCAAGATCAGCCTCAAATACCCACGGATATTCAAGTGAACCGGAGAAACTTCAAACCAATCTTGGAAAAGGCTTATCGGGAACAGAATATGATAAGAGAGGACCTACAGAAGACGCAGAGGATGAAAATGTAAGTATCTGTAAGTCAAAAGGAGTATTTTGCTTTACAAACCACTACGAATGTTTGCTATTTTTAACATTCATTTTCTGTAACATGAAAGAAAGGATCTTTGGCACCATTTAAAAAGATGGTGTGGAGACTGTTATGAAAGCTTTTTGTTTGCTTTTTATTTAGAACTATTTTAGAAAGGAATTTCTCTTCAATAGATTAATGATTTATAATTTTTTTCAGATCAATATAGTCCTTTCTTGACACTTTATCACAACAGCACCAAAGCTGTTCTGGTTGAAATGCTACAAAGGCCTAGATTTATCTATCTATCATTCACAAAAATATTAAAGAGTGCTCACTTTCAAATAAATTAGGAAATTAGGGGGGATAAAAGACGAGAGATAAAGCCAATAAACTGTGCATGTCTGGACACCTCTTGAATTTGCCATTTATTAAATTGTGCATAAATTTGTTAATTTGCTTACGGATTCCTCTTGAGTAAATCCATTATCTTCTAATTGGTTGGGTTTTTTTGTGTTCATTTTTTTCTTTTTTTTCTTTACAAGGGACATTTAAAGTATTCCACAAGGGTGTATATGTCCTTAGTTGATATTCCAGGGCTAACCCTTAAATAGAAACAAGGCAATCAAGATTTTCCCAAATGAACCCCATCAACAACATACTGCTGCTATTTTTGTTGTTAACTTGAGGAAAAGGACATAACATATCATGAACAGTAGTTTTGTACCGTACTACCGTGTAATACTTTTCTCATATTAGGAGCAGACACAGTTGTTGTACTTGAATGAGAAATATTATGGGTATATTGGGGTAGGGTCGCCAGCCTTCTTTCATGTTCACTTAGTCTCACCAATTTTGTGGGGTTGAAACAGACTGTGATCTGTATTTTTGCAAAGTGTGCTACTGAACACAGCCAGGCAAGTTGATAGAGCAGTTTAACATTACATCTTATTATGCCAGGGAAGTTAATTCATATCTAGGAAATTAAATTTTTTTTTTAACTTTGTTGAAGACTGTTGAGACTGCTTATTTACAAAACTTTTTTCAATAATGAACGGATTCTGTGGACAATCTACTACTTTATCCAAGCCTCCGTCACTTGTGTTGTCCTAAGGGGTGTGGTAGTTTTAGTTTAAAGAGTTGTTTACCTCTACCTCTGATCAACTTCTCATGTCAGATACACATTGCATTTTGTAAAAGTTATTGTGTTAGAGACTAAGCTTTTACTGTCAAAGAAAGTTATTCAGCCAAAGTGAGTAGGGGTGATGAAGAGAGAGAGAGAGAGGTAGTGGGAGGGAGAAAGAGAGAGAGAAGGGGATGGGAGAGAGAGGAGGAGGGAAGGAGGGGGAGAGAGAGAGGGGGGGGAGGTAGAGAAAGAGGGAGGGAAGGAAGGAGGGATCTGAGGGGAAAAGAAAGAGAGAGAAAGGGGGTGGGGAGGATAACAATTATAGAGAGTGAGTCCGTTTGTTGATTGTTATGTGATTACAATGCCAATGAAACATGTCAATGTTGGTCAATGGTTTCTTCATAGGAGATCAATGCAGGATCGATCAAGGTTTCAGCAAGTGCGGGAAAAACTAACAAATGATTACGATTCTGTGGCTGTTCGAGACTTGTTCTACAATATCAACTCAACTATTTACCAAGTGAATGGGGGCATCGTTACGTCTCCACGGTTGAGCAGATTGCAAAGAGATAAGGTCTGTATCAGATATACACTTTTATATCTTTTGGTCTATTAGAATGTTTTAACTTTTTTTTTGTCCTCAGAAATTTGAAGATTTTTAAGCAATTCATGTATTTGATATGACTTTGTAGATGGTTGGAGGATGATGTTAAAAGATCCATTTTTTGCTATCCACCTGTTATTTGTAGCTGTCTGTACTTTTCTATATAAAGCAATAATTTTCAATCATTTCGCTGATGGGCTTCTCTTTTAATATATGACCTTGTGTTGTTTCCCTCCTCCAGTATTACATTACATTCGTCGATAGTGATGTCAAAGAAGCGTCTGTCATTCTTCGAAACTCTACTGAGGAAGTCTCAAAAGGGCTCATGGAGTACAGGGTAAGGACAGTTATGCTTTAGGTGGTGGTAACCATGACCGGGCCTGAAACTGTAGTATAATCAATGTTTTAAAACTGCTATGGAAGTGCTTTTCAAATGTTGTTGATTTTATCAATTTAATGTTAGACCTTTAAAATTTCCTGTATTCTTACTTCACTGAAATTGTCAGTGCCTGATATTAATGATGTTTCCCACTGCTTTTGAATACTAGGTACTGTTTTGAAATGGAGCAAAAGCAAAACTACATAATTTTCTCTTCAGTCGAAATGCTGTTTTAATATTTCCTACGAAAAAAGCCTCTGTTGGCCAAGATATAATTGTTGCATTTTAGTACCATATTATTTTCAGCATTTTGCTTTATTCATTTCTTATCAGTGTGATACAAGGGGCTTTACTTTTCTGTAAAATTTGTTGGTAATTTCAGTCTTCACAGAAGCTTGTTTCACCTGGGTTTGAAGCTTATTTCAAAACATTGAAGTTATAGTGCATGTTCCTTGAGATATTCTGGTTATATTTTTCTAGTCTATAGTAAAAAAAATGTGTTTTAATTTCAGGAAAACTACGACCTTTACCTTTCATGGAGGAAGAATGGTAATGGGCAGAATGTTCAAAGGGATGCAGGGTCATACTACAGTAGACGAGAATGGGCAAGATTAGAGACTCTTGTTTCTAAGGCAAAGAGACATGCATACAACTTGGAAAGTGAATCGTATGACTTGAACAGGTTTGGCTTAATATATACTCGTATACCAGTGCTTTGTTTTCAGAGTATTAACTTTTTCAGTGCTATATATCTTCTAGACTGATTTTGGTCCAGTATTTTGTAGTTTTCTGGTAATCATGCATTGTTGATTTGCTTAGAAAAGGCATACTTAAATATTTACATTGTATACACCTTTGAGGGTGCGGTGGCGGAGCGGTTAGTGCGCTCGTCTCCGAAGCGGAAAGTCCGGGTTTGAGCCCCGGTTCGGACACAGATTTTTTTCGCCCCCTCCTGCCCACCCAGCAGTGATGGGTACCTGACTTCGAGTTGGGGAAGTAAAGGCGGCATGGAAAGTAACTGGTCACCCTACCACAATATGCCGAAGGCCCAAGAAGTTGTCTCACACAAGGCAATCCCCAATGTCCGGATAGGATGCGGGAACAAAAAAAAAGACCCAAAAAACCCATTATTAATATTGTTCGAAAAAAAGAAAGCTACAGTTATTCTTTTATAGAGGTGTAATATATGTTATTATATTTGTTTGTTAGGGGACCTTCTAGATGGCCAACACAAATGACTTTTGAAGCTTTTCTTTTTTGGCTGATTGATTTTTTTTCTTTCTTTTTAAAGTTCGTGTCCTTGTTCCTTGTACATGCCATTTTGAGATTGCTGCAGTAGGGCCTGTATATAACAATTTCAAAATTAAATCAAACCTTGCTTGTTGTTTCTGAACATTTCCTCATGGTTTAAAATTTTCATGAAAATAGATGAAATTCAAAATGTCCTTTCCCATGCTTGTCAGTGCAGCATATTACAACTTAGGCTACTCTTGATAAAAAGAAGGAATAATTTCAAACATGAAAAGGATGAGAGGCCTGTAGCCATTTTTCTCCACAGTTGTCAAAAAACTTATTCATGGGATATTAGGGCTCTGAAGGTCCAGGAATTTGAGGGACTGTCTGTCATTGAGAATCCAAATCCCTTTGTGCCTTTCATACTGTCATTGTCCTGCAATATTTTATGTTGGGTTCCTGTTTAAAAGAAGACTTACCCAAGTAGGTTGTGCTTTTGGTTTCAGAATGCGATTTTGGGGAATACTTAGATGATTATAACTAATTTATTTTTATTGAAGGCATAATAATATGTTATAGGGCCTACTGTTTTTCATTTCCTGGTGGTTTAGAATAGTGCATGTCAGTTGGGAATGGGAAATTTGCAATTTTTCTCGTTTGTTTCACCCACACATTGTATTTATTAAGATTAAAATCTTATCATAATGGATTTCATGTTATAATAAAAATTGAAGAGCTATTTTTGTAGTAAAATTTTTGTTTTTGACTTTCTGCAGCTGGCTTGGTGATGCAATTGAGAATGCAAATATGGCTCTGGAAGTACTAGGCAGACCTGTGGGTCCTTCTTCAAGTTCAAGTGTTTCTGGACCTTATGTTACCAATCTAGAAGAAGAAACTAAGGTAATTTATAGTCTTGTCTGGAATCAACTCTGCTGGTTATTCCTGGATATAAATTCTACTGAATGAAAAGGAAATGGTAGTTTGAATCGTGTGCTGATTGACTGAAAATTGGAACAAAAAGGTTGTCTAATCGTATTTATTTGCAAATTAACTCTTTCCAGACATAACGGTAGTTTGTTGGGGGTCTAGGCGTAATTAAAGTTTGGCTCGATTTGGCTATACACGTGATGTACAAAATAAATTCATACATAGCCATCACTCAGAAGGTAATATGTAATATATTAAAATGAAAGAAATTGAATGAGGAATACGTTCAGACATGAAGCAAAGATAAGTTTTGAACATAACAAGGATTAGAATGGATGATGATGATGAGAAAAATAAATTATTGACGTAAAAAAATACATTCACCATACATGTGAAAGCAAATCAGCATAGCTATGTAATCAGATACAGGTCAAGAGCATAATCCACACATTTCTGAATGCACAGGTTTTTATTTGAAAGCAGTATTCCAATTTTTGTTTGAGTTCTGATATATTCTACTGAGTGTGGTTACATCGTTCCGTTAATGCAAGAATGCAAGAATGAATTCACTCGTTTATCGCCAAGTTGACGCTTTGATGAGAGAGACTAGATGTTTTCGTTTCCTAAATCCTCTCCAAGTTTTCTAGTTACAATAATAAGTAATTGTTAACAGAGGATCATGTTAAAAGAAATCAGAATTGAGATATCCCATCATTACCGATATATTGGTGATACGTCCACAAGGGGTACAAACTCTTGTCTATATATCAGCGATACGTCCAGAAAGAGTTAAATGGCAGAAGACCAAAGTGTTTTATGAAAGAAAATGAGCCAAGATCATATGTGCAGAAATTTATGGAAAGCATCAAAGTTACACCCTCTTCTGTTTTCTGTTTTGCTTTCAGCAACTACGTGCTGTCCTGGAGGACCTTAGGAAAATGGTTGGTAGTCCTACCAAGGCTGGAGGTGCAAAGGAAAGCATTAATTCCAAAGATAAAGATGCTAGTAGCAAGGAGAAGACAGTCGAGATTAAGAAAGAGAAAAAGTGCAAACCCTCTGGTGGATTCGGAGGCTGGTTGGGCGGCGGTGACACTGACTGCGTTTCAGAGGGAAGTGGTGATGATGAACTTGAAACTGGTTCAGGAGATGATATTATCCTCATTACAGATGATGAAGATTTTATTTTTGAGGAAGGTTCATCTGAAACAGGTACTCCGACCTCCACCAACATGTTTGGCATCGCTCTCCGTGAATACGCTTCCAAAGTGCTTAGTGACAGCAGAGTAATTGACAAGGAAGCGGATGAAGTGGAAGGACTGTTGAAAGGTATTCTGATTGTATTGATCGCTAATAAAAGAAAAAGATAAGGGAGAAAAAAGTTAACCTCTCGTAAAGTCACTCTACACAGCACAACTACATAAGTATTTAATAGTGCTGCATACTATTGCAATACTTGTTAAAGTTTCTTGGTTTTAAACTGTTTTAAAGTCTGTATTAGATCATTGATTATACGAAATCTGTGAGAGTTATGTCTGGACTCAAGTTTTTGTGTACTAGAATCTATATGACATGTGGTTATAAGTAAATATTTGACAATAGAGAGGTCTTTGAAGTAGAAAGTTGTGGAAATGAGCACAAAGAGAAATTCAAAGACGGTTAAACAGATTGACATGAGCAGGCAGGTAAGCTGTGATTTTCTAGGTGCTTCTAACACAATCTTTTGTTTCTGATGGGGGGAAAAATTGATCTTTTTGCTGATTGTTTCAGCTCTTTTACTTAGGCAAATGTTCTGCAAGTTTTACCTGATAGTTGGGTGGTACGGATGGGAAGGGTCTTTGGGGCTTTTCCACTTCTGGTGCTATTTTCTTCTCCCAGTGCCTTTTCGTTTTTGGAAAAGAATTTTACTTTCCTCAGTGATCCTTAAAAATATTACTGTGTTGAAGAGCTTTAATTTGAATATTAAAGACCAGCTTACCTTTAATACTGTACAGTTTGATATGTAGATGATATATTTACATATGGCAGGACTATGTCAAGAAACGTACTGAGATATGATGCAGATTGGAGAGGTGCGAATAGACAAAATATAAATGTTGCACTAATATCCTGTTTCTAATATTTCTTTATTGTCCTGAACAGATCTGCAAAAGAAGAGGGAAAAGGCACTGTCTGAGGCGACCTTAATCTATGAGATTCTCGGGGAACAACAAGGCCTCATACTCCAAGAGGCTGATGTCCATGCCTTGAGAGAGGATGTGAAATATCGGACTAAGGAGGTAGATAGTGCTGGACAATTAAGATGCCTTTACTTGACCCTGTGCAGATTTTGATTAATACATTAGAGGCCTTTGCTGGTGTCAGTGTCTCAGTAAGATCACCAAGATGATACCTCATTTTGGGGACTACATGGTCCTACTTTTTTCTCAAATGTTACTGATATAAGTTACTATTCAGTGCTTTAAATAATAGTACGACCCAGATTTTCATGCCATGGTTTAAATTAACAGAACACAGACATAATCACAGCTTATGCAAAACTTTCTCTTCAAACTTTCAGTTTTTTCATCAATGCCTTTTAAATCTGGTGCATCGTTACACGAGACTGATATTCCAAAGGATTTTTTGTGGTTGTTGGTGATGTGTTTTATAAGCCAGAGAACCTTGAAATCTGTAGAATCCTATTTATTATTTTATTTTCCTTTTTGCATTTCATCATTACACTTTCTGTCATTGGTTTACCTTTTACTGGACTGACTATCCATACTATTTAGCCATAATTTTTTATTTTGGGGGGGGGGAGGGTTGGTAAGTGTTTTACGAAGCTTGCAACTGCATACGGTCATATGAGCGAGCGGGACACATTAAACATTTTTCAGTTGGTAGGAAATTTTGAACTTTGCCAGGGTGGCGGCTGAATCCTACTCTTATCAATTTTAGACCTCCAAGGGATCTTTAACGTGTGTAACTTGCACACGTGACCTCCAAGATTTTTCGCCCTTGTCCGAGAAGGCAAGGTGTAGATCTTTCCTACCAGAAAATCAGGGGTGTAACTGAGAGACAGCAGTAAGAAGGAGCCAAGAAGTAGTAGTAGAAAGGCTGCGGAAAGAGTCAGGAGCCCAGAGAAAGGGGCAAAGGAGGTGAAGGGGTGGGGGCAGAAAGTGGAGACGAAAGCAGAGGACAGAACATTGCTAGAGAGCAGGAAATGAGGTGAAAGGAGACAATTTTAGAGAAGAAAATTTTTCGGTCGCTATCCGGATTCGAACCTGAAACCTTTGAATGAGAGGCGAACACCTTAACCTCTAGGCCATGAGAGCCCCCTGAGCCGTAATTCTATCCTAAAAATGACGTAAGGAGAGTTGAGAGAGTGTTATTTGTGTATGTGGCCGGTTGTGAAAGACTGACTGCTGTGTTTGTTTCCAAAAAATGTTTTTTGTCCCTGATCTTTAGTTTGATTTATATTTAGGAGTGTTAGTGTTATTGAGACTGTCAATATTGAAAACTTGCATTTCCATATTGTGGTAAGGACAAGTATAGGTAAGATCAATGTCAAAATATGCTCTAGCACAAAAAGGGAGTGATAGCCTAATGCTGTGAGATTTAAACTCATTTAACTTATGGATTCAGAACTTTTTGTTATTATCTAGTTCAGGGTCCTTTACTGGTGTTTGATGGCTCAAAGCTGTTTCAGATTTTTCATTGATTTTATCTGGTGCATCTTCAGGTTTTTAAGAACGTCCAAGCTATCTCTACTGATTTTGATCTGGATGCAATTGTAGCACAAGCAAGAAGAGCATTGGAAAGAGCCAAGAAAGAAAGTGAAGTGGATGGTTCAAAGCAGCCGCCGCCTCCAGAGCCAACACCTACTGGTCAAGATTCTGAAGAAAACACAGAAGAGGATGTTGAGGTAGTAGATGCAAAGGAAGACGATTTTGATTACTCCAGTCTTTATAGAAAAGGTTTGTAACCTCTTTGTCTATTTGTCAGTGATCATGAAACTATGTCTAGCCGAAAAGAGTCTATTCACTATCTTTTTAAAAAGTGAAAACTGCCAAGAAGAACATACAATTGAAATTATTCCAGAGGGTCACTCAATTTCAATGAGAAAAGTGTTTGTCTTAGACAGGAGGACATCTTGGTCACTATCAATATAATGTAGAAAAAATGTAAGGGAGGACGTGGGAAGTGATCATTTGAACAGGTGATTGTCTTGGACAGATGGCCGTTAGAGCAGGTTTTGTTGTATTTGGAATTGATTTGTTATTAACTCTTAATCAGCGCGCTTACGAGAGATGCGACTCTAATTTACTGACGACACAACTTCTTTTACGGCCAGTGTTCCCGGCGGAGTGCCAGGGCTACCAAGGTCAACGACCAGTTAGAGTTTCTGCTGCGGGAGGTCCTGAAAACTTGTGTTTTCACTGTGATTACTATGTTGGTCTGTTAATTGATGATGAAAATAACGAACGACCTTTCTTTTATAGCACGCACTAGCTTTCTATTCATGAAAAACCCTCTCTATTGAGTTGATAAGTCATTAAGTGTGGTTACACCCATTTGAATAACCTTTTAAACACTATCATTGTTACAAATGGGGTTTGAAAGGAAAATATAAGTCAATTTATCAATGTTTTGCTCTCAAATGTTTCTTTCTATTAGCACAATGGTTTCCAAAACCACCAAATAAGATTATTTTTGACAGGTAATATCATTTTATGTAAAATCAAGCTCATTTGAAAGATTTTTTTTATTGAAAATGGAAGTCTTGTTTCCTGGTTTCTCATTTCTAAGTCAGTCAGTTTGTTCAAATTTCTTTGGACAGACATCTAGGACTACCAACTTAACGTTTGTACAAGACGTACGCCTCAGGTTCAGATGGTTCTAGAAATAAGTTACAAATTCACACAAACACAAGCAGATGATGCACACACACTTTGGCTGCAATAATATGGGACCCGGAGATGTTTGGCAAGCATAAGCTGCGTGGGGCCAGACTGATGCGGGACCCATTGGAAAGCAAGGATGTGGAAATACACTATCGGGGTGCATAAATTTGGCCCCTAGGGGACTAGGGTTAAAAGGGGAAAGCAATCGACGGGCAAAAAGGGAAAGGAAAGAAATCAGTGGGAAAAATATACCAGATAAAAGTGTATGTCTAATCCCTATTTGTGTTACGTTCCCATTAGCTGGAAAAGATAAAATTATCATTTTAGTGTGTGCAGTATTTATCTCTTTGTTTCTTTTACCTTTCAGGAAGGGAAATCATGTCAAACAGCAATGACATCCGCTACCTGAGGTCGGTGGCTGTGGAATCATGTGGGAAATTTAAAAGTCAGTTCGGCTTCATTCGCAGCAACATTTCTATTCTACAGCAAAAAGTTGCAAGTGCAAGGAAAATTCTATCATCCCTTCAGGTAATCTTTTGATTCATAAAGGAGAGAAAGAGGGTTGTGACTCATTGCACTAATACATGAGGACATAACACAGATGTATTTCTCTTTTACTTGTCATAGACACTTGAAATAATGTTGACTGTGCCTATAACTTGAAGCATTTAGCAATCTGTCATCAGCAAAAGTTTATTTTTCATTCCAACTTCAACAGAGTGACAGTGAAAACACTTTCCTGTAATCCTCTATGAACCCTTGTTAAAGTGCCAAAAAAAACAACAACTATAGAGAGATGAAAATTCTTTCAAGTTTAAAAATAGTAATGTTGGAAAAGCAGAGAAAAAATTGTATCTGTTTTATTTTTTGGCTACATATATATAGATGCTTCAGTAAAAGAAGAATGACATAAGTATGAAATTTCATCACACTTCTCAAAGTATCAGAAACATTTCTATGGTATTTTTGTTGAGCATCACTTTTGAAGTCATGATCTGAGAACAATTTGTCTTGTATTTCGCAGCTATCAATCAAGAAGAGTGGCAGTAATCATATAGCTGTGGAGGTCAATGACACTGTCCACCACAAGACTGAGGCGACTTCCGTCACCACTTTTGGCATGTGCATTAAACCTTCTACTCTTGATGGGACAGTCCTTGTGGTCAAGGGAAATGGATCGGTGAGTGTTTTTCCAAAACCAAACTCATTTATTTTTGCTTAATGGAATGGTTTAAGGATGCAGTATCATACTCTCCTGTTTTTTATTTACAAGGTAGTTTGCCTAAAAACTTAAACATCATGTGCACGCTCATATGACCTTATGCAGTTGCGAGCGCCGTAAAACCCTATACTACAAACTAAACATCATATGACAATGAGGGGACTTGTGCTTGAGTAATTGTTGTTGCATTGTATAAGTGCTCAAATGAGATCTTTTACTGTTTCACATTTAGGAAGAATCATGAATTTTCTTGTACTGTTTTAAATTGCTTTGGTATTTTTCTTATCACAATAGCCCACTCTTTATAAAACATAAATATCCTCACAATTTTTCTTCAGGCATCCTACAGTGTGTCTCTAGATAGCGGAGAGCTAACAGTTTCTGCCTATGACAGTTATGTTAGCAAACTTGATGATATAACTCTGGATTTAAAGCTCAAAATAGACCAGTGGTACACAATATGGGTTCAAAGGTAAGTTTTGAATTTCTATATGTAAAATTTTAGATACTATATTTTGAAATTTCAGATTCATTACCTTATCAGTTTGGGAACAAATCAAAACACACTCACACTTCTGTAGTTGAATGACTCATATTATTTGTGAGACCGTGTGTAATTAACCTGTTGGAACAGTGAAAGGAAAGAATTATAAACTGCTTTTCCTGGTATTTGTGAGCAGTTTGTCACTCCTTGAATATGAGAAGCTGACTGGAAAGTCAATAGTTGCTTCCAATTGTAAAATCTTGTTTCAGTAAAATTTGTATAGCAAGTACAGAATGTCAAAGAATTCCCTCTTTATAATTTAAGTAGTTGTGTGATGTCCTATGGTTAAGTTTACTTTGTCATACAGCAACCATGACTAGTGAGTGCTGTTGCTGTTTTGTTAATCCAGTTTCCTTTGAGCATGTGTCCTTCAACCCAATGCCATGTTAAAAAAAGCAGAGGTCTTCAAAAGCTATTCTTTGCTTCAGTATAGGGTATTGTATGTAGGAATGAGAAGAAGAAGCAATGAGTGGTAAATAATATTGATAAGTTTTCTTTACGATATTTATTAGCTGTGTCTTTTTTCAAACAGAGTGATATCTTGCTTTTTTATCGCAAAAGATTAACTCCTGCCCTTTTCTGTAATAGTCTGACTAATGTGTTCAATTACCAAATATTTTGTTTGTCTTTGATATGGCTTAAAGAATTAAAGTACTACAATTTTACAACATGATATAAGTAACAATGATTATCTTTTCACAGGTCTTTTCATTTGTCAGCATTTTTATTTTTGCAAGACTTTTTCCTAGAAAATATCCATTAGCATATAGGCTATGTGTCACTAGACACAGTTGAATCAGGGGCTCATAAATTTGGGGTTTTTGGAGTTATTGGTATCAGAAGTAAAATTAAGGAGCAAATGGCCACCAAAATTTTAGTGATTTTCAAAGCTAAAGCATCCTTGGAAACTGCAAATTTATATTTTTTGTGCCTTTGATCAACATTTTCCAGTAAAATCACACAGAAATGTGCTTTTAAATGGACAGAAAAGGTGTTGAGCCAAAACAAACGTCGATAAAAATTGATCAGCGGACGGGAAAATGCCAGTTTCTTTGATTCCATTATTTTGATGAGTGCTTGATTTCACCAGCATGCAACACATGCACTATTTATAACATGCTGTATGCCTAATAATTTAATAATTTCCTTTACTCTCTCATCCATATTTTACAAGGAGTGGTCAGATGATGAATGTCACTCTTCAGGAGCAGGCTGGAGAAGCAGAAATGAAATCAGTGTTTTCTTCAGATCTGCCTTCCACGCAACCAATGCCTCAGTTAGTCTTTGTTGGAGGTGCTCCAGAAAGCTCCTATGTAAGTGGTTGAAAACTGAAAAAGAAATTGTGCTTTTAAATCAAATAGCAGAAAGGCCTATTGGTGCGGTGAAAATAAACAATTGAAAGCTTATAATCAGTAAATTTACTAAATTTTCATGAACATTTACAGCGTACTTAAAATGGATTTTGGCTCATCTTATGACATATGATGGAATAAAACCCATACATTTTACAATATATAACATCTCAGTTCTAATTAGATCTGGGGGGTTTTTTGTCCGGTAAAAATGCGTAACCTCTGAAATAACAAATACTTTTGTTTTTTGTCCAAACTATGTCTGTGTGAGTTCTTGGAATAATCCATCTTCTCTCTGTTTTCCAGTTTGACAGCAGCAGCTGGGAGGGTTGTATGGGAAGACTGACTGTCAATGGACAATCGTTGTCCCTGTTCCGACCTGACAGTGAAGGAGTTCCAACTGCCCTTTGTACTGACCACTGGTGAGATTATAATAATTATTATGATGCTAATGATAATAACACCAGCATTTTTATAGCACATATCCACACTCTACAGCATTCTCACTACATTTTACAGCTATTATTACCCCAGGAGACCCTAGAACACTCAGAAATATTCTCGGGTTCCCAGGAAAAATACAGTGCAAACTGCTGATTACAAGCGTTAAAAGACTAACACTAAACAGACTGACAAAATCTTTCGCTGTCTGTTGCTGAGTACTAAATTCCCACCGGGGTGAAGTGAGGAAAATTAATGTAAAGTGCTTTTTCCAAAGACACAACATCAGTCCCCTGACGGGATTCAAACCCTTATGGTTGCGAGTCTGAGAGCCTAACCACTAGGCGACCGGCCCTTATGTGTTCCAAGTCGAAAACAGTATTAGTATTATTATGAAAATAAAAGAATTGTTAGATGGTGGAAAAAAAGTTGCTTGTGGTAAGTTTGAATAATATCTTGACATAAGGGTTCTGCTGCTGGTTTTTGACATGTAATTGTAGTTATTTGAGTTCCAATGTTTTGTATTAACATATTTACCTGTTGTATGTTCATAACTTTCAAATTGTGAACCTCTATTAATTGGCACAATTATAGTGTCAGGCAGTCCCGTTCAATGAGGGTATATTAAAAACTGTGTTATAATTTCCAATTTAGATTCTAGGTCGGTACCTTGTAGAATATTTTGTAAGCTGAATGTCAACATGCTAGTTTTTGCACTAATTCAGCCAATTATACTATGGGGGGCTCTCGTGGCCTAGAGGTTAAGGTGTTGGCCTCTCATTCAAAGGTCCCGGGTTCGATTCCGGGTAGCGACCAAAATATTTTCTTCTCTAAAAGTGTCTCCTTTCACATCCTTTCCTGATCTCTAACAATGTTCTGTTGTCTGCTTTCATTTCCACTTTCTGCCCCCACCCCCTCACCTCCTTTGCCCCCTCCTCTGGGCTCCTGACTCTTTCTGCAGCCTTTCTACTGCTACTCCTTGGCTCCTCCTAACTGCTGTCTTTCTGCCACATCCCTGATCTTCTGGTAGGAAAGATCTTCACCTAGCCTTCTCGGACAAGGGCGAAAAATCTCGGAGGGCCCGTGTGCAAGTTGCGCACGTTTAAGATCCCTTGGTGGTCTAAAATCGATAAGAGTAGGCTTCGGCCGCCACCCGGGCAAAATTCAAAATTTCCTACCAACGAAAAAGTATTAGGTGTGTCCCGCGCGCTCATATGACCTTATGCAGTTGCGAGCGCCGTAAAACCCTATACTAAACAAACAAACAATTATACTATTATACTATTTTCACCCTGCAAGTGTTTGTTTTTATACTCACATTCTCATTGTAACACTTTCAGTGTCAGTGCACAGGGACCATCATCTGTGTTTGATGGCAATGGTTTCATTCATCATCGTCGACCTGTGAGGGAAACAGTGAACAAAATTGCATTCAGATTCAAGACTCGTCAAGAGAAGGCTGTTCTGTTTTCCTATGCCAATAGAAATAAAGTAAGTAGGCCTACCATATTTGTACAGTTTTGTGAAAACCTGAAAATATTATTATAGTCGATATACCATCGTTCTCAATATTTTGATTTTTTTAAAAAGAATTTTATATGAAAATGATGGGTAGGCCCTACTAACTACTATATAGTGTGCCAACAACACTGAAATTTGGGGATAGTTATAATATTTAGGGATCCAAAAACCAAAAACTTGCATAGGCCTAAGGATAAAGATTGTGGCTAGGGATAGAAGAGAATCTACTGGAAGCCCATCTTTGATCTCCACATTGACCCTCATCTGTTATGATGTCTTGGTAACATATCATTATCATTCAAGAGATTAAAACTGTCTAAACCAGTTAAATATTTGTTTTTTTAGACAACGCTAAAATCAGTGTAAAGAAGTCATTTTTGTTGTTTGTCTCAGATAGATGTGATACAGTTCACATGTATATATGATAAAGGTCCCCACGAATTACTACAGTTATGCGAAAGTTCATGCACAATTACCTGCCTGTCTGAGAGTGGTTATTAGTCCAATAAAAAGACATCTATCTTTTTCACAGATTTTGTTTTTCTGTATAGTGGAGTTGTTATTTTGGGGGAGGGGAGGGGTGTGTTGGGTGGGGGATGGTGCTTTTTACCCAAGCTGTCATTAACAAAAATACCTTTCTTTTTTCCCCACTGTGTTAATGAACCAAAATGAGATGCAGCATACATAATTATTTGTTTATTTCTATTCTATAACACTCAGGAATTAATTGAAGCCAACTGAGATTGCATTACAGAGATGAAGGTTTAAAGAATATAGGACAAATTGATAGTTTCTCTTCTAAAGTGATTGCTAGAGCAGGTGATACCTTGTGAATGAGTTTCCCTGTCCAGGTGTCACTGTACAGAGTTTTCTCCTCTTCAGCGCTTGTCAGTGAGTGTAATCATGGAAGGTGGTGCCCTCAAAGTGGAAAGCTCTGGTCCAGTGGAGGAAGTGGTTCTACTCAGTCTGAACAGTTCCCTGAATGATGGTCAAAGCCATCTTCTGGAGGTAGGTTGTTTGGTAAAAGTTAAATATAAGCCTCCCCCCCCCCCATGACTTTGTACGTTACGATGATGGCAGCCTACTGTTTCCTGTTGCTGTGGGACATACCTTCAACCCCACTGTGACTTCCATAGTGACCTCGGACGTTGCTCACTGGGTCAAGCTATTTAAAATGGGGAGGCTTTACTTTGCTTTTACTTGTTGTTCCTTGTGGATGTATTACTTAACTATCACTGTTACTTGTGACAAATTCAAGGTTGTAAATGTTTTATTTCCACATTGATACCTCTGAACTTTTTCGGAGGTTGAGGAGGTGAGTTGTTTTGACCATGCCCGGCGGGATTAACCCCCCCACCAGGCTATGTAGGATATATGATATGAGAGTGGAAAGGAGATGCTTAATAAAATATCTTCCCCACATGGGAATTGAACTCGTGTCTTTAAGGTACATACGAAAGCATAACCATTACACCACTCAGCTGCAGGGTTACAGTACTTTACTCTTGTCCAGCAAATAGAATTAAAACTGTTTACTCTCCAAATAAATCGACTGGACTTTTTAATGAAACGGTATCAATCTGTGAAAAAAGCATTTTGGGGGGAAATCTGCATAGAATGAAATTTGGTGTATTTTTGTGATAGCCTTACCTGACAGAATTGAGACCAATTGAATGCATTCAAAAGATCACAAAAATGTGCGCTTTATTTTAGTTTGTATAGAAGTAGAAAGTTTCGGAGTATTCTAAAGTTGTTTGTCTTTTAAGCTATTTCCTCCTTGATGAATATAAGTACTGCATATCAAAGTATAAACTATTGATACTTTGTTGTGAAAATAATATGATCTTATAAACTTCACCTCACTTTTCCTGATCGAATGCTAATAAAAATCCTATAATCCTAGCTTGCAATAAATGACTGAGGTTTCAGTTTGTTTCTGTACTTTCAGATTGTATACAGAGGCAGCAGAACTTATCCGGAACTAGATGGCAACAGCGCAGCCTTCTCTGTGGAGAGAGTCTCCCCTCAAGTGCTGAGGAACATCATGGAGGGAGTCTTAATCGGCGCGTTTGTATCAGACAGACGACAGTTCTTGAACTTGCCTTTCAGGTACGTTGGAGAACAGAGTGAAATGCAATCAGAGTAGAACTGGAGTTTGGAAAATTACCCTATGATAGTAGAATAGATTTAACTTTTTTTTTTTGCAAAGGAGCTGTTAGAATGAAAGGAAAAGTAGCATTGAAAATACATACTGAACATGAATTCTTAAGATATGTAAACATTTTTTCAAAGATGAAAACCTGTCCTTTAAAAGTAAGTACATGTACTGCTATGATTGAAGAAAATAAGCTCTTTGTTCGCAAACACTATCTGTGGAGCCGGGAATATATAGGCTACGTGATGGGAGATAATCGTCCTATGTCATTATGTGTTTATGTGGTGGCTTGGGAACACCCATCAGAAGCTGCAAGGTTGACATGGAGAGAAACTGGCTCACACATTTATTTCTCAAAAGCTTTCTGTTGAAAAGTGAGTCACTCGACCTTTAAAGATAGGGACTCCAAATAAAAAGTGGAATGTTCAGAATTTTCTGAAGATTACATAATGCTCGTAGTATCAATTATTATTATGATTTTGCGATGTATATGAAGTCTTTTCAAGTGTTACAGTACAGAAGAGGTTATGATACAGAAAGTCTGAATGTTACATTTGTCTTTTACTTTCAGGCCTCTCATAGGATGTGTCGGAGAAGTGTTTATTAATGAAAACAAATTACGCCTTCCTGATGCCACTGAGGTGTATAATGCATATGAGGGAACCTGCACATCTTCCAGTGTAAGACCAATATTTTGAAATAGAATACAGTCTTTTCTTTCTTTCACTTATACGTGTCTCAGTAAATATAAACAGAAAACGTTGCAAAAAAATGAATAGAGTAGAAAAAACAATATTGTTTTTCGGATGCTTCCATCCAATAGTGACGAGGAATAATAATATCAAAGAATGTATGAAGTTTAAAACTATGGTTTTTCTTTACTTAAACGTTAACCAGTTTTTGGAACAATTTTGTGCCTTTGAAAACCATAGCTTTCAGTAAAAGCAAGACATAAATGCTTGCCCATGATTTCATCCAAATGTTTTACTTTTACTCCTTTCCTAAATATTTTTCTGTAATTGTAATGGAAATGATGGAAGTATAAATGCAAATGTTTTGAGAAAAACATTTAATTGTATGACATACATTGTTTTGCCTCGTGCTACATCTATATAGTAAGAAATAGATGTGTTTGCTTTGAAGTCAAAACAGAAAAGAGCTTTGCTCATAAAAAATGTTCCAAAAAACAAAACAATTGCTAACAATACTAACATCTTTTTTTAATTCAAAATGATTATTTCCATTTGCAAGAACGGTCAGCATATTTTTTTCTGGGCTGTTGTTTGTGATTCAGCATGTACGTCTTTGTTCTCCTCAGCCATGGCATTCCTGCTGGAAGTTCACAGAAAGAAGTAGTCCGGTGTCACTTGGCTCAGTGGAAAACTCAAACCGAGTCTCATTCCTTGTGGATGCAAATGCCAGAGGACCTGTTCTTCTCTACACTAAAGATGAGGTGAGTACAGTTTAGTCTACTTGTATAGACATCAACTGGGTTTGGTTGTTTTTTTTAGTATTCATAAGAGTTTTACGACACTTTCATCTCTTAAGGTCATATAGGGGCCGAAGATTAACTCATTGGAGACGTTTCACGCAGCATTTGCGAGCATCAATATTATCCTGAGAGGCGGTTCTCACACCCCCTGCGAGCACAAGTTTTGTGTTTTTTCTCCGGTAAAGTATGCGCACAAACGCCGCGTTAACAGTCTCTTAACGTGTTACGTTTCGTGCGAAGTTGGAATTGGCTGGAAACTTTTTGAGTTATCAACCCAGAAGGAAAGTTAGTAACTCTGAGGCCCTATTTTCATTTTTCTGACTGGTGTCAGTTCTCGCAACACTTTGTCAGTTCGATGGCAGCACGTTTAGTTTTAGTAAGTTTTACAGCACTTGCAACATAATAAGGTAAAAGATTAGGTGTTACAATAGAGTAACAAACACAAAAAAGAAGGAGGAGAGATCAGGACGATAGATGTTTGATAAGAGGAAAGAAGGAGCAAGCCACACAAGAGCACGCGCCAACCACCCTCTTGGCAGCACGAAAAGCAAACATTTTTCAAGTGTTTGACGACTTTGACAGTACAGAAAATTCTGATTATGGTACTCTCAAGGAACACCTTAAACTTACTGGAGACTGGGCCTTTTTCGGGTCTACATGCACTGAAGACTGGCATTTTAATAATATTGGGGGTATTTCAATATCTCAAACTCAAACAACACCCTTCCCAAAGACATACAACCACCATTTTTACACATATTATGATAACAGATCTAAACATGCCCAATAGGACACAAAAAAACAGAAAGGTAATATCTTTTATAGTTTTTTAGACATTATTTTTTGAAAATGTGCTAAAATTTGTTGCTGGCCAAAATTATTTGACGTAATGATGAAATAATAGGAGCTTTGCCATTATATTAAGTATCGCTAAACTTTCAAATGGGTTGGGGCTCACACCCCAGGGACATAGTTTGTTGCCCTGCATCTGTTTGACACTTAATGCTTATTGTTACGTTTTATGCAAGCTTTTATATTGTCAGCCTGCTGTTAAAAGGTGCGAAGCCAAAAAATTTTGAAAAACATTTTTGTTGCAGTTTCTCAATCTGTAGGCTACTAATCAGTTGCAAATGATGAAGAAATATTTTGTTGAAAAAAAGCAAGAAAAAAATACATGGATGTCGGTACAATAGTTTTCTCTCCTTGAAACTTCATACTTCATGACTTCATGCATAAATAAATGTTCTAATATTGTCTGTTATTTCTGTTTCAGAAATTTGAATTGGAGATCAGACTAACTGATGATGGTATTGATACTAGCATGGAAGGTGAAGAAAGTGTTCTCATCAAACCTTCGGACTATTCCAAAGACTTCACTTTAGTGACTATTGAGGACACAGGCGATAAGTAAGAATCTGTTTGCATTACATTGCTTAGAAAAAAATGTCTTGGAATTAAAGATAAAGAAATCAAGGATATATTTTTGTGGATTGATCTGTCCTGTTTGAAGAATTATAAGACTGACCTTGTTTTGGAAAATGCAACACACTACACTACCTAAGTTTATGTTATTGCATGGCGTGTGATGTTAATTTGAGTTGCATATAAAGCTTAAATTCAATTGCAGTAACATATTTTAATTCAGAAGATATGCAAAAGTTCAGGGAAGAAGTTTATTTTCTGTTTTTTATTTTTGTATTGTTTGTTTGGCCATAGAATATTTATACTGAAATTATTCATTGGTCCCTGTTCTGCAGTAGCATGATGAGATTATTATCAGCCTATCAGTCAGGATTTTAATCATTTGGTGTATTACCATTGGTTCCTTATAATTTCATAAGGTTATGTATGTATCTATTTGTTAAACTCCTTATATCGCTCAATAGTTATTCTGAAGCCATAACTTGTGATTTTGTAGATTATGTCCAAATGAATCAGACCAAATGAAGTAAGAGTAATGAGTACTGAACATTCTAAACAAGCTCAAGAATATTATGGCACATGTTTTATGCAGCCATTAACACAATTTAGATCATTAAGGTGGCGGGTTGCTTTGACCCTGCCTGTCAGGGCCAACCCTGGTTGAGCCTGAGACTGAGAGGGATACAACATCCCAGCAGAAAGACGGAGATACTCAAAATTCAAACCAGGGTGTCCCACAATGCAATCCAGGGTGATATCCATTGAGAAAGGGTCTGAATATCTTAACATTATTATAACCACTAAGAAATAACATTTTTCTTTACCGTCCAGGTATGTTATCCTACCATTACATCTTATTTTTAATTCAGGGTGATCACGCAGGCTTGGGACGAGACTGCATCGTTCTCATACGGAAGTGCATGGAGCCTCTATAAAGACACTGAAACACCTCATGATATTGCTCTTAGTCAAACAAGGGATGGAGAGGAGAGAAAGTTTGTGGGTGGCATTGCCCACTTGATGATTGGAGACAGGTGAGGCCCACACTTGAACATTTGTTTATTGATGTATATTTGGTCAGCAGAAGTCTCAGTTGAAACTTTTGTTCTCTATGTATTCTTTGCATTTAATCTAAAGTCTTGAATAAAAGAACCAATTTCTTTGGAAAAAAATCCCCACACGGAAGCTGATCAAGTGGCGTCAAGCCTATACTGCCCTTTTTTTTCACTTTTGTCTTCCCCAGTTATAGTTTTACCACCAAGTTTTGCCAAATCATGGAAAGGAATACCTATATTTGAACATGATACTATTTGCCCCTTCAACTCACTCACTACCACACCTCCAACTGTTGCGGATAAAGTAGCTCCAACGTTGTGATACCACACCCGCAACCCTAGCAGTTCCACAATTTAGAATTTTTTTCTCTCGTTAAAACCGCACTGTTTACGGTACTGGTGCGTCTTTTTTGTAGCCCATTCAATTATCTTTCGTTAGAAAGAAACGAAACCGAATTCGGACAAGCGCAAGTTGAGTTATTGACTTTTACGACAACTGCCCTTAGAACTGAATTTACCATTACATTTCCCACAATAGCAGATCGCTTGTCTTTGACCGTTTTTGAACCTTTGACGACGAAAGTGAATCAAAAACTGATGAATTGGTTGAAAATTGTCATGACAGGGGAAATTTACAAAGAAGAGTAAGGTGTAGTAGGGCCTCCAAAACCTAGATCTAGGGTTGCAGTAGTGGGGAAGGGCGTGAGTAAAAAAGGCAAAGGGAAAGCAGTTTTTGACCAATTTTTTAAAACTTGTGGGAAAAAAAGGTAACTTTAAAACAAAGCTGTAATTTCATCTGGGCAATCTTTATTATGTTAAAAAACAATGTTCCAAATTTCAAGTCTTTTTGTCAATTAGCAAAAGCGCAGTGATTTTTAAAAACTACCCTTAAAATGGCTGGTAGTGAGTGAGTTAAACTGCCATGTGCCAACTGCCTCAGTTGATTTCAACATGGAGTGATTTAGCTAAGCCTCATTTGCAAACCTGACCCATTACTGTTAGGCCAAAGCAGAGAGAGAACTAACTCTTGGACCTAGAATTAGAATAAGTTGTGGAAGGAGCTGGGGGGGTTCAAAGTCTTTGTAGGAAGAGACTAGAGACTTTCTCAAGGTAGAGGTAGGGAGGTGGGAGGCATAATGTTCTAAGCTGTATAAAATACAATGCAATGTGATTCAAGGAAAAGAGACAGTGATGCTAGGAAGGCATTCAGGTCACATTGTGGAGCCACCCAATTCTCTTTGGTTCTGCAAAGTTGCTCTGATAGAAGGGATTTTTTTTTTCTGTTTTTCTACATTTTGGGATCAAACATGTTCAGTTTAAGCAGACTCAGCTGTATTTCACGACTACATCTATGTGCAGTCTTGATCTACTAACTTAATTTATAGTGGCAAGTTTTAAAATTTAAGAATTCAGATTTTTCAGAGGCTTTTCTGTATCCACAGGCTCTATGATCTGGGTCAGCTCAGGTCTACAAACACTCTGATGACATGTGAACGCCCCTTGGAGCAAATACATCCAGCAGCTTCCTTCCATACACTTCCCCCAGTTGATGAATTCTCATGTTCATGACATTCTTAAACATTACTGAAAATTGATCATATGTTGGCACATATTTTGAATGAAAAAACACTTTATGAACCTAAAGATTTTTATGTTTTCAAAGTCTGGAAACTACTGCTTCAATGGTTTTCAAGAATCAACTCTGTGACAGATTCTCATTTTGTGATGTACTCATGTTCATGAACATCTCAGTTATTAAGTGGAGTGAATTGCGCTTTTAATGAAAGTTTTATTTTTAAATCATGCATGAAAGAAATGTGATATAAAATATGACGCATTTTGTAACTTATAAGAAAGTCTGACTTTCGTTTGAATATATATATATATATATATATAAACATGTAAGTTTTTTTACCCCATGTCAAAGAGGGCACTACTGTAATGTTTAACATTGTACTATTTGCAAACTGTGAGATTAAGACTGGTTTGCTGCAGGGCAGTGGGTAGTAGTCATAGTGTTGCTATTATTACTGTTTTAGTTCTTGCTTTATTATGGGGCAGAGACTGGCTTGATTGTGTATTATGTTATTGCTTATCTCAGTGTGTGGATGTGAATATGTGGTCAACAGAGCCCAGATAAATTGTTACTGTCTCAATTAATTTCAAACTTTGAATGCTTGTCAAATTTAAATAATGCTTTACTTTTCTGCACATTTTCTGTTTTAGACTTGTTCTCCCAATGCCAATAAATATTCATAAACCAAAGCATAGCGTCGAATTAAATATTGAAGTATGTGCGTTGCAGCAAGTCAAAGTGAGGCTCAAGTCATAAAGTAGCAGCAGGAATATTCAATTTAATTCTCCCACCCCTGCAATATTTTAAATTCTGAGGACATTGTCTTTTGGCAAATATTTTAGAGTATTTAAAAATAGCATGTATTGTAAGTAAAGTTTTATTTTTGGCCAGGCTGATGCTGGCCGCCCGATGTAGAGTGGCTAGCGTTTTGTTACTCAAACAAATTCAGCCGATTAGCCTGACACTACTGGCCCGAGGGGATTTCTGCGACCTCGGGTGGCTAGCATTTTTCTGCCCACCCACAGCAACTCACCTGGATCTAGTACAAGGTAGTATAGTTTAAACAGGGCCTCGCGGCCATCTGAGCGACATGAAGCTATAGCGAGCACCTAGCACACCTCTGTGATTGGCCCAAATATAGATGACCGATTTCCACCGAGTGCTGCCATCAAGGCCAAGACACAATCATGTTGGGAGTCTTCCAAAAACTAGAAACTTGCTTTGGTGGGTCTGCTAAGTATTAGTACTAGTACATTGGACAGCAGCAAAGGTCACAAGATCACAAAAAGGAAACATGAAATTCAATATGATGAAGTAACCGTTTAATTACAAATCATATCTTTGTACAAGACCGAAGGTGCCCAAAAATACATTTACAGCAATAGACGTTTAAAAGCAAAAAAATATTATAGTGTCAGTAAAAAATACACAATTTATCAGAATTTCTGAAGGGAAGACTAAAGAAAAGTACAGAGAAATAGAGTGAAATAGCATTGTTTCATAGACTTCTTTAGACCAGACATTGCTCAGTAAATAATGACTCATTTAAAAGCCTACAAACAATAATTATCCACTAGCTACATGACAAAGTAAAATTTGATCCAAAATTGAGAATTCGAGGCGATTGAATCTGTGCTAAACTTTGGCACTAATGCCAAATGCAGAGATTGGCCAGGTCACAAATCTTTGATTAAAATAAAACGAAAACAAACAAACGATATATGAAGATTCTAAAAGAAAAAGTACAATGCAACCAAAATTCCACTGGCTAAAGCTAAATATCCCCTAATGTATTAACCTGAGATTCTAAGTCTACTTCAGGTCCAAGCCACCACCACGGGTACTGTCTTTTACCTCTTGATATTTATATTTATATATATCAACATGCAATCAACAATCAATATTTCTGCTGAAATATTCCTAATCACATTGAATTGGTGTCCATTACAGCTGAACAGGTAAAATTTCAAAAATTGATCTCACAAAGGAAGAAAAATTTCATTTTTTAAAAAGAGGAGAAAAGTGTGAGACCTTCTTCTAACCATTTATTTTCCTATGGAGTGCTTTGTAACATTATCTGGCATTATTTGCCTAGGGGGCGAAAAAAACTGATCAAATTTGATATATTTGATATTTTAGTATGTGCTTTGAGACTATGATTTTTTAAAATATTTTTTTTTTAATGGCTATCTGAAGGATGTAAAAAAAGATAAATATAACAAAGATGCGAATCAGACTGAAATACAAAACGTAACCTGCTTCAGAAAATTAATAACAAATGAAAATGGAGGAACAAACTGGCTGCTAGAGTCAAGCAATCCTAACCCAATATTAATACTACTAGCTAAAGCACAGAAAAAAGGCAAAACTTTATTCACTGCTGGTACAAGTGCTGTATCCAGTTAAATGTGAGTACGTCAAACATGGAGGCTAACATGTATGAAAAAGGCTGAGCAGTGGTTATGGGAGAATGTGTATGAAACTAGGGAGAATGTTTTAGTTTTAGCAGAGGTTTTAACGGCGCTTGCAACTGCATAAGGTGATATGAGCGCCAGAAGATTAGAGGTGTTACAAGAGCGTAACAAACACAAAAAAGAAGAATGGGAGATAAGGACGATAGATGTTTCATAGGAAAGGAGAAGCAAACCACACCAGAGCAGGAGAATATTTGAGGCAGAGATATGATGATGAACAATAAACAGGCCTGATTGAATGAACAGTTATTTTTAAAATGGGGGTGGGGGAGGAAAACTGAGAGCGTAGCCATAAGACACACCGGAAAGAGATAATATACTTGAGGTAAGTAGTTGAGTTGTGGTATGCATTAAGTCTACACAACAACAGCCACAATTTCTATGAAAAAGATTAGGACAATAGCAACACTAAAAAGAAGTAGAAAGGGCAAACTACAAAGGGGAGAGGAAAGAAGATGGGACCAGCTAAGACTGTAAGAGGAGAGTCAAGGGGCAGCTAAAAAATAGGGAGGAATATTATAAATAGGAGCAATATTAGATAGATGCTGTAAATTGGCAAAGGATCAAAATAAAATACAAAGACCAACATCATGCTTTTCAACATTATGGAGCAATCAACGACGATGACGAGAGTATAGATTGTCATTAAAAGTATTTATACTATTTGCTGCCACAAATAATAGGGCACTGCAGTGTTCACAATAGTTAAGATAAAAATATACAGAATAAAATTATTCCAAACCCTAAGAAAAAAAGCATTACAGAACATCTATATATGTCATATCAAGGGTTTCTTTTGTAGCTGGTGATAAATTTGCTGTTTGTACATATACAAATGAAAGGAAGTTGATATTTAACTTTGGATAAAAATGTACTCCATTCACACAGCTGACTGCACACTCAAAAATCACTCACACAACCGAATGCTTATTTCTGTTCCTCAATCGAGAGGATCGACGAGTCGAGTAGGGTTGTAGATTTTCATTTTGAGATTCATCTGGCACCTGAAATAAATACAACAGGAAATATGAAAAGTGAAAGAGTATTTAAATTTTCTAATTTCTGTAAAATGCAAAATTATTCTACAATACTACATTAACACTAGCGGAAAAAAAAGAAAAATGAAATCGGACTGACAAAGCGCCAAATGAAATAGCTGATACTTGGGCCACAGTGAGACTTTCCATTACTAGGGTACATAATTTCAACACAAAAAGACTTGGAACAACGAACTATTCTAATATAATATACCTGAGATGTATTTTTGTTCAGAACTTCAGACTTCTTCATCTTGAGCAATGACAAAAGCACTGAATTCAATTTTACATTGTAAAGGAAAGAATAATATGGTGGCCCATGTTCAACATTTCTCACAGAGGCAGGGTTTTAGTTAACCATCTAGAAAAAAACCAAAATAATTTTAAAAATGAAAATGATATAACTAAATCAGATCTTTACACAAAGTCAGATTTCATTTTGCTTGTCACAGATAAATAAACTGTGCTTCCAACCGACAAACCAGAATAGTAAGAAAAATATCACGCCAGGAGTCTGATAGCATCCCTGTCAGGGTTCAAGGAGCGAAGCCCCAGAAGAAAGTGAAATTTAATGCCATGCTTTTTTAGGGGATTGAAAATAGCATTTGGGACCTATTTGCAGAGATTGCCAACAACCCATGATTGATACTCATATTTTTATCAAGAGTTTGTCTTGCTTTATTCGATTTCTTCCACTAGCCTACTTCTTTTCCTTGCTGGCACTGGCAATGTTTAACACTTGCAGTACGTAAGGCCCATATAGTAAAAAACCCTCAAGTACAGCACCAGTTTAGAACACTGAAGTCATGGTAGGATCTTCTCAGCCCAAGAAACACACTTTAAAAATTCACAGAGGTTCATCAACCATTCAGCTAACTTATAGAGTGACTTCCTTTGGTATTTACTTCAGTGCAGAGGGTCTGCTCGTTTAATTATGTTTAGCATGCCTGGTCGAGTCGGCGACAGCGGCAATGAGAGCATACTACGGCTTGGCGGCCGATGTTGACGGTACTAAAAGTACTGAACACAAGTTCTCCCTTCAAATGCCACTATAAATTCGATTTGCCATCGCACCATTGGTAGTAGGCAAATCCACGAACATCAGTCTTGACAATACAATTACCCTTTGTGTACCCTAATTTTCCTCCATTTTTGCATTTGAATGTCAAATGTCACAACCACACAGCACCACTTCCACTTATTCTCAATTCTATTTTCACCACAGCCTTATCCTGCTCCAATAAAATCCTCATACAATTTCTCTAGAATAGAACTAGACTGGTTTTTTAAAAAGTTTCTGATGATGATTTTTTTTCCTTCTCACGGCGTCCGAAATTTCGTCTCAGCGATCTTTTAGTTAGTCCAGGCCCCCCGCGGTAGGCCATAAATTAGCGGCAGGTGACCTGCAATTTCACGCGTCAAGTCGGGGATTGACCGGGGTCAACTCGTGCACAGTGCTGTCCTATCTTGTCCTTATCAGAACGCGTTTCTTCCCCTAATTTCATGAGCCGTAAAATGATGCTCACTCTACCCACAGAACCTATTTCTTCACCAATTCCGCTTCGTCTACGTCTTCTTGATATCTTGTGAAAGTTTCAACAGTTTTAAATTGTGAGTGTTATGTGATCGGAAGCGCCGTTAATAATGTTATCTCTTCAAATTTAATTACAAATCATTCGAGAATGGAACGATGGTCTTTATTTCTGTTTGCGCGGTGTGATAGCCATCAAATCATATTTTCTAATGATGTGAATTTTGTTTTTCCAGCACTTTGCAGTGACTGGAAATCAGTTAGTGAATTGTGTCCCTAAGTAAAAATCGTTAGAATGCAATGGGTCAGTCACACATATGAGAGGCATAGAGTCTCTGAATGAACTTTGTCGTGTGTGTTGGCGTTTAAATTTAACTGTCAAACAAAAAAAGTACAGAAAGCCCCGATTATGTAAGACAATGGCAGGAGATATTCTCTTGATTTATGGGATTGATGTGAGGGACGAAAATGAACAGTCGTATTCCGCTAACATTTGTGTCAAGTGTTTTACCGCGATTTCAACTATCAAAGGGAGATAGGGTGTTATGTCACGTCAATTCATGCCGCAAAAAAGCAGTTGACACCAGTAGGAACATGTGGTGTGCGTTTGACAATAGCATAAATGTGAATTCCTTCTCCATTTTGTCGGTACCGCTTAGGTGGCTGCATACAAAGATCCATTTCAAGCTAACATCGTAAAACACCCCAAGCATACCTCCCCCCATCCCCATGTATGTAAGGAACTAACAAACACAATTTATACAGAAACAAGAAAATACTCCCCCGAAACTGCAAAAATTGAGGAGGCAAGTGGACTGGAAGCAATATTCAATCTTCTCAATGAAAGATTTAGCCATGTTCACACTGCAATATCACATCTGAAACCGTCAAACAATTTTCACTTCCAGAAATCTCCGTAGCAATCGACAATTACATGTCCGCATTCAGACGCTATTTCCCCACAAAGTTATCCCAAAGCCACACATATCATAGCAACACTGTATTCCACACATACAACAACACATGTTTGCTCTCGGGCTTTTAGGAGAACAGGACACAGAAAGCAGCCACCAAGAGATCTCAAAACTGGAAGCCAGAGCACGAAGGATCTCAAACCAGATAGACATAATGCGTTTTATTTTTTGTGTCGCATCTCCTGCAAATAGCCCCCTCATTGCGTGCTGCTGGATATGTTTAGAAAGAAAAATTATATAAATTTATAGTTTTATTCTGTACGTATTCATTTTGTGAAAAGAAATCGGTGCTGTATATTGAAGATACGTCAGTATATCATTATTCAGGAGGATACACAATCCATTGGATACAAAAAGTCATGAATGCAGGGAAGCGTTTTGGCTATCATGCTCATGACAAGTTCCATGTTCGTGCTGGAAACAAAATTTTGAGTGAGTCAATTTCTAAACACATTTTCCTGTCTTGCGTGGCAGTTTTGTAAATATTTATCGTTAGGCTTATAAGTTATTAGCCATTCAATATGTGTTTGTTGTTTTGACTAACTATAAATAGACATACATTTTAAGAGCATCTAACTCAATAACGTGAGCAGCCATGGTATTGCTATTTCGTACCAATAAAGAGGTTTAGTTGCTTTCTCTAAAGAACAAACTTGTGTTCACGTATGATATTTTTTGTTTGTGTAAGACAATAAAACATGTGTTGAAAAATTCATTTCACCGACTACCGACGCAGGTAGCGGGAGGGCGGGTTAGTGACCTCTGGGTGACCGGCCCGCCGTGACCCGGTCACTCCATCGCCGATCCAACTAAAAGAGCGCTGTCTGTACGCCGTGTTCTAAAATCACTATTCAATTTTCCAGTCACCACAAAGATCTGAACATAGAAAAAGGAGTGACAAGTGAATAAAACCAAAGAAGATGGCACGAAATTTTTGCTGATGTGACTACTCAGATTTTGGCCGATTTACAAGTGAATATGTAATGCTGAATGACCCGCAATTGATGCAGAAAGTGACAAAGGCAGAGTGTATGAAATGCGTTATCTGACAGATTTCTAATACAACGTATTGCCAAGTTACCGTAGTAAATAAGCCAGTACAGATCTTTTACTACAGAATACTGGTAAGCCTACTGTAGCCTACACTATCCCAATTTCATTTGGGTAGAGTTGATATGACGAGGCGATAAGTACAGAACTTTCAAAAAGTATGGATTTCCATAAAAATATGGAAAATCGGAAGTACTGATAAAAGCAAAACGCCTTAGTATACAAGAAACTGGTTATTTTGAAGGCTTTTATTGGAGGACCCTGCATTGAAAAGACAGAGACTAAAAACAAAGAAGAAAAACCACACCTAAGGTACTACATGTACTTACAACATATGAAGCCGGCTCAAAAGGAGCTTGAATGCTTGTCTTCTTCTTTTTTGTTTTGCCTTCTGCTTCACTCTTTTTTGCTGTTGAAGAGTACATAAAATGGTGTTAGATGCGCATGGATACAGGGAGAGATATTAGAAAGAGAGGATGATATAAACTCAATCACATAGATTTTATGTTTTTGATCGCAAAAATTCCTATAAGACTGCAGTTTCTCTTCTCTGAACCCTGTTTGTTGTCAAAGTCTGTCTGTATTGACCATGCGCATGACCACACCCTCTTTAGACACCACCCAGGCCCAGATCTATCATCAATACTCTGTGTCTTTGAGGAAGTATTTAGCTAAAGAAGAAGCAAAGTTGAACTTCCATTGCTGTCACTATCATCTGAATGAAAATCTCCCTCTATTTCACTGGCATAAATATCATCAGCACTACTTTCAATAGCTTCTTCTCCAATATCGGTTTGTTTTTTTTATGAGCTCATTTAACACCTCTCAGCTGAGTAGGGTCACTTTGCCTTTGTTCATATTATTAACTTATATTCATATAAAAACCAACTGACCAACATTCAAATGAGCACTAAAACAGTGTAACTTGGGGATTAGTTAACTAAGCTTATTATATATATTTGAATGCTCTCCGCTTTGCCTCTGATTTCAAGGGGCTCAACTCAGTTTCGACCCGTTAGCTTCCCTTGTTTATTTTATAATAAAGTATTGACCTTCAGGCGACACCGATACCTCAGGGAAAATAAGAAGTACTTTTTTTTTCTCGTTAAATCAAACAAATTTATGTGCATGTCTGAGTGGTATGTGCTGTTTTAGGTGCAAGTGCAGAACTAGATACTTCAAAGTGAATTTTTACGACACAACATTATCATTGTGATTTGATAGCATCCTGAAACTATAAAACAGCACCAGTCACAACACTGTGTAGGTGAAAGGAGACAATGACCATGCATGTGCAGACCTTTCAGTTTTATAACATCTGACAATCTGACCGAATGAGAAGAGCAAGTGAATGCGCCAATTACAATACTACTAGCAATTGACCTGCTCGGCAGAGCTGATGTGCATGCAAGAAAACAATCTTTGTAAATGAGCAGGCAGAATGTAGATTTCATTGTCTGCTAGCCCACGTCAACCTCTCCCTTCATTCCAACACACACAAAGACTGGTAAAGCAGCTCAGAAAAATAAGTTGCTGTGAACTAAACTGAGTTGTTAAGCTGATTTTCTACTTTAAAACAGGTTCTTAAACCTGAAGATAAAAAAGGAAAAAATTCCATTATAACACAGTAAAAGCAGGACTTAAAGGAACAAGGTTCTTACATAGACTGTTATTCGGTGGAGGCCACTGTATACAGTCAAACCTGTGTAAGACGGAATCGCAAGGGAGCGGGGGAAAAATTCCGTCTTTAGACATTTTCGACACGTCTTAGACAGAGGAATTTAGGGAGGGATGTGGAGGTTGGGGAAGGGGGGGGGGGGGGTGTCAAAGGCCCCGTCGGTGGGATCAAGGATCGCTTGTCCAATCGGCAAGCAGTGGTCAAAACTTCACATCTCTCAGCTGCTATCCTGTCTGATAATGACAAGCGTCAGTCTTACGTATCCAATTACCACCAGTGCTTGCATTTCATAGGACCACTGTTTGACCTGTTAAAAGCAGAAACGTTTGAGCATCTCCTTTACTTCCTCCCTTAGTCCCACCCACCAATGCCATCCCTCACTGCCATCATTGTAACAACGATTTGAGGAACTTGTTTCTCGGCTGGCTGTGCGATCAGGGCGGCAGGCATTGGTTAATTTCACCTCTCTGGCTTCTAGCTAGATATCCAGGAAAGTTTCCGTAGTGGCTCGCTACTCGAGCACTATGACAAGCAGTCGTGAGATTTCACACCCACACTACACTGACCATCTGCATCGCTCAGGGCTCACATGATGGGGCAACATCTACCCCCAAATTGCACCCCTACTACCCTTCCTCGCACAACTTGCGAGTTTTATTTCAAATCAGGGCCGAGCGGGCAAAGCATTTTCCGTTTTAGACAGGTGAAACCCTCGGAAGGGAGCAGATATTTCTTTCCGTTTCCGCGTTGGACAGGTTTCCGTTTTATACAGGTAATTAAAGAGGAATATATCAAGGGGGGGAGCGGGGAGATTCCGTTAAGACAGGTTTCCGTTTTACACAGGTTTCCGTTAAGGCAGGTTCGACTGTATTTGACTTTAAAGAGCTATTCAGCCACTAAATATCAAAAACATTTGGCAGCATTGAGTTTATCACATTTTATAGTAACTGGAATCATCACAAACACTTAAATCAAATAATCCTACTGTTTAAATTTATCAACTCAAGATACAAATCAAAGTCGCTAAAAAAGAATGGGAGAACCCTAGCAATCAAAGAAAACAACAAAAAAGAACTGCTTTTATAACAGATGGAAATAACGTAAAAATGGAAAGACAATTTTTTTTTAAAAAAGAAAGAAAACTTCCAACAGTTACATTGTAGTTTCCAAATTCTTTTGAGAAACTGGTTTGCATTGATTTGCACACTTGTGGTAGTGAGCACATCAATAAGAGGTTAAAAATTCCCCAAATACTCGTCTTAGGATACAAAAATAGAAATTACCTTTCAAGCTTTGTGTTTTGAGTCTTCGAAAAAGCCAAGTATCCAACTTATAATTATTTTTTTGCATAATCCTTATATTTTCACCTATGTAACGTAGTAACAACAAAATAACAATAATTAATCAAATTGGTTTTAAACCAACAACAAAGTGTATTACCGACGATGTAGACATTGAGAGAAAGAAGCACATAATAATTTAAAATCCTTGTACTATCTTTTTTTAACAATGCCAAAAAAAACCAAAAAACAAAAAAAAACTTTTGACAACGAAAAAAGTATCAAACATTTAATCAACACCTGTGAACGTTATAATACACACCATAAATGCTGTGGGTCACTAGACCTGAGCCCACACTTCAAAATGAAAATGGAAAAGTGAAAGTTCAGCTCTTTCAATTCTTAGTTTAATAAGACTTAGTTTTGGTAAGTGTTTTACAGCATTTGCAACACCGCCAGATCACAAAAGTGCCAAGGATTAAAGGTGTTACAAGAAAGTAACATACACATAATAGAAGACGGAGAGATAAGGACGATAGATATTTGACAGAAAAGGAGCAAACCACATCAGAGCACCCGCCAACCACCCACCTTTAACTCTTAGTTTCTTACTGCACAAACAAAAGCCACAATGGCTAAAATCACTAAAAATATTAACACAGCATTTACTACAGCAACATCTGCATTGGTTAATAACAGAACCCACACTAATAATGAAGGTCTAATTTTTTTTAACATGTCAGTTCAATTACTGACAATGTGCAAAAAGGGTCTCTTTCTTTTTTTTTTTAAAAGGGTCTAACTTGGGACATTGATACAAAAATCTAAAGACAAACAATATCCAAAGTAGAAACTCAAACTTCCCTGTTGCAACAATTGGAAGTATGGGCTCATAAACATACCTGAGCGGGTAAGAGGTGACATTCCAACAAGAACGTCAGAAGCTAACTTTGCCACCTTGCCAGGAATCTTACTGGGGCTGCGGGATGGGCTAATGCACAGAGAGCCACGCGGGCTGTCTTCACCCTCATTTTTCTCCTGGTGACATCAAAAACAGACAACATGCAAGTTTATTACATGAAATTCATTTAAATCCCATTTATCAGGCATTCAGAACACCCTAAAACGTCGAATTCCTAAAACTGCATCTCTCTACAAGGAAAGAACTAGGAGAATCATAAAGTAAGAAAAACTTATCTTTACAAAAATTTCCCTTTAGATTTCGACATATTGAACCAGAAAACAAAGAAAGATCCAATGGTCAGCATTTAAAAAAATCTATCACCTTAAAAACAAACTATATCCTTGAAGTTTAAATATGTAATAACTAAGTCACTCTGCCATGTAGGAAACTATTTCTTGTATTGTATTAAGATTTTGTTTATTTAAACTGATTGTTTGTCAAGAGGAAAAACGAGTAATTACAAAGAAAGTAATTTTCAAACTTTAAAATGACATTTCCATATTAATCTCCACTAGTTTGACCAAAGACAATTCAGAAAAGTATTTTGTTCAACAACTTCTCTTTCTTACCTCAATTGGGCGGAGGGACTTGCGAGGTGTGCCACTGTGCGTCTGTGGTGAAAAGATTTTTACAGACATTTGTAGAGTGCAAAAAAAGCAGCTTAGGAGATGAAACACATTTAATGTTGCATCAGTTTATATGTCTAGAAGATGTACTTGAGCCTGTGACAGAATATTCAAAGAGGAAAAATAACACAGAATTTAAAGAAGAGAGGAAAGGCAAGGATCAAAAATACTTTGTACCCCCTGGAAAATAATTATTTCATACAGGCTTTGAAAAAATCAAGAGTTGTACATGGCACACAGCACACTCCTTAATGAACCCAAACTTGACAGCGGTCATGATTTTAACACTTATTGAAGGATTCAACACAAAGTTTGGCTTTAGGATAAAAGAACATTCAAAGACACCATGAAGAATGAAAACATTGATTTGGAGAGGGGAACCAAAATACAAATGAGAGCCAATAGGGCAAAACAGAAGGAAAAAAACCCCAACAACCAACAATTGCATACCTCAGGATCCACCGATGAAGAGGCAACTGTTTGCTTAACATTGTTCATTCTCTTTCGAGATTTCTTCAGTGCAACTGGTGGTGTGGCATCAACTTCTACATAGGATGTTTTGTCCTCTTCTTCCACAAACTCTAAACGATTGGGATAGCCAGTATCAGGAGAAGCCATCATTGGTGGGGGAGATATTCCCTGAGATGAAATATAAAACCATCAGTGGAAAGATCAAGTATCATTTTGTTATGTATCCAAAAGACATTAAAACAAATACTACTGGATATAATATTATCAATAAACCATCTCTTCTGAAAAGATATCTTCGTACTATTTTTGCTTTTAAAAGGTTCTTTCGGGGATCTTTAACAAATAGCAGCAGAGAATCTTCTTTTTCACTTAAGCAACCATCATTCTCCTGCTGGAGTTAAGTCGTCATTCCTATAGACTGGTCATTCTTCCCAACTAGGTAAGAGAAAATTTTGTGCATGCCACAGTTCACTTATAGGGCATTTAAATTCATTTGACATGAGAGAAAGAGAGAACCCAAAACTGACGGAAAACAAACTTGTGCCAATCATTTGCATACTTTTCTTAATTTTGTTTATCTCAGACAACTTTCAAAACACCTGACCAACAAATGAGCAGAGCACAGCCTGACCTGTATTAAAACAATACAATAACCATTAAGTGACTTGGTCTGGATTGTGCTAGCGGAGCCAGTACATAGCTTTTGAGATCTTTCTCATGTAACCAACACACCGGAACCAACAAAAGGTGGGATCAAGAACCCCAGTCACTAAAATACAAAAACAACTTTTGATCATTGTAGGTACCTGAACTTGAGCAAGCTGGATGGAAAGAGTATTGTTGGACTTCCTCAGTTCAGCTATCACAGAGTCTTTAGCATTTGTTATATTGTTCACATTTTTGGCCAAGTCAGCGTTGTCTTTCTTCAATTGCTCAACCTGGAATTATTTGCAATCAAACATTGGTATCTAGAACAAAATAGAGCTATGTACATAAGAAAATCTGAAAGACAATCTCTACAAAACATTCTAACAATTCAAAACACATACTGACCAAAAAAAAAAAAAAAAAGACAAGCATACCTGTGCACTTGGTTTATCGTGTGCACAAAATGACCTGCCAACCTTCTTTATGACAACTTAACAAGTCTAAAATAAGGAGAGCCACTTCAAATAATAACAGGAATAATGACACACAAAAACCTGTGATTATAAAATCCTTTCCTCTATAAAACAAGACAATGACAGGAAGACAATACAATACCTTTGAATTTGATGCAAATGACATTCACAAAAATACCCAAAATGCATGGTACATTCATCAAGACTCAGGTCTTTATTCATAAGTATTTCAAACATATTTATCAATCTCATGGATGTCACAATATGAGAGAGCCACATTACCTCCTGACTCAGCTGTTTGTTGTCCTGCTGTCCCTTCCTGATGAGCTGCTCCAGTTTACTCACACATGAATCACGCTCCTTTTTCCAATTCTGAGGATAATCATTTATAACAGTATGAGAATTTCAAAAAGACATAAAAGTAGAGCCAGTAGGTAAACATTAGCTTGGAAAAACCCCCCCTAACAAAACAACAAAAAGCAAACTATGTAAAGTTAAAAGGGGAAGAAGACATACCTCTATTTCCTCTCTGTTTCTTTTGTTTGTTCGCTCCTGCTTCTGAAGCTCCTTCTCAAGATTCTGAACACAAAAAACATACAAAAACAATTAAAACAAAACAATGGCTATAAGAGAAATTAGGCTGTAAAAGAAAAAGAACTTCATAATCCAGAAAAGAACTTTTATTAGAGCTGCTATTGTAGAATGGTCATGCATACAACAGAGCATGAAAACCTATTTCTCTGCTCAAATGTGAATCTTAAAAAATCAGAAACACTTACAAATAGTTAACTAATCCATTTCATCTGTGCATGGTAAAAAAGTGTACATTCAATCAATATAAGCAAGACAAGGGTATTTCACCTGTACAGATTCAGTTTTCTCCTCAATGGACTTTTTTAACTTCTCAAGCTCCTCGTTCTTCTCTGAAAAAAAAAGAAAGGGAAAAAATACCTTTTTTTTTAAAAAGAAGAAAGTAAACTCAAAGGTCAACATTTCAAGAAGCACAATGCAGAATCTGTTGGGGTGGTAGTGGTGGTGGTGGTGGTGGGGGGGCTGAACTTTTCACAGCCATTTCATAAAAATTAAATTGCTGTTAGTCTCATATATATATTATACACACACTCTCAAAAATCTTTTACAAAGAGGAAATTAACAATGCATTATTAATGATTGCTCTAAGAGCCTAGAGTATTATGGGTTGAAATGTAAATAGAACCAAGTTCAAGAAATTCCAATATTCAACAGGTACAGCAGCTGCAATTCAAATGAAGTCCTTTGACACTGAGAGAGAAAACATGACCTCTCCTGCCAGCATTGTTTCCGGCACCAAGATTCCATCAGTTCCGGCTTTCCCTTACCAAACATTCAAATGCAAATCCTAAACACCCTGGCAACTGAGCAGCCAGGGGACCGTGGCCTTCTGAGGCACACTTCACAAGTTGTTTAATCATACCAACCACTTCAAAAAGAGAACCATTTAAAAAGAAAACCCAGCTTTGAAAGCACTTTAGTGCATATCTGGCACAGTAAAAATATCCTCCTGTGTTAACCATGCATAGTTACAGTACTTCTCCTTACTTTCAATGTCTGTCTTCAACTGAATGTTTTCCTTTTGTAACTTTACATTCTCTTCTCCAAGTCTGTCTTTTAACTTTGTGTGGTCGTCTTGTTCCTGTTTTTCCTGGAAAAGCGTTATACAAATTGGTATCAAAATAATGCGATAGAAAACATCAAGTTTCAATAAGCCATACCATACCCCATTAGAATCAAACACTCAAAATCATCATAGTAATAAACACTTTCATTTTCCTCCTCTTTTTTGTCACAAAGTATACTATGACTTATAAATAATATAAATAAACCAATCACACCAGACTGAATAGCACCATAAGCAGATTTTGTTGAACAAGTAAGTAGGGAAAGTTTTGTGAAGATTAACAAAAGTTAAAGTTTTCAAGTCTATGGAATAACCTCTGCTTAAAGCAATGAAACAGATTCAACACTAGTTCAAACTGTTAAAAGCAGAAATCAATGCATCTATTCTTCAGCTAATTGTCATTTACAAATTGCAGCATAGTCAAGTACGGCTTTTTCTTTTTCTTTTTGAAGTATAAAAAACATCAAAATAAACTAAGCATAAAACTAAAGGGGCTTACCAATTTCAGCAAGTGTTTCAGTTCTGTTTCCACCTGTCGTTTGACTTCTAACTCCTCCAAACGTTTCTTGTTCACAGACTCTACTTCCTCCTCCAAAGATTTTTGTTTACTTTTCATTTCCCTCATCTCGTCCTCCAATTCATGTTTTCTTTTGTCTGCTAACCTTATCCTTTCTTCCAGTTTTTCAACTTCCCATTTTTCTTTTTCAATTCGTTTTGAGCTACTGTCTACATCATCCTGCAATCGCTGTTTTTCTTTCTCCAGGCGGTCAACTTTACTTTCCAGTTCACTTTTCTCAGAGTTTGATTTCTGAAGTTTTTCATGGAACATTTTCTCTCGTTCCTCTGATTTCTTTGTTTCATTCTCTATCTGATGCATGGAGCTGACTTCTCCTTCCAGTTTGGAAATCTGAAGCATGAAAGATACTTTCAATAAGGTCACATGATTTTTAAAAATTTGAGAGACAAATTTGTACAACCTCCAAGAGAAAAAAAAAAATTTTTTTTAAATCTTCCTTGGCAAAATTTACCCCAAAAAATCAGCCCCTGTCAAATTACATTCCTGATATCTGAAAGTGAGAGGACGCATTTAGTAGCGTAAATAACGCAAATCTTCACATTTTGTTTCCCACCTAAATTTTGTTTGCTTTAGTAGGGGTTTTACGGCCCTTTCAACTGCATAAGGTCATATGAGCGCCAAGGGGTGGGTGTCAACAGAGAAGTCCTTACAGGGAATCATACTTACTCTGCTCACTTCTCTAGCTTCAACAGCACAAAGTCTGCTTGGACTATCAAGGCACCCCGGAAATAGCAGGTCACAAGAGTGTGACAAACATACAAAAGAAGTAGAGGAAAATGACGATAGTAAGGATTAGGCGAAAAAAAGCAGCAGTTCCCTGTTGCATTTCAGGCACAATTATGAGCATGACATTGATGAATCAGCATATTTAAAATTCTACTGTGCATAAAAACATGTTAATGTCCCCCCTTTGGGAATGGCCTAAAGACACTTCAGTGAGTAGCACCGTCCCAGGGAGTCCCACCTAATTTTTTTCTCTCCCAATATTCAAATCTGAAAATAGAGAAACCTATACCGATAGTAAATAAAAATAATAACAGGGACAAACTCATTAGCCAACGAAAGCAGTTTGCGACTTCTAAGTAACTGTGACCAACAAATGGATGGTGAAAAGACAAGAAACACTCCGTCCTTTCAACACACCTGTGACTGCAGACGGGATATTTCCTCTCCTTTCTGATGCACAGTTTGAGAGAGCCTCTCCAACTCAGCTTTACCAGCATCTTTTTCTGCAATGAGAAGTGTAAATTTCAGACGCAATTATTGAATGGAAACGACCCTAGACAAAGCATTCTCATGGACATGTTTTTTAGCTCTGCTGCCATTGAGAAAAAGAATGAAAATAAACAATTCTTAGTTTTAGTAAGAGTTTTACGGCACTCGCAACACAATACGGTCATATAAGTGCTGAAGATTAGAGGTGTTACTAGAGTGTAACAAACATAAAAAAAGGAGGAGGAGAGATAAGGACGATAGATGTTTGATAGGAAAGAAGAAGCAAACCACACCAGAGCATTCGCCAACCAAATAAACAACAGACAAATAGTAACAATGACCATGAATACACAAACATGCTTCAAAGGCACGTACATCCACAAAGTAATCACAATCACAAAACAATTCCAGTCACAAAGTCATATCAAAACGTGAAGCATATCTTCAGTTTGCACACAACAAAATCAAATCTGTGTTCCTTGCATCGTGATGAAACGCACAGGACAAGTGCACAGAGTACAGACTGCTAAAGTAAAAGCCTGTTTCTACGTTCACAGCAAAGTTACCTGACTGAAGACGCCGCAGTTCGTCATCCTGAGTTTGAATGATAGATTCTTGCTGGCTCATGGTTTCCTCAGAATCAAACATTTCAGCCTTCAGAGTTTTCAGATCTTTGACCATTTTCTCAATGGCTGTGAAATAAACAAAATATTACTAACAAACATGTCTAACCAATCAAAACAAATGTTATATTTACCATTTGTTTCCAGGGCATATTTGTGCTGCCTACATATTTGAAAGCAACCCCAAACTGATCACATTGCAAGCCTATCACACGTGTGGCACTGCTGCAAAAACAGGTACCAATAAGCATACTATCCTATGAAGAGAGAAATGTCTTGTTTCCTTATTCTGAACAATTTTGGAGGAGTTCCAATAATTATCGGGAAAATGCACCGATGCGTATCCATGATAAATACTAACATTCTACAAAAAAGAATATAAATATAATTACTACATTCTGAGACAATATGCACAGGTCAAACTCATGATAAACATAAATTTTGTTAACATTCATAGGCATACCATTGTGTAAGAACAGTTAAGAAAGAGGGGGGTGGGGGGTTCCCAAATCAAAAGTAAACTTACTATTTTGAGCTTCTTTGTGACTTTCTTTCTCGTGTGCCAAGTTCTTCTCCAGGTCTGAAAAGTTGCGTTGCTGTAAAAAGAGGAGGAAGAGAGAACTGATATCAACATGCTCTCCGGTGTAGATTCTGCTTAAAGCAATAAAAAAGTACTTTAAAAAACGGACAGCTACCAAAGTTCCGACAAATTATTTGAACAAGTGCTCATTGAAATTTAACATTGAAAGAGATTTTTCTAAGCTTCACACTCTTCAAGGCATACACATATAAGTAAGTCTATTCCATAAAACCACGATTTCAAAAGAAAATACCTGTTTACTCTTTCACTTTATCAAGTATAAAAATGATCGTTATAATAGTGTTCAAAGTTCTACTTTCTGTGCAAATCCCCAGCAACTACAGTAATAACCTAATGTGTGCCTTTGAATTGAAAACCCTTTAAAAAACAAAACAAAAGAAAAACAACAAATTGATTTCAGTAAGCACCAATATTAACATTTTTTTTGCATGGCTTCATCTTATTCAGGTTGCATAATTCGTTTTAAATGTATAACTCCTAAAGGCGTATGGTACTGTTGGCAGATTATTCCACCACTATTTGCTCTAAAATTTATTTCCACTCTTGCTTTAAAACAATTCATGTTCTTTCGTTATTCTTAATGCCAGTCAAAGTTGACTCCCACAATATGCAATAGCCAACAAATCTGTTTTAAATCAGTTTTTTCGTTTATTTCAGCCAAAATGAGACGTGATTGCAAACATAAGGTCAAAAGAATTCCTTCCTTTCTCACCCATGGTACAAATCACAAGTATCCCCACATCCTAGGTCAGGCTTCTGTGCAGAGTTCTCAGACACAAAAGAGTCCCTTAACAAGCACAACTGTGTGCCAGCACCTTTTTCTATCCCTGAGCTTAATTAATGAAAACAAGGACACCCATCCCTTGTACAAGTAAGTTGACATTATGTTCACAACAATATTCAATTCTAGTGTAACATATCTTGACCCCCCACACACGATAGTTTCTTCGGTAGTTTTTTTTCTCAGATTCCTGAAAGTAACTCCATAGAATATTGAGAAATGAATTTGGAAACAATAAATAGTCCGAGAGACTTAAGACATTGTGATAAACAACATTAGCATTTGAGCTCTTAGCAGCATTGGGATATAGTGGTCCTTCTGACAGCTATTATATAGAATACTTTGTATCCTCAATATTAAAAAACAAAATTTTAGGACAAATAACAAAGTTTGAGGACTGCACAGAATCAACTAGGACCATGTTATATAATAAATGCAGAGAAGAGAAAAAAGTTTCTTACTAATTCCTTCTTCTGATTAATGTCATTCCACAGCTGCTCTAGCTCTGCATTCTTCTTTGCCAGTTCTGCCTTCATTTCTTCCACTTTATCTTCTTGTCTCTTCTCCTTGTCTGCTGACATTTTGTGCTCCTCATAGAGACGTTGCTCGAGCTTTGGATAAATTGTTACAAGCATTTCATTACAAGGTGATCAAGAGTGCCATTTTAACATTCAGTGCTGGGCACAAAAAGACAACCTCAACTTCTTAAATGCACTGTGCAGTAAGATTCAAATTCTAGAAGTTCATTAGTTAGCATGGCTTGCGTACACAATGGTTAAGAAAGTCTTCAGGATGAACATTCTTAATCAAAAGTTCCAGGGGGGAAAAAAATCACATAAAATCATCCAATTTTGATTTAATTAAATATAGGGAGGGAGCCACCATATGTCATTCTCTTCTATAGTAATATACAGTGCTTCCACCAGCTGAAGGTGAAAAGTAAGGAAAATTTTGCCGGGGTCTGCGGGGCCAGGGACAAAGTCCCGGTGGGTGTTCAGGGGGCCATTCGGCCCTGAAGAAATTGAAATTTAGTGCTTTTAGTCTTTTAGAGGGTTAAAAATGGCATTTGGGAGCCTGTTTGAAGAGATTGCCAACAACCCATATTTATTTGTTCGCCAACATTTTGTCTTGTTTGATTTCTCCACCAACATATCTTTCCATTATTGCTGGCAATGTTTAAAAGCAGGATCTCCTTCTATTGCTACTATAATTCAATTAATCTGTCATCCCACCATTGATTAAAGGCAAACCTGGGAATAATGAATAGATATGTACCTTCACTATACAGTTACCCAGCGTATACCCTAATTTTCCACAATTTTCACTTCTGAAAGTTGCAAGTCACAACCTCGGAACACCACTTCAAATTATTCTTGATTTTAGTAAGTTTTAGAATAAATTTCTTTCATCGCGGCCCTTATCGCCTTCCCGTGCCGTAGAATCTTCGCATTGATAATTTCTCTAGATCTAGATTCTAGACAATAAATTTGCAAGCAAGTTTCTTTCTGACACTAATTTTCTGTCTAAGATCACAAGTCAATTTATTTGATCAACGCGCATATTTTCCAGCTGCGGCAACAGTCCAAAGATAGTCAGACGGAATAAGTCAATGATAGAGAGGAGGAAATTGGCACAAAAGGTTCGCCAGATTTTGATCAATCTGCAAGTAAAAAATGTACTGCCTACCAACCCGCAATGAAGTTGAACGCCTGGGGCATAGCGGAAAAATGGCCGATTGCAGGAAATGCGCAATCTGGCAGGTCTCTATAACATTAACTTATTGCCAAGAGAATTACCATAAACATCCGTAACTTATACAAGACGGCACGAAGTCGAGTTCGGATCTTTTGCTACAGAATTTCGGTAGTTCTACGCTTTTTTACGGAGGGAGTTGATAATGATGGAGGAACAAGTACGGAACTGGCAGAAAGTACGGATTTCGGTAAAAATACAGAAGAGTGGAAGCACTGAATATAAGTTGAGACATCTGTATATTTACCCAACAATACTTCACAATGACAAAATTTTTATACAAACAGGATAGTCACTAATAGCATTATAAAAAACCAACATTATCAGCTGTGTGCAAAAAAAAAATATTGAAGTAACCTGGTTCAATCGATCCAGCTCTCGACATTTAGTTTCCAATTCTTCCTCCCTCTCCTTTGCTTCGGTAAGTTTCCTTTCGGCAGCTTTTTTCTCTTTTTCCAAAGCCAGTAACTTCTGGGAAAATTCTGCTGCCTCTTCCTGCTGCCTTTCTTCAACCTCTTCAAGCTGAAATAAGAACAGCTATTTGTAAAATCATTCTAAAAAGACAAGACATCTGTGGCTATAAATAGGTCCGGTGCTGTGATACATGATCAGAGAAAAGAAAATGCAGTGGCACTGATCCATTTTACGAATATTTTTGCGATACAAGCAAAGAAAAAAAATTATAATATATTTAACTGATTAAAACTTTACTGTAATACAGTTTCAACTCAATTCAAATAAAAATCTGTGTACTTCAGAATCTATATCTAGAAAGGAGAACTCACCTGCTTCACTTTGTTCTGCAACATTGTTTTGAAGTTAGCAAGTTCTTCTTCCAGTGAAGTCATTGCTTCAGCCATAGATTCTTCCTTGTTGGCATGTTGCTTCAAATCATTTAATTCAGAGGCAAATTGGGCTTCTTTGGTTTCCAACTCCTTCTCTCTAGAACTAAGCTGTTCTTCTTTGTGGGTTAACTGTTTCTGCAGCTCATCCTTCTCAGACATAATTTTTTGCACAGCAGCCGAGTCATTGGTGTGCTTCAGTTCGAGCTCCTGCAATCTTTCACGGCATGAAGCTAGATCCTTGCTGTCTGCTTCAAGCTTACTCTGAAGTTCACCCTTCTCTTTTAAAATGACTTCATTTTCTTGGCATTTACGACTACATTGTTCTTGTGCTTCAGCTAACTGGTCAGTCACACTTGTCACCTTCACCTCCAAGTTGTCTATTTCTCTACTAAGAGCACCCATTTTCTCTTCTGCGCTGTTCATCACTTCCTGTGACTGATTTTTTTGCTCTTCAATGGAAAGAATCTCTTGCTTCAACCTTTCTACAGATGCCTTCAGATGATCCCTCTCTTCTGTTGCAGTCTTCAGAGCCTCCTGACCAACAGCCATTTGCTCCGTAAGAGTTTGTAGCTTCTCCTCAGTTGCTTTCACCTGAGTCTCAAGTTCATTCTTATTTGCTAAGGTCAATTCTAAAGTTTCCTTCAGCTGAATAACCATATCTTGATGCTCCCTGCCAGACTGCTCTTTGCTGTTGTCAATCTGAGTCAGTTTGTTTTCAGCATCCTCTCTGGCCTTCTTTTCTATCTTAAGGGCCTCCTCAGAGTTCCTGAGCTCCTGCTCTTGTTGTGAGAGTTTCAGCATCACCTCTTCCAGTTTTATGGCAAATTCTTCATTTTCAAATGTCAAAACACTGTCTGTGACATTTTCCTCAGGAGCAAATATACTAGTTTGGTTCAGCCCTTTCTTTGGATTACCCAATATGACATCTTGAATGAAAGAATTGGTCTGATTGCTCTGTCCTTTGATTGACGCAATACTCAACCGAGCCTTCTTGTTTGCGGAGAGCACCTGGAGCTGCTTGTAAGCACAGCTAAGGGAGAGGAATTGCTGTTGGACTGTTGACAGTTCTTCTGATATCAAAGCAATTTTCAACCGATCATCTGAACCACCATCAGAACTATTTGCTTTTACAGAGGCAACATTGGTACCTTCATTTTCAGAGTCCACACAAAGGGAATCAGAGAAGGCAGAGGACACACTCACATCTACAGCAGTTGTGGCTTTTCTCTTGCCTCTAAAAGACTTAGATTTTCCTACGGTTTCCACTTTACACTTATATTTTGCAAGGTCCAATTTCAAATTTTCAATCTCAGCAGTATAGCCATGAATGAGAGCTTGCTCACGTTTGAAAAAATCTTCCTCCTCTCGTTTCAGCTTACTACGCAGTGCAGCATTGGCCATCTCTGTCTCTTTAAGTTTGACAGCAAGATCTGTGTTTTCTTGTTCAAGTCCAGTTTGTGTCATTGGTTCAGGTTTTGATCTAAACACAATTTCCTCATCCTCATCATCTTGAATCATGCTGTCCACTTCTTTTTTAATTTCAGGCGTATTTTTCTGTTCGATTTGGTTGACTATGTCAGTTATACATGTTTTGGAAGGACTGGAGTAAGGCCTCTTTTTCTCCATGGTAGAAATCTGATTTCCCAAAGCCTGAACCGTTCCTGACAAGTCTTCATTTGCTTTGTTTTGTTCCAGTAGTTGTTCCTGCAGCTTCTCAATTTCAGCATTTAACTCCTGCTCTTTCTTTTCACTGTGACTGAGAAGGTCCTTCAAACTTTCTATCTCAGAACTGAGATCCCGAAGTTTTTCTGCTTCCAACCCTAATTCCTTCTCTCGTTCACAAAGCACCTCAACCTTTGCCTTGAGTTCCTCGATTTCAGAATTCAGCCGATTCTCTTTCTGTTCCTGCTCAGACACTTGGTATCGGATATTCTGAAGTTCCCCTTTCAACTTATTTTCTAATTCTTTGCATCTGTCGACTTCATTCTTTGATTCCTCCAGTTGAGACTTGTATTCCTCTGTCTGCCCTTTATGCTCTTCCGTCAGCTCCTTTAGCTTATCCAATTCTGTTTTCAAGGCTTTGTCACTTTCTTCATATTCTGTAATCTGTAGGCGGAGGGCATCCATTTCTGTTTTCATACTCTCAGCAGAAAGACAGTTCTGACTCTCTGAAGCTTCTTTTTCTCCTTCTGCACTTTCAGCCTCGTCACATTTCATTTTTTCTTCATTTTCTCCTTGTTCCTCTCCAGTCTCACTCTGACCTGGAGCATCAGACTTAGCAGATTCCTTTGACATTCGCCCTGACGAACTTGAAATCTCCAGGTTATGACGGCTTTGCTCATCAATTTGACTCATCTGATCTTGGAGTCTCTCAATTTCACCTAGCATGGGAAAATAAAATAAAATCAGTAGCAGTTGCTGTAGGGAGAATCCAACAACTGGCAGCAAGACACCCTATCTGAGAAAATTCACAGTCAAAATTTAGCGCACAGTAAAAGTTGATGAAATGATACTATCCCTTCGAAAGAAATATTAGCTTATCAAAAATACTTACAGCTCCTATAAAGTCCATACCAAATGGTTCAAGTAAACTTCAGAGGATTTTCTAAAATTTGAAAGACACCCAGCTCTTTTACCTTTGACTTTGTTCACTTTTTTTCAGTTGTTGGTAAGTTTTACGTCGCTCGCAACTGCATAAGGTCCTATGAGCGCGCTGGACACATTGAAAATTTTTAGTTTGGTAGGAATCTATTTTGAATTTTGCCCCCTGTGGCGGCCAAAGCCTACTCTTATCGATTCTGGACCACCAATAAGGGATCTGCAATGTGCATAGCTTGCACAAGGACCTCCGAGATTTTTCAGTTTATCCGAGAAAGTTAGGTGCTAGATCTTACCTACCATAAGACCAGGGGTGTGGCTGGAAGACAGCAGTACGAAGGAGCCAAGGAGTAGAAAGGCTGCAGAAAGAGTCAGGAGGATAGAGGAGGGGGCAAAGGAGGTGAGGGGGTGGGGGCAGAAAGTGAAGACGAAAGGAGAAGACAACATGGTTAGAGACCAGGAAAGGAGGTGTAAAGAGAACATTTTCCCGTCACCATCCAGATTCGAATCTGGTACCTGTTGGATGAGAGGCGAACACCATAACCCCTCGACCACGAGAGTTCCCTCTTTGTTTACTAAAGATCTCTAGAGGGTATATATCCTCACAACAGGCACTGTGTAATACATTTTAAACATCACAGAAAATTTGTAACCTTCTAGTAGTCAAAACTGCCTAAGCCAACCACTCATTGTTGAGGAGAAACATGGCTGTATTACACAGTCATAATAATGTAAAAAATACTACAGGGAGGAAATGGGAACTGGCTGTAGGTTTTGAAAAAAAAAGCCGGAAAATATATGGGCGCGCGCGCACTGACTGAAATAAGAATACAGTGAGACTAAATTATATTTGTTTCATTCCCGCTATTACAACAAATAATCTCTATTTAGTATAAATAATATGTATTGTTTATAGTAAGACTTTTGTTAAAAGCTGGGGCCCTAATGGCAAGTCGGCTGGAAAAAACGGAAGATTTACATACCTGTTATACAGACAAGTTTGACAGAACTTCCAATCATGCCATACCTCGTTAACCCTATCCTGCAAGCTCCTTATTTATCAGAGTTCTTTGAGCAGTATGATGAAGTCACCAACAATAAATAACTCACTTAGAGCCAAATCTGAGTTTTAACAATTATCTTTCTATCTAGTGACCCCTGCAATGCCCTTACAATTCCATTTATCTAAAAATAAAATAATTCTCCAGGTACAAAATACATCCAGCAGCCAGAGCAAAGCAGGAATGCCATTTACCTTGTAGTTCTTTACATTCTTCTTCTAGAGATGCAATTGTGGCATCCTTGCTCTTCAGCCTTTGAGAGATCTCTTCTTCTTGTGCAAGGGTTAAGTCTTCCTTTTCTGTCAGTGTCTGCGCAAGACTATCACACTTTGCCTTGGTCTCTTCCAACTGCTCTTTCAAGGCTCCAGAATTCTTTTCCTAAACCATTAAAAGAAAAAAATGCCAGAATAAAAGGCTAAGAAAGAATCTTTTCAGGTGGTAACTACATTTCAAACAATGAAATCAGAAACAGAGATAAATGAGAAGGCAAAGAACAGATCTGATTGACAAAACAATACCATTATAATGTCACCATTTAGATTTAGTCCTCCAATAGAGACACCCATGGATGGGCACAAACTGCAAGAATTAAGGAAAGTCAATTAGATAAGTGACCACCACCAATAAATTTTTAGAATTATCAGTTTAGAATTTACTTATGCTTCACCTATTTGATAGATTTTAAAAGTACATTACCTGTTCAGCCTCTCTTTTCTTTTCCTTGCCAAGAGTTTTCTTTAGCTCAGCAATTTCCTCCATGTGACGGTTGTACACCTCGCCAGCTTCAGTGAGCAAAGACTCCAGTTCTTCAATTTTACCATCCTGCAATTTAATAAGAGAGCTCGTGGTTCAATTACAATCACAGATAAGAAAACAAATCATGAAAATTATCTAAATGTTCTCTGTACTGTCATGTTACACTTTTCAAAGAACACCTAGAGATCAACAAGTTGAACCTTCAGGAGGTGCAACCCTTCTACAAGATAGGGGGAATATATAGGGCTTAAAATATCTATGCCCAGATGTGTGTTTGGGTCACATTTATTTGGGCTATGTCTCCAGTCTGTTTCCTTTCTCTCTTCTTGCTTCTTTACTTAAATTACAACAAGTACCTAAAAAGAATTTATACTCATAATATAAATTATAACACAGACCTGCCACTCTATGAAATCTAAAAATCAGGATTTCAGAGTAAAAAAATCAGGATCTGGTGAAAAAAATCGGGATCAGCAAATCAGTCATCATAAGTGGAACTGGGGAAAGGGGGGGTCCCTTTTATGAGGCAAGCATGCCAGATAAAACTTTCGCAGGAAAAGTTCCCATTTGGGCCTCAAAGTAGAGGAAAAAACTGAAAGAGAGCATGTACTCGAGTCTGAGTTGGATAGACATAGACTGGGGGAGCACAGGTTACATACAGTAACGCTTAACTTTAATCGCATATATACACTCAAGGCACAACCCCCCCCCCCCCCCCAAATAAAACGCGCCAAGGTTGTTCATTTACTATTATTTTCTTACTCCTTTATCCTCAATTAGAACATGTATAACGGCAAGCACTAAAAGCGTAAGTGTAAAAAAAAAAAACCCACCCCCCCTAACCCCGGTCATCCCATACTGGTTAAGTCCCGAAAAACACCTCGACCAACGCGACCGGTGTGAATGAACTTTGTTGACCACGACAACCCGCGGTCCTTGACACACGCGCTACTCACACGTACGAGGTCATGTTTACGTGGTGCGAATGAGTGTTTCAAAGTTCCACAGACAGGTCTTGATGATGGGCCCGACTAACCAGAACTCGGACGAAGCTTGCTTTTAAAGCAACGGCAGAACAGGGAATAGATTATTCTTAAGCCTATGTCATAATTATTACAGTAATCAGGCCATCATTGGAGAATGCTGGGTAACAAAAACGAAAGTAGATTTAGAGAGTATCCAAGTCGGAATTCAAAATCGATACTTCGTCGAAACAACATGCGTGAGTCAACTACTAGACCCGGCATTGATGTTTTAGAAATAGCGTTCTAAGTTCCTGCCGATAAAAAGTCCAAGCGGTGCTTCCAAGCAAATGAGATTGCAGAAATTTTTTTCTCTAAGAATCGGATGCAACAACAAAAAATCAGGATACTGGCGACCAAAATCGGGAAAATCGGAATGCTCGAGATTTGGGACAAAAAATCGGGATATCCCGATTAAATTGGGATGAGTGGCAGGTCTGATAACATTTTTATTTGTTTAGTGGACATGTATTTACAACTAACCAGACACTAAAAACAATACCATTAATAATATGAATTCAGTGCAAGTTGTCAAGTGTAAGTGTGCAATCCAAGTACATAGCAACAATCATGTGAAAATGTATAATTTTTTCGTGAAAAAAAAAATATGAAAAAACAAACAAACCTTGTCTTTGCAAGCCTCTGAGGCATCTTCAAGACGCTTCGTTAATGTCTCAACCAGCACAGAGTTGCCAATATCAACTGAGTCATTCACACCCTGATCATATGAAAAATAAGATCAATATTTTCATCTGATAAGCATACAAGTTTGTTTCTAAAAACAAATACAAAAGTTGTACAAAATAGGTGGCACAAAATATACACAAAATTATTTACTAACCAAGACACTTAAATCCAATTGAAATAGGAAAAGTATACAAAACTATACACCACTACACTAGAGAAGTGAGAACTGAAGCAATCCTTAACAAAAGGAGCAACAGGCGACGACATAATTGTCAATTATTGTCAATACAAATCCTCTACGGAAGGGGAAAAAAAGAGGGGGGGGGGAGACCAACTGTAGAACACTTTTTTTTAAATAGGAGAAAATAAAAAAAGAACAAAAGCTTAATTGGTGCAATTTAACGTAATTCATGTCACCAGAAAAAAAATTAGTCATGCCTGAAGAAGTTAATAGTTAACTTGAATAGAACTAAGACCTAATACACATAGAAAAAACAACAACTCATATACATAAACATACAGGGTCCCCATCAAATCCCTGAAAAAAATTTCAAGACCCCTATTCAAGGGAAAAATAAGGCCGCTGCGCGTCAAGAATGATCCCCAAAAAGCCCATCTATTAATGATAAAAAGTCACAATGTCTTTAAATGAATGCAAATGTACATTTCGTAGTATAGTCTTCAAACAATAAATGATTATAATACTGGGAGACTGCCAACCCAGCTTCTCAATTTTCCAGGAGGGGGCGCTCATCCATTTCCAGAGGGCATGTACATAACAATGGCAGCACGTGCTCCATTTATATCTAATATATGTATATATGTTTGTGAATACACACACACACGCGTAGGTACATTATATCCAGTCAACAACATGCCAGTGTGGTACTGGGATCTTATGTGACTTAGGTACTTCAGTCTGTTCTTATTTATTTATATTTTCCTCTCATCATAATACCTTACATAAACTATACAAAAATGAATCCTGTTTTGAGCCTGAGAAAAAACCTGGAACCAGAATATCAACTGTCAATAACCAGTCTCGGTGTAATGATTCATATGATAAACGTGAAGACGAAAATTATTGCTCAAACTCAAAGTAGAGTAATAACTTGAATGGCTCAAGTAGACCTACTCAGTGAGAGAGGTGTAAGAATTGAGGGATGGCAAGATGCAGTGACACTGAAAATCTGCCAATCTTGAACAGAAAGCTAAAATATAGATATAAATTACTACCACCCCATCCAATGAAACGCGAACAATAACAAGGCACAACGGATCCCGATTTCACACAAAGCCTGCACCAACGCGTGCTTTGCAGAGAGCTCTTATAGTAGTTATCAAAATTCTACGTACTAAAAATTTGCTCCCAAGTTCAGTTTTTGCCATCTAGTGTTGCCTCCACACACACCCCCTCCCGAGTGTATCTTTTTTTTTAAAAGTCAACCCCCCCCCCCCCTCCCCCCCCCCCCGAGTCCTATACTTAACAGCACTTAGACCGCCGGTACTCACACGATGCCTTATCATGTGATGCAAATGCACAAGTTCACTGACCGGTCACGATGGCGAGGCTGACAAGACGCTTGTATAACTTTCTTTTCTATTTTTGTTCCCACAAGTGACAGCACAGGATTTATTTTTATGACAACACTGCGTTTGTAATGCACAACCTGCTTGTTACAAATGACGAGTTATCTTTCAGACTAGGCCTATTACCGGGAAATTTCTGGGTGGTAACGAAAGCGAAAGTAGATCTTGATTCTTCCCGACCGAGCCTCGGTGTCACAGATACACTTCCGCCTGCCGCCATAGCGGTTCAATTACGTTTCCTCTTCATGATTCATCCACCTTACTGTCAAGACAGCTACACAACTAATATTTCACAGCCCTATCTTTTCCCGACTTCCCGACCCATCACAAAATTCCTAACTTTTTCCCGATTTCCCGACCTGGTGGAGACCCTAAACATATCTGAAAGCACCAAATGTTTTCAGCTTGAATTCACATTTTTGTATGTAATTCAATCAGTGTTGATTTTTTTAACCTGCTTTCTTAATTATCCATCTGAGCATTTAAAAAATGCATTTTGCTTAAAACAAGAAAGGGCACTTACCTGTTTTGCATCTTCCTCCTTACATGTTTTCAATTCATCGATCTGTTTTTCTAGGTCAGCAATCTTTTCATCTCTTTCCTGAAATGCAAAAGAAACGTGGAAATCACAATAATGATTTGGACAGAAAGTGGCCAACATAGTGACACAAGACAGCAGTGGTCTACGATGGAAAAACCCTGAAGTCATCCATCTACTGACTAAGCCTCAGTGAATCTACCATCAATCCAGGTGCTTTGGCAACGGAGGAGAGTGGCAAGCACTGTTCCTCTACAACAAAAAAGTAGTAAGTGCATCATAACTTTGAACAGTATTTCAATTTTTTGTAAATTTTCCTTAATACCTTGCTTGAATAATACCACAACATATGCAAAGAACAGGCTTTGATTTCCTTTAGTACAAAAGTAAACAATACACAAACCACTCAACTCATGTACTTTTGCCTGATCTACTGGAAGAGCATGTTCAAAGAAAAAGAGATAGCAAGCCAAGAATTGAGGCCAAAAGGAACAGTGTATTATTACCTTAACTTTCATCTCTTCCTGGTGGAGCAATAAGCTGGACACCCATTCATCGTCCTCATCAACCTTCCGTTGAATTCTTTCCAGTCTCTTCTCATAAACTTCCATGACGGCACGCACTCTTTCATCCGATATTTCTTGAGACTCTTCACTTGACTCCTTCAACAACGCACTGCAAAACAGAAGTCCAAACATGTTGTTTTTTTCTTACAAGTAGACACAATTTTAATCTTTCATATTCTTTTAGACGTTGTGGACTTTATGAAATCAGATGAGCATTATGAAACAAATTTATGCCTGCTCAGTAAAAAGAATTAAGTACTTCAACAAGTATATGTAACTAATAAACAAAAGCCAAAATAAAGTCAAAATATTTATTTTTTCTTTATTTGACCTCTTAGTAATGAGTAAAATACAAAACCTTATACATCATGTTTATTGCTATCAATTTTACTTGTCACAAACCAAACCACATTTTGGGGTTGCAACAGGAAATTCAATTGCTCTTCATGAAACAGCCAATGGAAAGGTATTCAAGGCACAGAACCAGACTTTTTTCAGCGTAATCCACGCTTGCCAACATTTTCAAAACCCAATCAGGAAAAGATAATTCAACATAATGTTACATAACAACAAACAAAACAACATCAAGTGGGACTGGTTTTGGAGTAGTACATGTGATACGGCTATCAAATTTCAAACTGTTGAATCCGGGACAAACCTGAGAAATTCGTAAAAGTAGGCAACCCATACTAGACTATCAGCTTTGCACACAAAGCACTAAAGAATGCATGGTTCCAAGAAGAAACAAAACAATAAATAACCTGTATGTCTCTTCAATTTCCACAACTTGCTGCATCATTGCTTTTGACACTTCTTCTCTGACTCGGGACTCAACGTTACTTGAATTTTCAATTTCCTCCATGACAATCTGCCCGAGTCGTTTATTGTTGGCTTCAAGTTTCTGAAACAAATACAATGTATTGGAAATTAATTTACTAACTTCAAAGTTAACACCATGGAGTAGCTGAAGCTTCACATAAATAAAATATAGAATTCACAAAAGGTTCCCAGAGACAAACACAAGGCAATGTTATAAAATCAGTTGTAAGGAAAAAACTGAAGATGCAACTTACTTTCAACAAAGAAAGTATAGTTTCTATATAGGTGAAAATACTATTGATACAATTTTCTAAATGTATAAGTTGGTTGATAAAAATGTTCAGGAGACAAAAAAAATTATATATTTTCCATTTCACTCAGGTGCCATGCTGAAAAGATTGAAATTTTCAGTTAAAGAATAGAATTCAAAGCAATTTTATGAAAATTACATGATTTACATTGGGGGGGGGGGGGGAGAAACAGCAACAAAAACCCAGAATTACATTTTAGAGAATTACAGTGAGTGGTTGGCTGGTGCTCTGGTGTGGTTTGCTTCTTCTTTCCTATCAAACATAAGCGCTCATATGACCTTATGCAGTCGCGAGCGCCGTAAAACCCTCTACTAAAAAAAAACACAAAAAAACATCTATCGTCCTCATCTCCCCCTCTTCTTTTTTATGTTTGTTACTCTCTTGTAAAACCTCTAGTTTTCTGGCGTTCATAAAACCTTATGCAGTTGCGAGCGCCGTAAAACCTCTACTAAAACTAACTAAACTAGAGAATTACATAGACTATGTTTCTTCGCAATACCTTTTTTTCTCTGCTCATTTTATTCAAATATAATCTAATCAAGTACATTTGTACTAGCAAAAATGTTTCAAGAAATAGATTAGTCATTAAAAGATTATGTTATAACATTGAACAGATTTTAGACGCATTTCAGCACTGGAGGGTAATAAAAAACTAACTCGACTTCTATTTATGACACAACCCAGTCAAATCACAGACAACAGCCACGGAAAGAACACAAGTCTAAAAATGCAATTTTCAGGATGTTGATTAGAGTCTTCCACACCAAAGTCCAGCATGATAACTAAGCTCACAGAGTGCTCTAATTTAAATTTTTTTTTAAGCTAGGCCTAAGACTGTAACCTTGATGTAAGATTTCATCTGCGGAAGAGTCATTTGAGGCTCTGAGTCGTCACCATCATCACACGCCTCGCTCTCGTCCTCTTCAACAATGTCATCTTCCAGGTCATGATCATACTCCAACATTTCTGCAAAGAACTCAGTAAAATTAATAACAATCCAGTGCATTTTACAGTCTAAATTGGCAAAAGTATCAATCAAGAGAGAAACTAATGGTTGTGAGTAAACGTCATTTCATAACCATAAAGACAAACACACATTTTATTTTTATCACTTAAGGCTTGTCATTTCTCACAGCAAAGGAACACCCACTACTCAGGAAATATAATTAGACCTGCATGTGAACCTCAACCAGATTGTCTGAAAATTTTGCGCACCCCCCCCCCCGAAAAGCTTTTGTAGGTGTCATAAAAGGAAGGACTTCCAAGTAACAAGTGACCACCCCAACAAACACAATATAAAGAAGAGACCTAACCCTAATCCAAACCCTACCCCAAAATAGAACCTGCAACGGTCCTTATGTAAAAGGCCAGCACAAGTCCAAAATGAAAGAAAAAAAACCCCTCCAAAACAGTGAGCATAATATGGCCTACTACTTTGCTATTATAATAGGGTTTGATACAACAACACAATAGAATTGGAATATGAATCGTCCATTTAGATCTAGATCAAGTAATCTAAATAAATCTAGAATCCAGACTCTAGATCTAGAAGAACAAGTGAATAGGAATAGGAGGCCTTGAACGAGAAATCCGCATCCGATTCCGAACTCTCGAACAGAGAGAGGGACTCAGCTGATGAGTCAAAGATTCTAAATAAATAGTTCACGCACCTGATGAAATGCTTTTTACCAGCATTAATATTACAGCACAACCTATAATAGGGTTTGACACAATAGAATTGGAATATGAATCCTCCATTGAGGTCTATTATGATCTATAAATTTAGATCTAGATCTAGATCAAGTACATGTAAGTCGGACTCAATCTAAGAATGAATCCACATAAACAGTCAACAAACGAAATTCAAAATGGCCGCTCTAGCACGAAACTGAAAGTAGATAATTAAGGTCGTCGTCCTTTTTCGTATTCGTATTTCTACTCAGGTTCCGACAATTATGTCGGAAACGCCGACGTCGGTACGAAAACGAAAGTGCCGACAAAGCCGACGGGAGAAAAAGGGGGCGCTGGCAGTTGGCCAGGCCTCGCACTTCGCACATTTACTTATACAGTGTACAGGTAGGCCTAGCGCCTAGCTATAGCACCGGCCGGCTCGCGATTGTCGGATTTCAGACGATTGTTGGCAAACATGCAGGTCTATATAATAAAAAATTTGAAAATTGGCAAAAACTACCAGCTTGTCCCTCACAAGGCACAAAAACAGTCAAGAATCAATGTTTTATTACTAATTTCTTCCAGGACCGTATTGTTCCTCTGTTAAATTTTTATCATTCTTAGCACACATGAAAAGCAAATCATTTGTGTCATTCCATAAGTTTCGACTTTGAGGAAATCAAAGAAAAAAAAGAATGCCCAAATCAGAACCATGATTTGAGCCCTCTTTATTTTTCAATTAAAAGCTAAGAAGGAACAAAACTATATTGTAAAATGCCCCTTGATGTCTTTATTCGAACAATATCTTTATACTTTTTTTTTTTTAACTCAACAAATCTAGGTATTGATCTGGAGGATTATGGAATGACACTGATGAAACATAAATCCCTTGGCTTGAAATAGGTTCCTATTAAAGTAATCCATTTACAGCACATCTTATGCTGGGTTTCTAATGATAACCCCCCCCCCCCATCTTCCAAATTCAGCATGACAATGGCAGTACCTTTAGTTTCCCAAGCAATGGAAGCTCGTTGGGCCGTTTGAAGGGCAGCTTTCTTGGTCGGTTTCGGGGGTTTTGGCGGTTTCTCAATGTGCTTGACTTGTTTTGCAATCGCGGAGAACTTGAACACATGCAGAGTGTCATCAAACATGCTCAAACATTGACTGACATTGACAATCATCGCTGCCCGGCCACTACCGTTGAAGAAATTTTGCAGTAACCTGGTGAGCTTGCTATCTCTGAAGGGTACCATTTTCTGTGTGTGTTGATCTCTGAAAAAGAGTCAATTGGTTATCAAATTAATTTTGTTTTGTGCACTTTTTTCCTTGCTTTTTTACATGTGGTCAAAGGCTATCATGGCTCAAGACAATTTGTTGAGCTGCCAAATAGAACTGGGCCTGTGGTGTAGCAATTAGGCACTTCACCTTCGCATGCAGGAGACATGAGTTTGGTTCCCATGAGGGGAGACTTATAATCGAATATCTCTGTCTCTCTTCAGGGTCGTAGTATCCCTCTCAGCTCAGGTTAGCCCTGACAGGCAGGATCAAAGTCCATCTCCTAAATTATCTAAATTCTGTCAATGGGTATGTAAAAAACACCTACTTTTATTTTTCTGAATAGCAAACCACTTTGCCACCCACTGGATGTACAGTTCAGTTCCAGTGCATAACTTAACTTAAAGACAAAGCACTTAACGCTCCACTGAGGTACGAAAATTTAGAGGAAACACTGCTACAAACCTTGAACTCCTTACAGATAGGTCATATTCATAATAATAATTTCTTTCAAATGTTTGAGTTTGAGCAAAGAGAAACACATTGACAAAACAAAAAAGCAGGATAGACAAACAGAAGACAAGTATAGAAGTAGGGACAACCAGTGGCACTTTCCACCCAACCACTCTCAGTATCTGGCACCCCTAAACTGAAAGCATTTCAAAGATCAACTATAAATACAGAAAGTAAAAAAATTTAAGCATAACAACAACAAAGGAAAATCACTCTACAATTAAAGCATTCACATCCATTAAATTTCAAAGTAGATATGCTATATAATAAATCCTTACTTGTGCATTTGGTTTTGTCTCAGGGTTTCAATGCATCGACCAAGAGTCATCAAAGATGTGTTGATATTTCCAGCCTCTTTCAGTCGGTCACCACTCGCTTGTGTTTTAGAGTAGCGTTCAGATCCAGCCAAGTCACACAAGGACAACCTTTTGTGAACGATAAAACATTTGTCGAAACAAAAAGAGATATTAAATGTGTACCACCTTTTGGGGTGGTGGTGGGGTAATGTTGTTTAGTTTTAGTTAAAGTTTTACGCCACTTGCAACACACCAAGGTCATAAAAGTGCCAAAGAATAGATGTGTTACAAGAGATTAACATACACAAAAAAGGAGAGACAAGGACGATAGATGTTTGAAAGTAAAGAAGGAGCAAACCACACCAGAGCACCCGCCAACCACCCACAGTAATGTTGAAGGCAGACAGTAAATAATGTAAGTTTGAAAAAGAAGGGGGAAAAAAGAGCAAAGCAGGCAAACATGGTCTTATGTGGAGAAAATGTGTCACTGAAACTGCATGAACATGTATTTATCATAAGTGACCACATAAATGTTAGCCTTACACTTAACATTTTAAGAATAAAACATTTTTAATACAAAGAAAAATGAAACTACCATTTATTTGAGCTATACACTTGCACACAAAATCCAAAAAAAGGAAAGCAAGAAAGAAGCTGGCACAGAGTTTAGTTTTAGTAAAGTTTTAACGGCACTCACAACTGCAAAGGTTGGCACAGAGAAAAGACTTCTATGGAACAGACAGCAAGAAAGACTGGTTAAGGAGAGCTGAAGCTCTTTTGAAATTGAGGAGATGACACAGCAGGAAAAAAGGGTAATGAGCCGATGCATGGGGGCAACATCATTAACCACATGGTACAAAAGGTAGAAAAAAAAAACCCACTTACATGCTGACCCTGGCAATATGGGGATCATCCTTGTCAGCAACCCGCACAATCTTTATATTGAATATACAGTGACTGCAAATAAAACAAAAAAGAATGTTTTTACATAGTGAGAAAAATCAACTTGAGGTAACATAAGATTTTCAAAGAGAGGAGGGGTGTACAGGTTCAGTGCAGCCTATATGAAACAATATCAAGACAATAAATTTTTACTAATCCAACACTTTTAATAGACAAAATGAATCCAGTGCGTTTGCAAGAATGGCTTCTCTGGCTCAAGGGTGTAAATGGGCAAAAAATTGCTAACAAGGCTGCACAAACAGTTTTGGGTTTTTTTAATAGTAGAGGGTTTTATGGCGCTCGCAACTGCATAAGGTCATATGAGCGCCAAGGGGTGGGTGTCAACAGAGAAGTCTTTACAGGGAATCAGACTTAGACTGCTCACCTCTCTAGCTTCAACAGCACAAGGTCTGCTTTGACTATCAAGGCACCCCAAAATAGCAGGTCACAAGGGAGTGACAAGCATACAAAAGAAGTAGAGAAAAATGACAATAGTAAGGATCAGGAAAGAAAAAGCAGCAGTTCCCTGTTGTAGATCAGGCACAGTTATGAGAGTGGCATGAGTCAGCCCATTTACAATTCTACTATGCTTGAACGAGATCTGTCCCCCCTTTGGGAATGGCCTAAAGACACTTCAGTCAGTGGCTCTGCCCCGGGGGGTTCACAAACAGTGATATGCAGGGAATAATAAAAGTATCAATAACAATCACATTTAAGAATTGCATTTTTACAACATGAATGCCCAGCTCACTTTGAAACAAAGATTACATGAATAAAAACACTTATTCATCAATATCAAAAATACATGTACATGAATAAATATGACCTCTCTCTTTGCATTCTCAGTTAACAGTAAAACATAAAACAAAGGGCAAACCTTCTTGAGGAGCAGTGGTTGAGTCGAGTTGATGCTGTCTGAAGATTGCGTTGTCCAATAATAAGCAGCCGGTATGCCTCATCAGCAGACTCAACATGGATTTCTTTCAAACCTGAAAGTAATACAATTCAATAAGGAAAATGCTTCAGATTAATAAAGAGAAAGGAGAAACTGCAGACCATTAATAAGGCCAAGATCATGGCGTTCTTTACTAATAGGCCTTCCCAGCGTACGGCTGGGGTCTCGGACTGGGGGCCTACGGTGTTTTCTGTAAGGGAGGCAACTGAAACATTAGACCCCTTTCCCTCCCCCTGATTCCCGGGTGTCGCGTCGCCGCTTAGTCAGCCAATGACACTACTGACCTAGATAGCAGACAGACGTACCTGCAAAAAATGTAATAAGTTGTAGTGCATCTTCGTTTAAATGGACGCCTATACCCATTCTGCTTCTTGTATCTGCACTACAAATAGAATATTTCACTGAGGCAAACAGACGTAACTGAAGGGCCATGCCCATATTATTTCCAATGGTAGCGCGACATAACTCAAAATCATAAAAAGTGCAGATACGTCGCTATGCCTTGGTAAGGCAGAGTCTTGCATAGTGTGTAATCTAGTCCTCAGTGCAAGTGCAAGCGTGAGCTGTGCACTGTGTAAAATCAGTCCTTTTTCACTGTCTAGCAAGTCTTTCGCAAGCCCGGCAAAGCGTCGTGTTGTGCATTAAGCGGTATATTTATTCACCAATATTTTCACTGTACTGGATATAATAGCTCTACGTGGTGTTCTTTGTTCATGATAGAAATGTGAAGTGTGGATTCAATAGGTGTTATCGTTCCAGTACAGTCAAGAAGTGTCTCTCTCGTACCAGACTCTTCATTCTGCCTTTCTTGTTGAATCCAACCTTGCATTTCATGATCACCAACAACAGTGTGTAAACTCATAAAAATATTCTTAGATTCACTGGTAAACATTTGGTTTTCGAAGCATGTATGGTTGTTGTCATTTTGGTTTCCATTATGGGCAGGAAATGTTGGGTTTTTGGTTGCAGAACAAATTGTAGATCTAATTCAGAGAAAGCGAGTTCAAGTGAAAAGAAAATGTCTGTGTTTAGATTCCCAAAGGATGGGATTGAAAGAAATGCATGGATTTCTGTGATATCCAATGCGAAGTAATCAGTTTCTAAAGAAACCGTTGTGTGTGAACTGCACTGGCCAGATGGTTATGAAAGTGAACTTGTTAAACTTTGTAGACGGTTACTTCAGTCCTCCCATCAATATGTCATAGGGCTCAGGAGGGAACTACTTTATTAACATTCAGCAAATTGTGGAAAAATCAAAATTCACAGATCAAGACTACTTCTATCTCTTGATGCAGACCTTTCAAACCTTGAAGAACCTGGTCATTCCTGCTCCGATTGCAATTGTAACATTGAAACAGACGGAAGGGTTTCAGAAACGGCTCACAATCTAATTGAGTTGGAGCAGTCACTTGGTACAGAGACAAAATCTGTGCTGATTTATATTGCTGGCTATGCTATTCGCAAAGACGAAGAGCTGGACGAAATTTTTCAACTCGGAAAGACAACCTTCTACTACTAAAAGTACAGCCACTACACAAGCTCATTGGATAGAGACGGCTTGAATATCCGTTCTGATAGAGCATGTCAGTGGACCTTCTTTGCTTTTCTTTTGTTCGATATTGTTAAAGACTCTTTTTGCAGAACATCTTTCTGCAAGTTAACCATGTCTGACAGTTTTGAGATCGAAATGCAAGAGAAACACGGGAGGATTCTGGCACACATCTTTTTTTTTTAAACTATTGTTACGTTTCCACGCCTCACTCTTCAAAAGAACATGCATTGAAAATTTGAAATTATATGATCATAATTGAATAGACATACACTGCAATCCATTGAAGAAGGAAACTGATACTAGAAGAAATTTTGTGCAAAATGTTAAGTTTAATAATTGGTGTGATCAATGTCTAAAAACAAAACCCACAACAGAAAGCAATGCAACAGTCTGATTGGAACGTTTAATCATACATTCTTCATTGTTCGGTATTTCCCACCCTTATTTCACCTGGATACATGGATTATACTACAGAGGAACATAAAACTGGCTTGGTAAGTAGGTCCCTACTCATTTATAAGGCATGTACAGTAAATAGATCTAGTCATGTCTTGTTTAGATTGTTTTATAATAAGGACGTTGATTTCGATTTTTTTTCTAAATTGCATAACAGATCTAATAGTAATAGAGCTAAGTAGTAAATAAATAATTATTAAGCTCTTTATTTTTATGTCACTTAAGACTAAATATTGTAATTACCTTTGGAAACAATGCTCAGAGACTGAATATGGAGTCGACTGGATATATAGACGTTAATACTTAAATGATATAGTAGGCCCCCAGTCCGAGACCCCAGCCGCACACTGAGAAGGCCTGTAGTAAAGTACGCTATGGCCAAGATGGAAAAGGAACCCCCAAAATATTTTTAAATCAAAAGTAGAGGAGCAACAAGATTTACCATACTGAGCTTTTTCAATTCCATTTTCTAATCAATATCAGATCTAGTTTAATACATATCTCAAACAAATTGGGGAATTCATGACATGTGTTCCACACCTCTGTAATTCGAGTAAACCATGACAACTAAAAAATAATATAAATATTGAAGAAAATCAAGAAAGTAACTCACAGTACAAAGGTTGAGTTTCACATCCATTGTTGACGGTTTCGATTTTATCTCAATTTTTAGAAATGTCGAAAGGGTTGATTGGAAGTACCGACCTCTCACAAATTTCCCTATTAGTGCTGAACATTTTGACAACAACCTCTACTCTGTTGAAACTTGACACTCTGATTTCTATTGTCAGACACTTAAGTTTTCTCTTCTCTTCCATTATGAAAAGTATCTAATATCAATAAAAGGATGGATAGTGCATGCACCTTGTTTGGTGTCGAAGCAAGGAAAAGTGATGCTGATGAGCCTTATGAAAATATAATAGTTCGGTCAGGGAATGGCCTATTATAAGAGCTATCCGTGAATTCGAGTTTTGCTTGTTTGACTTCTCTATGTGACAACTTTTAGACTTTTTCTTAAAAAACACAACTCCTTTCCAGAAGCATTATAATAAAATTATACTGAAACATAATCATTATTAAAAGAAATGTTCAATTTGTCAGGAAAGCTGTCACTGGTTAGCTAACAAATATATAAATCCAAGGCACCACAACATAACTTACCCTTTATGTATGGATTTCCATTTCTGTCATCACTGACTCTGAGAACCTGTCGGCGTGCATTCTTCTTCCGAGGCATGGGCTCCAACAGGTCAAACACTTGCTCATTATAGATTTCAGCAAAACTGACCCATACACTGAACCGGATTTTTCCCTGGTCTTCAACATCAACTTTCAATTCCTCTCGTTCTCGGTTTTCAACATCCAGCAGAGGGTCTTCTGGAGTGCCAGTAGAACCTTCGAAGAGAAAAAAAAATAAAGTAACCATAAAGTCATAAAGACAGACTTCATACACATATTGCCCAACACCAGAAAAAATCATTCTTTTTCCTCTTGATAATCTTAATTGTTTATATCTTGTATTGTGTTTTGACATACAAACAAATTATTTTCCATTAAACAATACAAATGGGACTTCAGTTAACAAGTATCACAAAAGTTCAACAACAATTTCCCCTTTAAATAATTTTTTTTTTAAACCATATCCCGGCATAAAAATGTATACAGCTATTAAGAGAAAAAAAACGAAGGATTTATTTTTATGACAGTCACTTACTGGTCGTAGTGTCACTGAGAACAGACTCCATGTCATCTCCCAACAGAGCCATGACTGTCGTGTCCTGTAATGTCCCGAGTGGGAATTTAGTCTCATGTTCAGCAGAAGCAGGTTCAATAAATACAAGTCATATGAAACCATCAACCCTAAAAGGTTAAAATGACAACACAGGGGGAAAACAAAATTTTTTTAAAAAGAAAAACTCGCACAAGTTTAGTTTATACAAAATAACGTTAACACACTTAAAAGTACAATACACTTTTCCCAAGGCATAATGAAAAGAGCCTATACTGCCATCATTTTTTTAAAGTACAGTGTATCTACAGTTTTTACAATTTTACAGGAGAGCAAAAAAAAAAAAATGCATTATTACTAAGAAAACAAACTCTTTGCAAACATTCCAAGCCAATATTTTTAAGAATACAATTTTGATAATAATATCCTTTTTATCTTTAAAGAAAATATTGTCTTCTAGGTAAAAATATTCATTTTTTTTTAGTTCTGTAAAATTGTAAAAAACTGCATACAGTACTTTAAAAAATGACGACAGTATAATAATAAAACGAAAACCATTACATTCTTAGTTTTATTATACGAGAAGACACAAAAAAATTGTTATAATAATAAATTCATTTGAGTGTGCGCCTAGAGAAAGTCACCCCAGATTGTTTCGAGCTACAGGCTGGTAAAGACAAAAATCACTTTTTGACCAAAATGTGTTTCCATAAAAAAAAGATAGATCCCAAATTTTTTTACAATGTGCTCAAAGGGTTTTCACTGATTTGACTTCTAAATGTATTATTTTGAATTATTTTAAGGGAAGGGTATAATATAAACAATTAATGAAAACTGCTTTTAAAAGGTGTTAAAATCTATTGTTGGGGCACGTATTCTCTTCCCTACTATGTTTTACCATTGAATTCCATTCATGATATCTAGGTCAACTGAATGCCAAATTGGAAATGAGTTTTCCATGAATAAATATTTTAAAAATCGTTTTTTTTAATAAAGTTTGTATGTGTTCTCACGTTTGTTAAACTTAAAAGCTCATTTTCTCAAAATTATATTTTTATATCCTACCCCGTAAAATGTGCAATATCTCAAAAACTACTTGAGATGTCTCAAAAATTCAAAAACCCCTGAGTTCACCATTGAATTTCCTACAACGTACAACCCTTAACTCAGAACGGTCAAAATCCAACTTTTGGTACTTTTCTTTGTGCACACACACATTTAATTAAAGTAAACTAGAAATAACAACGCCAGACACAAGCTTTAAATTGATCCTTTCAATGTTAGTTAATACTTACGTCATCAACGCTCATTCTAAGTGTTTTCTGCTTCATTTTCTTCTCAGCTTGCACTTCCTCAGGACTTAATCGAATAACATCTGTAAACATGCACGGTTTCAGTGTGCTGTCAAGCATCTGCTTTCCATTGATAGAGTTAAATATCACATCCAAGCACCGAGGCAAGATACCTGCATCCTCTGGGTTGCCTGTTGAAAAAAACAGAGTGATCCATTTTATATCACTTACTTATTGTAAGCTCACAAATAATGACCATCACATTGCTCGAGTTTCTTGCCACTATCAATATAACAAGGCCTTAGGAAATGACCAAACACAAAATCAAGTCTAAACTGCAAGGCATTATTCTAACCTCATTATAACAGCTTTGATATATATACTAATGATTTATTTCTTTTTTTTTTTTATGTATGTGTTTAAATCAACAAAATAATCTAAATCAGTTAAAAGGTGAGCTATGACCCTTCCTGTCAGGGCCAACACTGCTGAGAGAAACACAATGTCCCAATAGAGAAAGAGAGATACTGAACTCGATAAGACATTCACCCCACGCGGGAATAGAAATCTGGTCTTCTGCATGCAAAGGCAATCAAAAGAATCCCACATCTGTTCGGGAATCTGTAGAAAAGGCTGGGGTTTTTTTCCCAGGTTTTCCCCTTGATTTCGTAATGATTTTAGTTACTGGCTGTCGGCTCGACTTGCAAAAACAAAAGAAACCGGAGACACATCACAAGCCAGTGCTGATCCTGACTGTGCCAAAGCTTTTTGTTTCAAACTTGACCTCCACATGACATAATGACATCAGTCCGTCAGAGTGTGATTTTTTTTTTCCCTTTAGTAGAGGGGGCGCGCGGTTACACCCCCGAAGTCCCGATTCGGCTCAAAATTATGGAACTTGAGTTGTAGGCATTTTTAGCTACCTCAGCCTCTCCTACATCTTTTTCATCATAAAAGAACCCCCAAAAACTCAATTTCCTCCATGTATCGGGCATGTTTGTCACCACCATTTCCTCATAAAGACAATATTTTATTTTTCTTTATCGGCCGTTTTCTCAAAACGCGACTTTTCTCTATACTTTTTGGAATAACTCCATTCTATCCAATCTTCATGGAATTTTCACAGAATGAAGACAAGACGTAATACTAAAAATTCATCTGCTGAATTTTTGATATATGGAATAGATTTTTGTTGGTGGTGTCTGGAGTGTGGATTTTCATGGATTTTTTGCAAACTTGGAACGCTACCTCGCGAAAAAAATTAATAAAAAATTTTCTAATTCATTTTGGAAAAAAAAACAACAGACACATTTTGAGATCTAATTTTTGTCAACACATATATATGCAAAAAAAAAAAACCCAATGAATTTCCATGAGCAATAAGTGTGCTATTCGTTACGTAAGACATGCCAACAAAATCCAATATGGCCGTCGTATCCATGGAAACGAAACTTTTTCTCAAATTTGATTGCGGATTTTAAGACTTCTTACTATGCTTGTTAAACATGTGGGAAATTTGGTAAAACTTGGTCCAGTAATAAGCGAGATAGCCTTCAGGTGTAGCGCCGCCGCACCTGCCCCCCTCTCAATACACCAGGTAGTGGGGATGGGTTGGGTATCCAAATGGCAAATACATTTTTAAAAATTAGAGTCAGGGATGTTACAATCTTATAAAACGTAAACTTTAGAAAAAAAATTATTATCGTAACACCTCTGTCAAATTCATAACGATGGCGCCTGCCTTTCCCCATTTATTTTCATTTTCATCCATTGTCATAGTGTCTTCCCAACCAAGAAATCTGAAACATGAAATTCCTAGATTTTTCTGTTTTTCCAGTATAGAATGGGAACCCTGTTGCATAAAAACTTTAGACAAAGTTCGTGATAACAATCCTCACACCGAAGAGACTAACAAACAGACTACTACATCAAATTACTATTTCATTGAGGCAGGAGTAAATGAATTATCAGTTCTTTGCATTAAAAATTAAACCTGATACCCGTTAAGTCATTAATCTCAGTGTCAGTATAATAATTATAACTGTCTCCACGCAATTCCAATTTTCTTGTCCCAGCATTTCAATTCTTACAGAAAAAAAAGAAGTCCATGTCCCCCTGTATTTCCCAATATATTTTGCAATAAGTTTGAAATTTTCTTGAAAATAATCATCTATGCATATGACAGTTTTCGTGGCCATAGGTAATATGTTATCATTTGCAGCAAAATAAATACAACCCTTTGACTCGTAACAGCAGTGCATCATTGTACAAGAGTGGAAGTAAAAATTTATAGGCTGCCCTTGTTCCTAGTTACTTTTGCAGGAGAGGAATAAAGGAACAGTGATACTACTACATTAGGGCTGGATCCTGCTCGTCAAATTTGAGAGTGGCGATTCGCGATTCAGTCGGCTTCAAAGAATCGCGAGTACGCGAGCGCTCACGGAACTGTGGTGGAACACTGACTGAAACGGAACAGTATTATAACTACGCCACTAGGTGAGCGCGAGTCCCACTCTTGTTGTTCCGCCATCCTCTCCGCCCCACACACTTTGTTGCGCTGCTCTATCAACTGACCTCAATTAGTGACCCCCATAAATTCCCCCCCCCCCCCAAACCCCACCCATTCGCTAAAACAATGGCTCCATAAAATTCCTTCTGTCTATTGGTTGGACCCCGTTCATTTTGTTTTAATAGGGGGGGGGTTGGACTATACCATCTTTTGTAAAATAAGGGGAGCCATACTAAGTGTTCCGTTCCGCTCTTAAGCTCGTGACTCAACTCAACAGTAGGTTAAATTAAGCCACAAGGTGGTGACAGCGACAGGGGAGTGAATCGGGAATCGTTTGGCGATACTGTTCCGATCCGCATTCCGCTGAAGTGAATCGTGAATTGCGTTCCGCAGGAAAGAGTGACGATTCAGTTCCGTTTTCGCGCTCGTGACCCAGCCCTATACTACATGTCTCTTGACTTATAATTCCAAAATAACCTGCTATAAAAACAAACATGAAGGAAAAGTAATGCTTACTGATACTGACTGGACATTTGAGGGTTTGATAACGATTCTTCACAATCATATCATATGTGAGACGTGCTGACAAAATGAGTTACTTCTCAAAATCCACATAATATATATGGAGATATTAGCCAAAAATCAACACAAAGGTCAAATTTATAGATTTTCTATTGATGTCATATTCTTTTAGTATAACATGTCATGTCTCATATTATTTCATACTTATAAATTGTAAAATCTTCAACTATAAGCATGATGTAGCCATTTCCACAGGGCTAGAATCCGAGAAGTAACTCATTTAGTCAGCACCCTTCACATGTATATCCTCATGAATAAAATAAAAAACACAGTTCAATTGTTTACCTTGAATGGTGTACGTCTTTCCAGAAGATGTTACTCCATAAGAAAACACCAGTGAATTCTGTCCACTAATAAAGTCCTTTGTCATGCCCAGCATGGTTTCATTGAAGAATTCTTTTTGGCTTGTGTCTGCACCAAAAATTTTGGAGAATGTAAACCTATGAGACGCTTTGGTCAGTCCCCGCTTCATACTCTTATATGAGTGGCTAGTTGCCGGGGCTGTGGCAACAACAGCTTGTCCATCAGGTTCCACCTCCAAGCATTGCTGGAATATAAACAGTATAATATTTTGTATGGATCCCACAAAAAAAATCATTCGATTTAGTGCTTTCCATTTACAAAGTCACATATATACGCCTTAAACTGTTAAAAATGAAGTGCCAATATTGAATAATTTCACATGATCAGATTTAAATTTTAAATTAAAACAAGAATATTCACTAAGTATTATTTCGTAGTAAGTATCAGTTATTAACTTAGTAATCTTACATGGTGCATTCCATCTAAACCGGTTAATTTCTCTACATCTCCACTTCGTCAATAATCCAAATTGAGGATCAACGCACTTCATACATTCCCACTCTAGAACACAGCCTTAGTTTTTTTCCTGAATATCTGATGAGCATGCCTGTCTGCCATGTAAACTCCAAGGAAAGTGTATCTCTTACTATAAAAGTAGCAACATGTAGAAACGACGTTAACTGCAATAAGTTGGAAACACTCGTGTTTTTCATTCTGATCAATAGTGACAAAAACCTACCATCAATGATCATTCTTCTTCCATGTTTTTCCCCACCAATAATTAATGGCAGTTACGGTACTGTGTACAGTGGTCCCCAACTATAGTGTGGTCAAAAATTTGTGGCGCAACTTATCCTCAAATATCTCTTTAAGTATCAATTTATTTTAATCACATTTTTCCACAACACAACAACTGAGACTTCATTAAAAACTTTTCTTCATTTATAAATACTGTAAATCTCCATCATACGGAAAAAGGGATTGTTCACAGCACTTCCCGTACACACACATTGCATATGCATTTAGCCTACGTCACAGCTCGCCAATGACACTTTTTAGTGGCAAAACTTACAAGAAATTAATTTTATAGTGAACACATTTTTTGGACTAAAGGCCCCCTAAACATTCGTTCAATAAGCATATTATTGCAATTAGAAAAAAACTGACAGACTTGCTTTTAAAAGCAATATGGCCCGAGAAATAAACTTTTTAAAATCTGTAGAAACCATCTGCTGGGATTTTTTATTAGAATTTATTACGGAATTTTCAAGAATACAGTGCGTAGGAGTTTCAAAAAATATTCACCTATTAAGACAAATTGATATCAGTCATTGTGTAAAAGTTGGAGAATCTATGTTCGACAGTTAAGGAGATATTTGACAATAAGTTGCGCATTGCATTTTTGACAGCAATATAATTGCATACACACAGGGGCCAAGAAAACCGTGCTTTTGTGCAAACAGAGAATTTCAAAGGAGAATGAGCTTTTGAGTAAGTCTTCTGTAATCCGGTCTTCTTCAGTGGGTTGCATCATTGAGCTGAGTTCGCCCTGTGGTGTGAAGTTTTCCTACCCCAGGTGATCACAGACGACCGTCATAATTACTGCACATGCCTCTCATACTGTCATCCCACCACGCATGGCTAGTCATTGGCTTTTCTCAATGCACAATTCTGTCTCACACGTACTACATCGTTTACTCCCTAGCAAAGCTGCAATTTCCAGTAATAAAGAAGGGCATGTGATGTTTGCTTTGTGTACATCAGGTTTAAGTGAAATGAGTCATGATATGGCTGATCTGTTTCTGACACTAAGGCAAAAACAATCATGCAATTAGACAGAGCTGTCAATTTGGAATGTGCGCTTAGAAGAGAGAGAATTAATTCATTTCAGCGCTGGCAGTGGTTTTATCTGGCATGTTATTAGCCAGAGACGACTGTACTCAATTTGTCATACTGGATGTAATTAATAATAACATGATAAACAGATGAAATGAAAGAAGAATGAACAGTGCAAACAAAGCATTTCAGGAAAAATCATAGTCGAACTTGCCTAATCAGAAACCTCTGCAAGACGGAAACCTGTCATAAGGGAATCTCCCCGTTCCCCCCTTGATAACTTCCTCTATAAAATGGAAACCTGCCTAACATGGGAATGGAAAGAGGAATTCCTTCGCGTCTGAGAATTTTTACCTGTCTAAGATGGAAAATTATGCTTAGCCCACTCAGCCCTGATTTGAAACAAAACCATCAAGTTCGGTTCCATCAGTTCTAACCTTTAAGCCATGTCACCAGGCAAGGAAGGGGAGTAGGGGTGTGACTTGGGGGAAGATGTTACCCAATCCATATATGACATGATATGAGCCCTGAGCAATGCTGATAAAATCAGGGTGGTGTGGGTAGGAAACCTCACCATTGCTTGTGAAAGTACTTGAGTGGCACCCCAGCATGGAAACTTTCCAGGGTAACAAAGGGCCAGAGGTGTGAAATTAATTTGACCAATCACTGCCGCCCTGATCATATGGTCGGCCGAGAGAGTTTCCATGAATCATTGTTACATGCACAGGAGGGGTGGCACTGTTTGACTGCGCTTATTAGTCTGATGGGTAAATTAAGAATGGAAGCAAAGAACACATTCAATTGTTTCTGTTTTCAATTGGTCAAATAGTGGTCCTATTAGATGCAAGCACTGGTGGCAATGGATAAGTAAGACTGATGCATGCCATGAGAGGCTAGGAGAGCACCAGTAGTTTTGACCACTTACTGACCAGACAAGCAACCCATGATCCCATCGGATCAGCCTTTGTAACTTCCATCCCTCTTCCCCCCTAAATTCTGCTGTCCTCAGCAGAATTTTTTTTGGCTCCCTCTTGCAGTTCAACTACGTATGATATTTAAATTATTATATATATATAAGTCTTGAGCTCTTCAAGTCAAAGCCCAAAAAAATATTTCACCTGGCTCGAATCTTCATCTTTGGTAAAAGGTTTGACCCTCAGATACACATTCATGCGATCCTCTGGATTCATGAGGCATAATGAAGCCCTGTTGAAGAGGTCCACAAGTTTTGTCTTGAGCTTTTTCTTGACCGGCAGAATGCCTTCATCCTCAGTACTGTCTGGCTTTCTACGCCCAGTGGTTTGAAGTTCCATAAAGCTTCGTTTTCCACAATTACTCCCTCGAGCAGAATCCATCTTCCTGAAAAAGTAAAATTCACTGAAGTCACTGACTGTGTTTGATATGATGAAGAAACTAAATAAAAGACTGTTGCAGCACTGTTAAAAGAAAAGTAAAAATATAACTTTTAAAAACATTACATTTAATCTTGAGAAATGCTACAATGAAGCATAAACTGCAAAGAAGATGATCACATTGCAAAGCAATAGGGCTCAATAGATAGGAGATAAACCAACTAGTTGAACTGCTAGTGATTTCAGCAGGATCATTTACCCAAGCCAAGCAATGAACAATGAGGAGCACTGATTTTTTCTGGATGCCCCATCATAATTTCTAAATAAGTCTATGCATCTATAATGTAGTCTAAATTATAGAATCAACAGGTCCCAATCTCAATGGATAAAACTGATCAAATTTTGCAAAAACAATTTTGCATCTGATTTGGACCAGGGTCAACATGATTTAGTAACCGTAAATTTCCTCCAGTCTAAACTTTTTGGTGCTGGTTTAGTTGAAGGCCCACCATCATTTTTTTGGTTTATTTGATGACCTACTGCTGGAATGGTCTGACCGACAAAAATCTGGTTTAGTTGAAGGTTTACAACAATGTTTCTGGTTTAAAATACAGGCTTGAAAGACTGTCACTGGCCAAAAAAAAAAAAAAACATGTTTTGCCTTTGGTGGTCGTAGTTTGTTGTGGGGGATGTGGGATATCTCTAGATTGGGGGTTTCATTTCATGTAAATCCCTTCAAAAGGTACTGTGAGAAAACAAGACAGCTCGACTTTGGCAGTAGATCTAACCTATTTTGCATTTAGTCACCCCTAATTTAAGCAAAAACTAAACGAAGTGACTATTTCTCCGAACGCTCTTGAATATAAACTTGATCTCTTATTTCTCCTAACGTTTCCGTTCTCAAGAGTTTTTGGTTATTTGAGAGATTTAGGTGCCTTTTTCCGTCTGCCATTCTGCGAGGACTGGGAAGAAGCATTTTTTGCATTGAATTCAATTTCTAGAGCAAGATCTAGATCTAGATCTAGAGATTTTTAAATGTCTGAATATTCAGATACTTCAGTGGTGGCCGGGGCAACGTTTCCGGATTATACTGTATACTTCATTTGAAAATGACTTCAAAAGGTAGGCCCCCTACTCTGTGAGAAAACAGGATTGCTTGACCTTGGCAGTAACCTATATGCATTTAGATCTAGATTCTAGATTCAGTATCCCCAAAAGCAAACACTAAAATCCTTCAAGTAAACCAAAAAAATCCCTCCACCCCCACGCCTCATTCACACACACGCGCGCGCGGCCACTCCATTCGCAAATATTATCAACAAATTTCGAGAGCGGAAACCGTTCGGAGAAATAAGAGTTCTAGTCTATTTTCCAGAGCATTCGGAGAAATAGAGCCGGCCAAAGCTAAAATCCTTCCTGTATGATGTAAACCAAAACAAATCTCTCCAACCCCCCCCCATATTTATACACACACACAAACACGCACTGGCCACTCCATTCGCAAATAACAACAAATCTCGGGAACGTAAACCGTTCGACTCGTAGAAATAGAGTTCAAGAAGTTTATTTTCCCACCACGCGTTCGGAGAAATAGAGCTGGCCATATATAACAACAAAGTGACTATTCGGACTCGAGTCCCAATATGAAAAAATGTTATTCGGACTCTGATTCTTGTCCAGCATGACATCACTTCTAACTTCCTGTGACTCGTGACTCCTGCTTCCTGTCCTGCCTTACTCGTGACTCGCCTCAGGCTGGGAAGAGACCGGGATCACTTCGGGCAAAATGGCGTTAAATTGTGCTGGAGCCGAGTTTTTATCTTATTTATGATGAATTTGAGGCCAGCCTGAAAAGATAGAGCGCTTCTAATAAATGTTTATTGTCAAGAGGTCATCAGAAGCAATTAAAGATGGCTCGTTAGCGTGTGTCGGGGTCGGATGGGCAGCCTGCACACGTGTGCTTTTTTTTTTTCGGGGGGGGGGGGGGGGGGGGCGGCGCTATCGGTCCGGGCGTTGAACGTTGCATACGCGTCAGTCCCCCCCCCCTCCCCGGCAACTGATCATTATTACAATAATAAGCTAGTCTTGACGTAGATCTACGTAATGAATTGTGCGCTGGTCTATGGAATCAAAAGTTGCCGTATTCTCGGCTCTACACAGCAACACAACTTTTTCTTGTGGTAAACAATCGAGATGACACAGGCTTGTGTATTTTAACGAATTGCTCTTTTTTTTTCACACAGCTCATAATATGCAGGTGACAGGAGATCTAATCTTCAATTTTACCTTTTTCTACAACAAAGAAAGTTTAGTGGGAAACATGGGGGGTGGGGCGTATCAATGAGGCGGTGGGCATCGGATCAGGGTAGACCTAAGTTCTATATCTATGGCCTAGGCAAGATCTAGATCTAGACAGACAGACATAAATCATTGATCTAGTTTCGAGGCTAGCCTAGATCTAGATCTAGATCTAAATGAAGAATGCGGATGTCTTTTCGATGAACGATCGTTGTTCCTCCGTTTTGGAGTTGGAGGAATCACAATTTGAAGAAAAGAACAATGTCATAATTTCTCTCGAACAGTCATCCTCTCTCTCTCTCTCGCTCTCTCTCTCACTCTCTTTCTCTCACTCTCTCTCTCTCTCGCATTCTCTTTTTCTTTGATTGTCTCTGTCTTTCATTCTCCCCACCTATTTCCACTTTATCTTTCACTCGTTCCCTCCTGCCAACTGGGGCATGTCATACATTTTGCTAGCACTTCCCCCTGCTCTCTCTCTCTCTCTCTCTCTCTAACACACACACACACTACCGGGTCTGGGCGATGAAACTTTCCGAAATCACAAAAGAGTTCCCCTACCGGGTCTGTATACTTCGTGACTTTGTTCCCGGTTACCGGGTCTGCATGTATACACTTCGTAACATTAATAGATCAAACAAATTAAGAATCAAAATCAAGGCATAGAACTAGGCTAGGCATCGATCTAGGCCCTACCCTAGATTCTAGATCTAGTTCTTTGGAAGTCTAACAAACTTTAGGCCTACAGTACACAGACACAGACACAAAGACCAAAAACTCCTGAGTCTAGAATGTAGACTCTAGAGAGTCTAGGACTAGATTCTAGAGAGATAAAATATTCAAATTATTTGACTCTTACAACACAACTTCAACTCCACGCCGTATCAGGCAGATTGAGCATTTCCTTAGATCTAGATTTCTACATCTAGATCTAGATCTAGATATCTAGGCTTACTATAAATTTTATCACAAGTCAAATCTGTATTTATTCAACTGGAATAGAGACACTCAAAGTGTAAGTTACCAGTTCCAGGCAAAAAACACACAAACTAAACAATGCCATAAATTTAATCAAAAACAACAATATTGTTCATATTGCTCAGCAATAGCCTTGTTAGTAATGGTTACCTTTGCAATTTTCACTTACTTGATTTTAAATTATCGCGAAAATTATCGGTTCATGTTGTTCCTTCTTTACAAAATATTATCAGCGATAAGCACTTTCATTACGCACTACCCAACAGTCGCGGGGACATTTTGAAATCGGAAATCCAACCAATCAATGGCATATTCCAGATTTTTTTCCCCGTTTGACTTTTGGATGCGGATGAGCAGCTGACGCGAACTATGGTTTCCCGCTAAAATAAACTAGGATCTCTCACCACTTTTGTGTCCGCTAACATGTTGTAGGCTATTATAACATTGAAATTATTATTCGCTGGTTACCTTGATAAACATTTGGAAAGGCACTTTAGGCCCTAACAAGTCAGAAATTTATAAAATCCAGAGAAGGGGTTTGTTGGATGGCACCCCTTGGATCCCACTTTAGGCTATCTGAGTAACTCAGATACTCAGATAGCATAGGCCTAGATCCCACTAGCCTAATCAAGGTCTGCAAACATATTTTTAAAAAGCCAAATATCGAATTATGTAGGGCCTACGGTTATTTGCATGACAGCTGATTACTTATATATTATTTTAAGAATAATATCAAGTGTCAAGGATTAAAAGGTGAATAAACATCAAAATATAGGGAATGTGTTTATTGGTCGACGAGATGTTTGTGTGTGCTTGTCTGTGCTTATGTTACAAATACTAAAGCGCTTATTCATCAACGGGAGCTCAACAAGTTTAGTTCTAAGCTTCTGCGGCTTTGATTATTGTTCCTATTTAAGATTAAAGAACCGCTAAAACTGATTGAGACATCCCAATCTGGGACTCTCTCTCTCTCTCTCTCTCTCTCTCTTTCTCTTTCTCTTTCTCCCTCTCTCTCTCTCTCTCTCTCTCTCTCTCTCTCTCTCTCTCTCTCTCTCTCAAGGAGTTAAGAACGAAAATGTAAACTCCTTGCTCTCTCTAGCCTATAAACAGCTGTTGAAACCCAAAATATGGCCTACAGAACAAAAGAGTTTCGAGCCGTTGGCCAAGAATTAACGAAACGTTGGTCTACAATAAATCAGTAGACAAAAATCAGTAACCTAGCTTTATCTGCAGAAACTGAAAGCAGAGCAGAATAAGGACTACGACTGAAAAACGTACTTAACGCATATTTAGTAGGCCTAATTATTATTATTCCCCAAGGCCTAGCCAAGGACCAATTACTGCATAACCTCCTTGTTATTCCCTCACATCTCTAGAAAATTCGCAAAAGATTCCTTTCAAAGAATTAATTCCTCCAGTCTTACCGAATTGCCGTTGTGTAAACCACACGTATTGTTGCCCCCCCTTTTTTTAAATTTGTGTTTGTTGTTGTTATAATGTTTGTTTTTTGTTATTGTTGCTGTTGTTTTTTCATAAAGGCTAGCCTAGTAGACGTTATTTCTAATACCAATTATACATCAGGCATTTATAATTTTTATTTTTTGTTGTTGTTGCTATAATTACGTTTCATTATTATACTTAAGGCTCTAAATAGCTGGATCCTTTAACTTAAATTTTCTCGAGAAGAACAAGCATTTCTAATATTGTGTAGCCTAAATCAACTATTCAAAAAGTCCCACTTATACTTATGTAGGCTCTATATATTCCTTTATTGATAAATAAGGAATTATCCGAGCTGGGGGTGCGGGTGGGGGGGGTAAGCATAGCATGGTACTTATAGTCTAATGCATCGATCAGCGCCTGTATGATACATTCATTCATGTCGTGTCACTACTCGATCATGATCTAACATGTTGGGATCGTATCGGCATAGCAATAGGACATGTTTCAGTCCGCCCCCCCCCCCCCCCCTCCCCCTTGCAATTTTGCAGCTGAAGGCTACCGGTATTTAAAGAATGACAATACGTCTTTCACAAATAACTTTCGTAAATAGTGCCATTAAAAAAACACACAATTTTAAACAAACAGAAAAGCAAAGGAAAATTCAAACCTTCAACTTCAACAGCGTGAGATTTCGGCCAGTTTATTTGCCATTATCATTAACTCATTAACAATTTTCTTTTTAGTTTGGTTTTATAAGTAGCTTCAACTATCAAGGCACCCCGGAAATAGCAGTTCACAAGAGAGTGGTAAACAAAAGAAGTAGAGGGGAAAATAAGGCAATAGTAATGATGAGGAAAGATTTAAAGCAACATAATTCCTCCTACTGTACCTATGTTGCTCCCACTCCCAGTGGCGCGGCGCCATTGGTGCAATTGGCGCAAGCGCTCCACCCTAGGCGATCATAAATCAGGCAGCGCAGCCCAAGAACTACACACCTTGCTTGTGGGCTGACACACCGGCCGCTCAGGCTTCGGCCCACAGCAAGCAGTGACCTTCGTAATGATAATAATGATTACAGCAAAGATTGAACTTTGTATGATAATATGGATTACAACGGGCACGGCTAGGCGGTCTCTTTCTCCCCCCTCTCTCTCTCTCTCTCTCTCTCTCTCTCTCTCTCTCTCTCTCTCTCTCTCTCTCTCTCTCAATCTCTCTCTCTCTCTCTCTCTCTCTCTCTCTCTCTCTCTCTCTCCCCCCTCTCTCTCTCTCTCCCCCTCTCTCTCTTTCTCTCTCTCTCTCTCTCTCTCTCTCTCTCTCTCTCTCTCTCTCTCTCTCTCTCTCTCTCTCTCTCAATGGTTTAGCTTCCCTGTGTTTGTGTTCAAACTAACAGACATGTAAAAAATTATTGTAGACAGACAAAAGCGATGGAAAGACAGAAAGTTGACTTGAGTTGAGTTAGAGTTTTACGGAAATGGAGGGCACACACTGGTATGTTTTGACACCTTTTCATAGGATAAAATGTTTGGTAAGCTAGCAGTCCATGCCCGACATTCTGTTTCATCCGAAGGAAATCCATACAAGGTCACTTTTTCTGCACCTTTCTGACTGTCATAGCCAGTTTTGCATCCACCAACTGAGCATTTTCTTCCCATTGTTGTTCTTATTCCTTCAGTTTATTTTGAAGGTGTCAGTCACAGTCCAACAGAGTCATAACCACACATGATGAAAGCAAGAAATAGGCCTAGAAGAGAAGCATGTAAGCACTGTGAAAGAACAGCAGATATTAATATACAAAGCAGGTCGGGAAAAACACAAAGACAAAGGAGCTCCCCCATAATTATGATCCGTATACTTTTCCCTACCTAACAAGGGTGGGCCCCTAGACGCTCAGAGTCTAGATAGATTTATATCTACATGGTCCTTTTAGTCTTTTGTTTGTGTTGCAATCTAATCTAAATCTAAAAGCAGATCTAGGGATAGGATGGAGAGTTCGTTTTTAGTGGTTGTTTGCATAGAGAGGCTCTAAGTCAGTGAAGAGTGTGCGGATCAGGATGGGGGGGCCTCCACTGTGTAGACATGGATTTTAGAATGGATTTAGACAGATATGAATTAAACTTGCACGGTCAAAACTTCACTGTAGGTTTAATCTAAACACGTACACTGATGGAAGAGATATTTGATATTCACACAATCCAGATGATTTGAAAAAAAAACCTGCATTAGGCTTCAACTAAAAGAATCCAGGCATTCACTGAGTACGATGGCGATGAAGAATCTGAAAATGAACAGTAGGCCTACAGTGCAGCCAAACAGCACTTCAAATTTGCGATCTCAAGACTGTTGGTCAATCTTAATTAATTAATTAATTAGTCACCACTTCTGTTCCTCAACACACACAATGATGTAGAAAATATTCACATAATCCAGATGACTTGAAAAGCAAACTGCATTAGGCAGAAATAATCCAGTGTCAAAGCATGAGAAAACAACAATTCAAACTGACCGCCGCACCCTGCGTAGGCTTATCACTACCAATGATCTACAAGGTTGTGGGCTTACTACACGGGTGTGTCAGCCCACAAGGAATCTAGGTCAGTAGCGCGCAGGTGGCCTGATTATATGACCGTCTAGGCTCCACCTTACCCAGGCCTTCACCCCCCCCCCCCCCTCCCATTTTCTAATTGTTCTAAACCAGTCAGTGCTCAAGATCTACATTTGGCCGATTAGGCCTAGATCTAGGCCTACTACATGTACTACTACATGAATAATATCCTTGCGATCCGTCACCAGCTGGCTGCGCCAATGAAGAGACAGACGGCGAGGATGGTTTATGCTCGTCGCACCGCTTGCGGCAGTGTCCTGCTGGGAGCAAGCAAAATCTTTGCACCAAAGTTATTTTTGTCACTGTAGAGAAATCTAAGCATCGTTCTTCCCGCACAAGAAGAAAGGAGCACGAAACTGCCCTTCGCAGCACCAATTTGGTGCTAAAAATTTGATCCAAGTTTCCGCGAGCCACACGAGCCTATCTACTACTCGTAGAGTCTACGGTAACTCAATGAAAAATGAGTATCGAAAGTAGGAGCGGGCACGAGCCGAGAAGAGTACCCGTTTCTCGCGAGAAATGCCCTTCCCGTCACTTCCTGGGCACTAAACTACTGCCGGGTTCCGAGAAGTGATACCGCTCGCCGCTCGTTGGCTTTACATAACGAGTAATGAGAGTGAGAGGTGTCGATGGAAAGAGCGGCACAGCCAGCGAGAAATGACACGCAGACAGTGTCACCCATCACCGTGCCGTCCTGTGTCTGAAACTGAAAGGGAGGGGAGAGGGGGGCGAGACGAGGCGAGTGGGGAGTTGATCAGGGCTTAGTCCTAGGTCTCCCGACCTTCCTTCACCGCCTGCGCCTGCGCAACAGGGTTAGCCTAGTTAAGATCCCCCGCCACGGCCGGCCTACTTGCTGAGCGAGCTGCCCGTGAACAGAGCGAGAAGAGAAATTGGTCGCTAGACGAGAAGCACTTCTCGGGACCAGGACCGGTCCCGCCGAGAAGTAGGTCAGCCTCTCGGTCTTCTCGCTCGGGAAGAAAAAAGCGCTTCCCGCCTGTCTCTAATCGAAAGTATTCGAAACTGTTGTCTCCCTCTATTGTGTAGCAAGTCCTGATGCTGCACGAAGTAATTAGAAATCTTTAGTTGTTATAAGTATTGTTTCACTGCAGCTTTTGTGCGGTTTCATCTAGAAACAGTTGTAAATATCGATAGATGTAGATTACGGGATATCCTGCAGATTCTAATTTACTTTCTCTTGAAATCTTAATTATAGCTACTAAGCCTATTGCCCATTTGCTCACTTTCCAATTAGGCACCACCTTTTCTGCAACCCACGCGACGCCACTGGTTGCGCGATCCGCACAGTATGAGCATGACATTGATAAATCAGTCCATTATTCTACTGTGCATAAGAACATGTTAATATCTCCTCTTTGGAAATGGCCTAAAGACAACTTCAGCCAGTAGCACTGCCCTGGTGGGGGGAGGGGGGGAGAGAGAGAGAGAGAGAGAGAGAGAGAGAGAGAGAGAGGGGGGGGGGGGGGGCAAGTTTAAGCTGCAGAACATTTGAGAAATACTTGTGTGCAAAACTACTGTGCTTTATAAGCCCTACAACAAACAATTAGGAAAAAAAAGATGTTGGGCCATCGTGACAGTACTCTATAGTTCCGTCTCGAACTCATCAGAACTGTTTCATATAAGACGTACGAGACTCTTGTGCATGGGTGGAATTGAAAAATATACGTGTATGACAATAAGAAATCCTCGCAAAAACAAGTTTTAGTCTTATAAAAATTAAAGGAATTTAGAGATAAGTTTGTTGCTGTTGTTGTTGTTGATGATTATCGAATGTTAATGCTAAAATTATTACTGTTGTTAAGTTAGGCATAACACAATTACGATCTTACAATGTAATGCGTGTGTGAGTGATGCCTTGATCATATACAGTCAACATCTTAAGGGAAGGGGTTAAAGTTGACGATTTTGGATCAGTTTATGGTATCTGGACTTTTTACTTCAAACACTTGTAATCTAAAAAAATGTTTAGATTCTACTTTTTGTGTCACAATCATCGTCTCTCTGATTTTCTGCTCTTGGACTTCTATTTTGCCTTTATTATATATCATTATATGTAACAAAATGTCGTTTTTCCCAAAACTTCAAATGTTTAAAGTTTTTCTCATCTATTTTTTTTTACATTTTCTTTTTGGTTCTAATGAAATTTTCAGGGCTTGTTATTTACACCAGAATCTAACTTTATACAGGTGGAAACACAATTCGATGTGTTCCTGAGTGAGTTACGTGGATGATTGTGTAATCGAATTCAGAGGCAGGTAGGTTATCTATCTCTAACTTTTTTCTTTTTCAAGATATACACGATCCCAACTGTAGCCTAGACACTTTTGTATTGAGTATATCTATCAATGTAACACATTTGAACAACTTTGTGTGATTTAAAAAATCCTTTTTACTTTGATGAAAGTTGTTTATTTTCAAAAAGGCAGCCGTTACCATGTTAACCGTAACTTAAACAATAAAAAAATAAAGTTACATTTTAGAGATGTTTTCCTGTTATACCTCCGTGCATAAGACTTTATCTGAAAGGTCATATTATAGTTAGGGCCTACTGAGATAGGTTTATAAACCAGCCCCTCCCCTTATGACAACCTGTTCATAAAGGAAACAAGAAAAGTAAATTTATACAAGCAGGCTATTCACGAAAGGAGAGAGAGAGAGAGAGAGAGAGAGAGAGAGAGAGAGAGAGAGAGAGAGAGAGAGAGAGAGAGAGAGAGAGAAGAGAGAGAGAGAGAGAGAGAGAGAGAGAGAGAGAGAGAGAGGCAGACAGACAGACAGACAGACAGACAGACAGACAGACAGACAGACAGACAGACAGACAGACAGACAGACAGACAGGAACAATAACTATAATACTAGAACTGACAGGCAGATAGACAATGTACAAGTGTAAGAAACACAAACCGATTTGTTGCGGTTTCCATCATCAGATCGAAAAAAGGGCCCCACTTCTGAATATGTAGAAAATCTATACATTTATAATGAAGCCTACATCTGTCCCAGCCGTTTTATGCAAGAAAAATTATGAAATTATGCAAAATGAGCCCAAAAATGTGAAATTATGCGATTCTGTTGATTTTAACAAAAAATGATAAAGGAAAATAATCAGAAATTATGCAAAAAAATGATCAAATTTTGCTAAATTATGCGGGGTGCATAAAACCTCGGGGACAGCTACATGTATGGCCTGCTTTTATAACTGGATAATACGTGGCAAAATAAATGAAATTGGGGAACGGTGCGGGCCTCTATACGAGTCGCAGCAAGATACGATATAGCGCAAAAACTTGACCGATTTGTGGAGTCTTAAAAGCATTATTTATTTTTACTTTTAGGCGTTGACTAGATCTGAACTTTGGAAAAACAAGTGAAACTGCTTTATTAAAAGAAAACTTTCCCCCACTGAAGTTTTTAAAAAATATTTTGATTTGAAAATAAATAACAGATGAAAGTACCGGAGGCCACCGTCTTCCTCGGGTGTTTTTTTTTTTTCTCGTTTGTTGTAATTTTAACCAGCCAGATACATGCACCTGCTTCTATTTGCTGGTTATTGTCATTGTAATTGTTTTAAGCCCCAATTGGCGGGGGGTGGGCTGCATCGACCCAGCCTCTTCTGTCAGGGCCAACTTTTGTTTTGTTTTGAAAGTGTTTTACGGCGTTCGCAACTGCATGAGGTCATATGAGCGCGCGGGACACATTAAGGATTTTCAGTTAGCAGGAAATTTTAAATTTTGTCAGGGTGGCGGCCGATTCTGGACAACCAAGGGATCTCCTAACTTGCACATATGGTCATGTGGGACCTCTGAGATTTCTCGCCCTCATCCGAGACGGCTAGGTACCTTACCTACCATAACATCGGGGGTGTGGCTGAAAGACAGCAGTAAGAAGGAGCCAAAGAGAAGTAGTAGAAAGGCTACAGAAAGAGTCAGGAGTCAAAAGGAGGTGAGGGGATTGGGGCTGAAAGTGGAGACGACAGTAGACGACAGAACATTGTAAGAGAGCCGGAAAGGATGTGAAAGGAGAAAATTTTCCGTCGCTATCCGAATTTGAACCCGAGACCTATTGAATGAGAGGTGAACACCTTAACCTCTGACCATAAGGGCCAACCTGGGGTGAGCGTTTTACAATTTATAGCACTTGCACCACAATAAGGTCACGTAAATGCGGAAGATTAGAGATGTTAAAAGGGAGTAATAAACACACAAAAGGGGAGAGATAAGGACGACAGATGCTTGATAGGAAAGAAGGAGTAAACCACACCAGAGCACCTGCCAACCACCCATGGGCTGAGGAGGATACATTTCAACAAACAGGAAAACTTTCCCACTTGGACTTGGAAATACAACCTACATCATCTGCGTGCAACAGAAAAGTACCTCACGCCACAGGTGTCGATGCTTCTATTGACTTTCTGAACAGGAGGTCAATTTTTTCGTAAGCTGAATCATGCAGTAAATAAATGTAATCAAAGAAATTTCCAAGTCAATTGTAGGTTAGTTTGTTTTAATACTTTTTGCAGAGTGGAAAGCTATTCTTCATGTGATATTTCAGATAACGAAACAGCAAGTTCAATCAAACACAGCTGACGCACTCACGGTACCCACACACACTCTGTGCCAATTTTTTTTTTCATCAAAAGCCTAGCAATTTCTGGTGAGGAATGTTTAAAAATTTTAATCTCGTTCATAGGACAGCACACTAAAATGGAAACATGAACGATAAAATTTTTATTGAGTTTTCTTGAACGAAACAGTTGGCTAAAAAGCATTGCCAGTGTACAGTATAATCCGCTTATATCAACATGCTTTTGGAAATGGATTTGATGTCGATATATATTAAAATGTCGATAATTTAAAATACAATGTATAAGAAGCCAAAGAGGAAAAAACAAGGGGAGGTCAACGGTAAAAAGACAACACTACTTTTTAAAGCTGGTTGCTTCCATTGATTCTTACACAATTACACAGTGAAACCAACAAAAGACAGAGGGGAGGGGGGAGGTTGGAGTTAAGGTATCAAAGACCGAGCAATGCGAGGCACACACTACACACCAGCGCAAACTTTGTTGTAACATACTTGTAAGGCCTGTTTATGGCCGCTTGCTGGGGATAATGGAAAGGCGAGGTACTGACTCACTGACCATGGCACTTGCCAGCGACAGACTGAGAATGGGATGGGGAAGGGGAGTGAGCGATCGGGAGTGGGGGTAGGGAGGTGATATATGTGTGAGGCAATGTGGCGAAATAAGGTGCTTTGCAAAAGTGTGTTACTTAAATACTGTTCTTGACATACATATTAAGACTTCTTGAAAGTCTTGAGCTGTACTGTATGTCGAGGAGAATATTGCATGTGAGTGCTGTTTTTGACATAAGATCTTAATGCCACATGGTTTTGTATCTGGTGCATGCCAAAATTTACAAAGTTTAACACAGTATACTAATCCAATGAATACAATTTTCTTTTTCTGAAACATATAAAGATACAGATATAATGCAGTTTCTGCCCTATACAAGTACATTATTTCTAATACTTTAAAACACTGTAACTCAGATATATACAAAGTTGCTGGGCCCGACCTTCAATTTGATTGAATCCGAGTATTCGCGATAGCAATGTAAGCAACAAGTTGCATTGCAGTGTAAGGCCTAGCATACAGTAATGTTTGTTTCCATTGACCAGCCTGCAATTCATTACATAGTTCTGTCTAGGCTACCCTATCATTGTTAGTGACCGGGGAGGGGGGCTGTGACGCGTCTTCATCTCTGCTGGCCTCCCGTCCCGATCATTTCCCCAGACACATGTAGTAACAATGTGTGTACTGGCCACCAATCCGACCTCTCTCGATCCCAACATAATTATGCTAAGACATGTCAACAATGCACATGTTGATGTAAAAGAAAGCTTCCGATTGGATGCATAAGGTGTGCACAATAGGGTAAGCTTGTAATGATTCTCAGAACAGGTGCGATCAACGGTCCCTCAGGATAGAGTCAATATTATAAGCTTCATTGCGGGTGAAAAATGCATGAAGCCGCATCAGCGGGGCTGATTGCCTTGCAAGCAAATTTTAAAAATTCGACCCTGGTCATTTACAGGTTTCTTGAATCCAAGTGATTAAAAAAAATTTCTATGAACAGAAAAACCCCCCAAGGATTCCGTCCCCTTTCGTTAAATCCAATTTTTGGTTGATTCGAGTTCACTGTAAAACAGAAATGGCTCAATCATGTAACACTTGGTTTCCAGTTTTTTTCTTGAATTCATGAACGGTTTTGTGTTAGGCTGAAATACCGATAGGGAACCAAACAATGTAGATTTATCTTAGCAAATTAATGTCAATTACAAAAATCAAAGAAGAGAAAAACTAAACAGAAACAGACACAAATCCACTCGATCATTCATCATTTATTCATCAATCTGACCATAAATTTTCAAAGTATTTCATCTTACAATATGATCAGAACACTGCTTTCAACAGAAATTCATGTAAGCTAAAACTATTCGAACTTTATTTCCTTTTTCAACACTCTTTGGTTATGTCTGATGAGACTTACAATGAGATACAGTGTACTATTACTGACCTGCAGACAAAGGATGACCGAAACACCAAGATTGTGCATTGATGAAGAGGTAGCTTTTAGCTTTTGTCTGTCCCCTGGGGAAGGGTGACTTAGCGTTTGGTACAGTGGTAAGACTCTTCCTTCTTGTCTGCAGAAGATGTGAGTTTGATTCCTGAGTTGGGAGTTTTTATAAATTTCATTGAGAATCTCAGTTTGTCTGCTGGAAGATGTATCCCTCTCAGCTCGGGTTTGCCTTGACATGCAGGGTCACAGCAGCAAACCCATATCCCAACCAAATGATTTAGATTGTGTCAAATTGGAGGTAAAACATTTTAAATTACTATTTTTCACATAGTATGGCAGCCTGTATGGCATTCAATCTGATTCTCATATTTTTATTTTCTGCCCACAACCAAGTATCCATTTAAAGTTAGGAGAACTGAAGAAAATAAAGAAAAAGGATCTTGCCCAAGGACATAAAGTCCTACCTCGTAGTAATAGAAATCAAACCCCTCTATCTTATCACTGTGCTGTAACAATGTGGCAAAGATATCCACATACGTCGGTCTGCAAAGTAAAGACAAAAATTGCATCAAGTTATGAAAATGTTCAATTTTAAAACAAAAATTGAAATCTCATTATCTTGCAAAAACAGGCCAGTGCATGACTTAAGCATCTTGGTAGAAATGTTCAATGGTTGTAGCTGAATCTTTACTGTTGTCAGGACGAACTGCGACAGACTTGAAGAATGGACAACATGTACTGCTTGAGGGCACTGGCAGCTGTGGAACAAAGTGTACAAAAACATATATTTAGATAGACTACTGGTGAAAAAAAAACCCAGCAGGGTTACAATACATTTTGGTGATTTTGAGATGTTTTTGTGTAAAAGTTTGGAAGCTCATATCTTCCAAACGCATTAAAAAACTTTCTCTCTTCATCTTAGTCTTAGTGTGGACCCTGCCCCTTTTCTCCCTTTAAAGGTAATGATATAATATGTTTAAACTTTGGTGTCATGAAACAGCCCTTGGGGTCAAATTAAAAGAAATGAAAATGTGACTTCGTTTTCATTCTTCCCCAACAATCTTCATCTGATGACAGGGAGGAACAGTCTGTGACTCCTTTAATAAAAAACCCAGAGGCTTCATGTAAAGAACAAAGTACCGGGCACTTAATTCCCATAATTTTCAAGAGTGTTTTCACAGCTTGCTACCTTGGCTTTGCTGTCAGTGTTGGTTTGAAAATACAGTCAAACCTGTGTAAGACGGCCACCCATTGTCAAGGAGAAAAGTGGCTGTATAAGACAGGTGGCCGTTTTAGGCAGGACTGATCAAGATGAAGAAAACAAACCCTATTCCAAATCGAAAGTAGCCGCATTATTGTTGTCTTTGTTGTTGTTGTTGGTTTGTATTTTGTTTGTTATTTTTATTTTAATGCTGATTTTGAGCAAAGGTGACAATAAAACGAAATGTGTCAGACAAGGAGGACCGAGTGCTATGGCAAAACAAACATATGGGTCGCCACCACTCGAAGAACGAGCGACGCCTCTGTCACAAGTCCACGTTGACGTCCATTGTTACTTTGTTGCAGCAGACTGGGTAAACAGTGACCACTCATCTCACTTACGATTTGTGTATGAGTTCTGGGCGGGGCTTATCGGTTATGAGGGATCACACGCTTCCCTCACCAGCAGCAGGAAATTGGTACCTATTGGTCAACAGTAGGAGGAGCCTACGCAACATGATTGGTTGGAAGGACTACCTACACACCAACAGGTGATTAGATTATGACGGCTCGCCCACAACGCCAAGGGTCAATGCACAATTTATGACAAAAAGTAATGGAGTCACTAAGGTGGCCGTCTAAGACAGGTGTAATTGCTTAGTGTGATAGGGGTTGTGTGTTAAAATATGGTGGCCGCGGCCACGTTGGACAGGTGCCCGTTTTACACAGTTAAATTATATAGACAAAAAGCAAGGGGAGGGAATGGAAAGTGGCCGTTTGTACAGGTGGCCGTCTTATAGAGGTGGCCGTCAGGGCAGGTTCGACTGTATAAATAACACACGTCATACATAAGTGGACTGTATTGAAAAGGTAGTTTACTCAAAGAACCCCGAGGAACTTTTAGCAACACATGTGTAACAGTCTCCAGTTAAGCGATATACAACTCCATTTTATATACATAATACTGAAAACACACGATAAAACATTCATTTTGTCAAGAGCTTCAACTGTCTACTGTTTGGTAATGAAAAAAAAAGAAACCTTTATTTCCTCTCGCTAGTATTTTTTAGCCAATTTTTTTTTGGGGGGAAACGTTAAAAAATATGTTATGGACTTCTTTAAGCCAATCTGTAACAAAACTGAAAGACTTTCGAGAGTCAAAAGTGATTTCTCTTCTCCCCAGTGGCCTAAAAATTGCTAAGTGAAATACTGCCAATTAGTAACTAATGTTGCACAAGAGGCCTGTTCACCCTTTTGACAAACTGCAGCACTTATAGTAATGACAATGAGGGGGCCACTGACCAATAAAATAATAATATATGAAGCACCTATATGCAAAACTCAGAGTGGGCTTGTCACATTTCAATGATATTATTAGTATTATGCTCTGACAGCAAAACAGGTTTCTTGAAAATTTTAACAAAGGGGAAAAAAATCCCTTCCATTCTGAAGAGATGAAAAGACACAACAGTTAACCCAACCCACAGTGCTTTTATACTATTTATAGAGTGTGCTGACCCTTGATTTTTTTAGCGACCCACAGATCAACCTCCACAACGGATTTAGATTTTTTTTAAAGAGTTGGCCTTTTTTTTTCAAGTTACACAACAGAACATAACACCATAAACATGTGAAAATAACTCTGAGAGAACAGAAAAATATCCTCACAAACTAACCATCACTATTTCTTTGCTTGACAGCTAACTCAAATGCACTTGCACCCTTTTTGTTTCTTGCAGTGATATCTGCCCCATGGTTGAGTAAAGTGTTGACACAGTCCACATGATTGTTGAATGCAGCATACATCAGAGGTGTAGCACCTGACTGAAGCAAGGAAGGACAAAAAGGAACTATAAACATCATTTCGTCGTTGGTCTCAACAGAATTTTGGATTTTATGAAGGCCATTGGCCTTTATGGGAAGTTATAGAAACAGAATTAAATTATGAAACATTTTTATGAAAGTTATTTTAGATTGAAAAAATATTTATTTACACCAAATTTTAAATATTTTAACGTTTTAAGATCAAATGATCCGTACTTAGCCGTGCAGTGAACAGCGAATAAAAAACTAACTTGTGTTTTGCGCGCTCATATGAACTTATGCAGTTGCGACACAGACCAGGGAATTTTTTTTAAACTTTAGTAAACTTGAGGATAGAGATGATAGAATCCTTAGCTTTAGATTCTGATTCGGGTGATGATTGAATTGAGAGTGATAGGCGTGATAAGAAAGACATAACTCGTAGATCTAAATTTACAGTGACATCAAAGAGGATGGCTGAAGATAAGAGAGTAAGGGGAAGTGCTAGGAAATGGAAGGGAAAGAAAGCCAAAAGAAGTGAAAATCAAGAGGATAATGACATGTCTAAATCTAAATCTAGACTTGGACATGTTAGTGTAACTTGGGAAAATTCTGATTCAATACAACTTTTGGTACAGTCCCAGTGATGTTACAAAATTGATAATAAAATCTGCTAGAAATGCACAATTTCATTATTTTTTGCATGAACATGAAGGGAACTGAATGCAACATTCATTTTATGAGTGCATAAAAAAAAAAAAATGAATTTCATTATTTATATTCAAAGTAGAAAATTTAGTCTATCTTTTTATTAGCTCACGTGTGATGGATGTGTTCTCTGACAAATATCAATTATGTCCTTTGCCTAATCAAATATTTTGCTACCCATTTCAATGCTACATTTTATTACCTTTCAAAATATGTATGACACTGCATACTTATTATTTCCCTTTACTTTCGAAAATCCTTCTCAAACATATACACCTATCATTCATGATCGGATGCACTGAGACAACCCAGTGAAAGCAGGTATAAAAATGGGCAGAGAATGAGGTAAGAGACAGAACCTTTGAAAGGAGCGAGCCAATTTGGTGGAGAGCCTTCAAGACTCCCCCCAAGAACCCAACTTTCAGAATGCCAAGTTAGTGATCCAAACTAGGGTCATCTAAACATTGTTCAGCATGATACCAACTGAGCTAACAGCGCACCCACATCCACATGTAAAACACGTTGCTAGCAGTCAGTACAAAAGGTTAGCAATTCGGTTGTCATTAACATTACATCAACATTACACTTATAAATTATATCAAGGAAAACTCAAGCCAAATGTCGCCATCCCCTCAAGTTCTAATTTGTGTTTGTACAGCTATAATAAGTTTTACTCAAATAAAACGCATGAGTCTTGTGAGAAAGAGTATTAAAATCTTATTACTTTGTCAGGAGCATTGACATCCTCTTCATGTCCAAGTAAAAGGTCAACAATATCCGAATGTCCGAAGCTACTCGCAACATGAATGGCACCAGCTCCATCCTTCCCTCTGTGACATACATCTGCACCATGGTCTAAAAGAGACACAACAGAAGGCAGCTGCCCATTTGCAGCTGCCCAGTGGAGTGGTGTTTGCTCATTTTCATCAAGAACGTTGACACTAGTGCCTGGGAAAAAAACCATCCAAGACTTTAAACAACATAATTAAAGATATTTAAATTTAATAATTACCTTCTGATTTGACTGAAAACAAAATGCTGTTTATCTTTTTAAATTATAATACTAAAACATTTCCTCGGTGCAAAACTAAGAAGATACAGGTATGTCTTTTCTTGACCCAGCACAATGATGTATCAATTTTCAATGCTCATTTTGTGCAATGATGATTGATGCTGGTTTCTTGTGACAAATTTCAAGGCTCGCTTTCTTCTCCTCAGCTTTGTCTAAAACATCATTTTGACAAATGGCACCAACAAAACTTGCACGTATCAAAAGGAGTCAATTATCCCATCTTGGTTATCAAATTTATAGTCAGGTCATCTATTTATCTTGTTAAGATTAAGCAGGCCTATATTACAGAAATTGAGACCACAAATTCATAAAGAGCAGCAAACTGTCTTTGTGTGTGTATGCAAGTATTGCAAGTCTATTTGACTATGTGCATGTGCTTATGACTGTGATGTGTATGCATGTTACGGTAGTGTTTGTGAAGGAAGGTGTGAACAATGAGCGGAGTACAGGCTATTAAGCACATTCTGTTACCTTTTATTGCATGCAAGTTATGGGTTTGAAATAAAAATAATTGTTTTTGGTATTTGATGCACACTCAAGTACTGTCATACAATCTTCATTACTAGGAACAGTTGATTTATCTGTAATAAACAGAGGATTTATTCTTGTAAAAAAAAAAGAAAATTTATTAGGGCACTTATTTTAGAAACATTATTGATAAGAAAAAGTCTCCACATACAGTAAAACCTCGATAACCCCCCCCCCCCTCCCCTTGTAATACCAGCCCTGTTTACTGCCAGGTTTTGCCAATGTACAAAAAGGAACACCAATACAAACATAGTACTTGCACCGTTACACCACCATCCGCCATCTGTCCGAATTGTAGGATCCTTATTAAGCTAAGGTAAGTTTGTCCCCCCATTACTGCCAGCCAACTGGCCACCAGAGGTACACACCAAACACGGCACCTACTTGGTGGCTGCTTAATAATCTCTTTCTCACAAACGTCTCTGCTGTGAGCTCTACTAATTTATAGCATTTGTCATTAATTTGCTCCTAACTTGCTGAGTATGAAAATGTAATCATTTTTAGCGTTTGGCCGATATTCTAAAAAATGGAATGATTGAAAGTCACCGGAAAAAACTTCACCAAAGGAACTGCATCACCTCAGCCTGCCAGCAAAATATCTGGCGACACAAGGGCTGATGAGATTCGGGAAAAAAACCCCAACCCGTATGTCTACAGGGTCCTTGACATATATGGCCTAGCTTCTGATCCTAGTATTCCTAGCTTCACTTTTGAATTTTTGTAAAGTTAAGCTGGGGGCGCTCATGTCGCTACTAGTTTTTCCCCTGAGCAAGGCAACCCCTGCAAGACTACTCTAGATTAGACTGGCCAGTTTTTTTTTCTAGTCTCTACCAGTCTGCCACTAGTCAAAATGGCAACCCGCGCTATCCATTTATACTGCCAGCCCCGCTGTACCACCAACTTTATAATTGTCCCAAGGTAGGCAGTATAATAACTATATATTCTATAAGAAGAGACACAAGTAAGAACAATAGAAAAAGAAGGGGTAAGCAGGTGAAAAGAGAGGGAAAGAAAGGGGGAGGGAAGGGACAGTATGCAAGGGAAAAAATCTTAAACAGAGAAGAGAGAGAAAAAGAGGGATAAAGAAAGAGAATGAGTCAGAGAAAAGGGGTGGTGAGTAGGATGGGAAAGGGTGACAAGGAGATGGAGAGGGAGAGAGAAAGAGAGAGCGAGAGAGAGGGGGGAGAGAGGAGGGAGAGAGAGAGAAGGAGAGAAACTGGAATAAGGAGAGGAAGAGGGAGGGAGAGAGAGAGAGGGGAGACAGATCTAAAAAGTTACCTCTAGCCACTTCATGAGACAAGAGTTCTACTTCTCCTTTAGCAGCAAGATCATGTAGCGTGACGACTGTTGACAAAAATGTAATTATTTACATAAACTATACGAAAAGAGACAAATGGGCATGAAAACCATGTGCTTGAATTTGAGTACGGTATGAAAAACACAAAACAATGTACAATTTTTACGTTGAAACTGTGACACAATTTCCCTCCCTGAAACACTGGCAACATCTTTTTCATACTTTTGATAAGTTTACATCTTCAGTGCTTTTCTGCAGTTATGACCCTGACTTTTGACAGCCATCCCCACATCTCTTAAATGCACGTCAAACCTTGAAAAGTTTGAATTTAATTTGAGATTTAGTAAGTTTTACGGCACTTGCAACACAATAAAGTCAAATAAGGGTCAAAGATGATATATTTCTTCTTCTTTTCCTTCCCCTGTTAGATCTTAGGGGTAGTCGACTGCTGGTTTTTTATATATATATAACCAGCAGTCGACTACCCCTAAGATCATATATATATATATATAATATATATATATATATATCTGTTTTAATTTTTTGTACCCCATTAGATTGAGAGCCTACTTGAGAAAGTAATAGTCTGGAGAATCCACATTCAACAAAGAGTTAATTTCCCAATGCAACCAAGTTGTTAAAACACCCACCCTTTTTTAAAAGAGTTTGGTTATCTGAGAAATATATATGTGGCCTAAAAAAGGTAAGTTGGGAGGAAAGCTTATATAGGCCATATGTGGCCTAAAAAAGGTTAGGTCGGGAGGGGGGGTAGCTTATATAGGCCATATGTGGCCTAAATAAGGTTAGGTAGGGGGTATAGCTTCTGCAGGCCATACATGACTGTTTTTTCTTCTTAGTAGGCAGCCATATTCCGATTTTGAAGGTACTTTATAATATGTTTTTATACTGAGTAGAATATTTTCAGTTTTGGCTGGAATTAATTTGGAATTTTGCTCGGGTTGCAGCCTTAGCCAACTCCTTTATCAATTTTTCGACCATCAAAGGATCTTCAACGAGCGCAACTTGCACAAGGGATCTTCGAGATTTTTCACCTTTATCCAAGAAGGCTAGGTGTTAGATCTTATGTACCCTAAGATCACGGGTGTGGCTGAAAGACAGCAGCAAAAAGGAGCTGATTAGATGTTTTAAAAGAGCGAAACAAACACAAAAAAAGAAGGAGGAGAGATAAGGCCCATAAATGTTTGATAGGAAAGGAGCAAGCCACTCCAGAGCACTCTCCAACCACCCACAAACTTTGGAAAGACTGAAACCAGATTTTCAAAATACGTCCAATACCTTTGATTAACCATATCCGTACGTCATGTTTTACTATCATGGGGAACCTGTGCCACCACTTTCCAAAGAGGAAATTTGCACGTTACACGTTAATCCGATCTGTATGCTTTGCATAGCAGTCTGTCAAAATGATTTTTTGAGAAATACTGAAAGTTTCAAAGAGATCTTCGTACTAGAAGTATTTTAAAATGTGAAGAATACAACCCCGGGGGTACAAAATGACCCTAGGGCGTACGGATAGGGTTAACGTTACCAATATCAGCTAAGGACACAGACAACAAGATATTATTATAGATGCATTAACCAAATTAACCAATTTAAGCTTGCAACAAAAAAAATAAAAAAATAGGAGGGTGGATAAACAGACAGACAAACAATGGTGAATTCAAACTTCTATCTCTATTCATGTTTTTTCTTAACAGAGGAACATTTATAACTCACACATCTGTCCCTTGTAAACAGAAGATGTATTCCACAGCTCATTTGTATTGCCATCACACACCTTGAGAAGCAAATTGGTAAAATATAAAGAAAATTTAAAGAAACCAGTACATAGTAGAGTAAAATACTATTTCCTCCAATTTATGATTTAAAACAGTGCACAAGTAAAAAGCTGATTGATTTCTTTGTTAAATTAACCATATGACCTCATAGTATACTCTTCTGTTGTCTCCATTCACCATTATCTTGTTTTATGGGTGATCAAGTCTAGGCCAATTCTTCACATCTAAGTCAATTCCAATTTGTGTAATTTTCTGTAGCAAAAGCACAAAATCAATAAGGTCCCCTCCTAATTATGAAAGTAAATGAATAAAAACCTAATCCCCAAAGTTGATCTCAGTGACCAAGTGAACATCATAGAGGGGGGGGGGGCTCTTGTGGCCTATAGGTTAAGGTGTTTGCCTCTCATTCAATAGGTCTCGGGTTCAAATCCGGATAGCGACATAAATTTTTCTTCTTTAAATTGTCTCCTTTCACTTCCTTTCCTGCTTTCATGCAATGTCCTGTCGTCTGCTTTAGTCTCCACTTTCTGCCCCCATCCCCCTTCCTCTGGACTCCTGACTCTTACTACAGCCTTTCTACTGCCACTCCTTAGCTCTTTCTTACTGCTATCTTTCAGCTACACCCCTGATCTTATGGCAGGAAAGATCTCCACCTAGCCTTCTCGGACAAGGGCGAAAAATCTCGGAGGTCCCATGTGCAAGTTGAGCACATTAAAGATCCCTTGGTGGTCCAAAATCGATAAGAGTAGGCTTCTGCCGCCGCCCGGGCAAAATTCAAAATTTCCTACCAACTGAAAATGTAGAATGTGTCCCGCGCGCTCATATGACCTTATGCATTTGCTAGCGCTGTAAAACACTTACCTAAAAAAAACCCCAACTCATTATATATTTATATATATAAAATCAAAGGCGCACTTTCAGTAACAGTGTTCTCTTCATAATGTTACAAAGGTAATTTCCAATACACCTATTTCATTTTGGGTACTTGTGCATCATCACAATTCAGTTGTCATACCAATGCAGTGTTCTTATCGCAACCCCACCTCTACTATATTTTTTCTTTGTCCTTTGTAGTTTCCATCTTCTCCCACTTCTTAAACACACATGACATTTTAAAAAATTAGACAAATAAATCTCTCTCATGCATACAAACATCTCAGACACATACACCACACAGACATCATCATCATCACGGTATGGCAGATCTTAAACAGACATCGGCGATCATTGGTTGCCACTCGCTTTCTTTGCTTGGAATCTCTTAAAAAAACTAATGTATGTTGTTCTTGTCTTTCCCCGTCACCCATCTCTTTAAGTTCAGTAAGTAAGTTGTTCATTGTCTATCCCTGCCTCTTATGCCGTTTCGTTTTCCAGTGCGAGCAAAATGTCCTATAAGTACTACAAGACATTTCAGGTCAATTTAAGTCTGCATTTGTCTCTCCCTCATTGTTTTTATATAATTAGGCGGCCCACTAGGGCTTCTTTCAGCAATACCTCATTTAGTTTCTTTTTCTCTCATGAAACTCGAAACAACCTTCCTTGAAACTACATTGCCATTGCTTTAAGTTCATTTTTTCTATCTTTGGAAATTGTCCAGCATTCACAGCCATATATCAGGGAATGGGATGTAAACAGGTTTTGAAAAAAAAGCCGGAAAATATACGGCGCGTGCACTGACTGAAATAAGAATACAGTTGGACTAAATTATATTTGTTTCTTTCCCTCTATTACAACAAATAATCTCTATTTAGTATATATAAATGTATTGTTTATAGTAAGACTTTTGTTAAAAGCTGGGGCCCAAGTGCAAGTCAGCTGGAAAAAACGGAAAAAGCAGGAATATTTACATTCCTGATATATAGAAAGATTGACCATACATAATTAAGCTAGATCTAATAGCCTTTTAAAACTCTTATTGTGGTTGTCATCGAACTTCTCTTTCACCAGTAAACAAATTATTACCAGACTGGAAGAACCTTTGATGCTTGAATCAGATTCACCTGGGAGAAAAAAATAGATAAATGAAAAAAAAATATGTATGAGCCCTTTGAAATATTATGCTTACAGAATGAGCAGTTTGCATTATAATTGGTCGCTTTTAATTGTAAGGATGAGCAGGCTAACTCAGATTTCGGGGGTTTCCAGAAATCTTGACCTACACCAAAAATGGGCATTGCCCTACCTATAGGAGAAGTTTGGTTTAATTGGTGTGTATACTTGTTTGGTTACAGAGGAAACTCTCCTTGTATGTTAAAGAAACTGAATAAGGGTCCAAAAACTGTACCTTCTATTTTCTCAAAACAGCATTTTGCGGGATAGCCCCCTAGTGCTTAAAAGTGACCAATTATGACATGTCATTGGGAAAGCCAGCACAGTCAAAGGGAAATAGACATGGAAACAGGGAGAGAAACTGCACTACGCTTACCTTATGCCATGATTTCTAATAATCGTAATACATGTACTACCACTACTACTACTAATGATTAGTAGATTTCTATAACGCCCACTTCCCAATTGGACCTTTCGGGGGTGAGGGGGTAAGGGTTTTACGGCGCTCGCAACTGCATAAGGTCATTTGAGCGTGCAGGACACACCTAACATTTTCAGTTGGTAGGAAATTTTAAATTTTGCCCGAGTGGCTGCCAAAGCCTACTCTTATTGATTTTGGATTTTTTATGTAAAATATTTTTGAGATCAGTGGGAAAAAGGAGAAAGTTAAACACAAAGGCAGTCTGAGGACAGTAATAGTAATATTTATTTTGTCATTGGGTAAAGGACCCAAAATGTTCCATCCTCTCAACTCTTAATCTTAAGGTACCTTATAAAAACATTCCTTCTTCCTGTAAGCCTATGTTGAATCATTTTTTGGGGAAGAATTCCATAACGAGCGACCACTATGAAATAGAGTATAGAATAGAGGGTTTAGGGTTCAGGCTAGGGTTAGGGGTATGGCCAGAGGGGAAACAGTGAACTCATCACACAGCGAGGTCGGCACAGCTGAAAAACGCGTGGCAAGTTCACCGAAAAAAAAGTATCTGTATATACAGTGAACTCATCGCACCAACTCCTCCGTGTAAACAACGGTTGGCAACGTTCGGCCTTGATGGGCAAGATATTTCTGCTGTACTTAGTTACTTCACAATGTCTCTCTCTCTCTCTCTGTCTTTCTCTGTCTCTCAGAAAGGTTGACAGGTGTAGATTTTGATTGAATAAAACTCTAGTTTTGTATTTTAAAAATATTATTAATTAAAGGTTGACATGTGTGGGTTTGCCTGCCAATCCACAGTGAACTCGCCACACGTTTTTCACAAGTTCAAGTATGTGACAAGATAACTGTGACGAGGTCTGTAACGACTTCACCGTGTGACGAGTTAACTGGAAGCCGCTCAGAGTTAGGGTTAGGCCTCTTCTTTATTGTGTTTGTTGGGGCTGTCGCTTGTAGCGGAAGTCCTTCCTATTTTGGTTCACACAGTAATTGCAATGTATGAGAATGTCACATGTTTGATAGGGACTTTTGCCAATACTACTCTTAGTTTCGAAAATAAACTAAAACTGCGATGGCAGATATGACGTCAATCCACTTGCGGCTTTAAAAGATTGTTCCCAAAAATCATTCCGACTGTTCAAAAAGCCAAATTTTAGAATTAAATAGCGGCAATAGAAACTTTCCACTTTGTTTTTTGTAACTGCGCCGTAGTTCACTTGAGTAAGAGAGCGAAATTTTGCACATCACTCACCATGTACTCAACCATGACTCCACGTTGCTCTTTTACCTGAACAAAAATTTAACCATGCGGTCACGTGACCCACATACAAATTAACATGTTTTGTAACTTATTTTCCGCCGAAATTATGAAATCATCTAAATTGTCTTTAGATCAACACATCAGCGATTTTAGAACCGAAAAAACAAGTTATTAAGGCATTTCAGCTGGCTTTTGCTGACTTAAATTGCTTTACAAGATGCCAAGGTTAAGCCTTGAGGAGCGCGGTTGGACAATTTGAACACTCCAAGCTGTACTATGGGCCCGTAGAGTGGCGTGAAAGCTTCATTGCTCCCATCCTACCATTAATATCCTCAAAGATTAGTTCCAAGTCACTAGAGTTACACCTGACAGATCCAGACCAGGCAGACCATGGGTCGATACCGTCCAAGAAGACAGACAAACACTGCTCAGGTATCTTTGAGATCACTTTCTCACAATGACCAGCTCTGCACGTCAATTTCATACAAACACTGAAAGAGTTCAGCGATAGAAGGATACAACGGCGTTAAAACACATTCGGACATTGAGAAAGACCAACATTTGCCATCTTTCAATCACGCTTGAACAGACTGAGCCTAAAAGGTAGTTCCTAAAACGACAGTAAGATTGTGCAACGACTGGAAGCTTTGATTCAAGAGTGGAATGAACTGCCACAACAATTAATTAAAATAAGAAACAAAAAACTGACTTGATTAATGCGCAGAACATACCAAGCTTGCCTCATTGCAAAGGGCTACAATGCCCACTACTGACATGAAATTTTGAAATCAAGGGGTACACGTTTGTGCTTAACACTGTGCCACAATATGACACTTGATCAAGAAGAAAAAGGTAAAACACTTCTTGACATTATACTTTAAAAATATGTCTGTGTCTGTTTGTGTTTTTATATGTTGAAGAATAACCACAATACAGGCTTCTTTCCAGGTGGACAATTTCTATTGCCGCTGAGTATACAATGCAAAATAAAGTTTAAAAAACAATTTTTTACCATCAGCCAACAAGACTGTTTCCACTTCCAAGTCATTCGACTCTTGGTCAACATCCATACTCAAAATGATCTTGCTACTCTTCCTGCCTCTGTCAATCTGCCCAGGGGCTTGTTGGGAAGACATTTCACGTATCTGCATGATGAGAAGAAAATCATATCATGACAGCTAGAGTCAAGTTCAGAGATGAGTACTGTTGTAGAATTGATTTAATTGCAGGACAGTCCCACTTAAAAGGTAAAAAAGCAAAGGTAGGTAGGCAAGAGACATTATATATATATATATATATAACAATGACAGTGTAACAGGAGTGTAGTAATCTCATCATGACATTTTATATATGCTGTACTTTTAACTTAAATCTACATGACATTAGCCGGTAGCTGTAGCCTGCCTTGGCTACAGTTCAACTCTCTTGACTCTTGCCCACACATGTATACAGTCAGTACTACAGTACAGTGTATTTGAGTGTAGTACAGTCTTATAGTCCAGGCCAGGACAAGCAAGAAGCTCACCTAAGGCCTTAGTAAAGCCTAAGGCAAGCAGGTGCCCGTTGACGCCGTTGTTTGGATGGTTGGGACTGGGAATCTCACCTTACGGCACCTACAAAAAGAAATCATCGCTAAATTTAGATCTATGCTCATGTAATTTTTGGGCTGCAAGTGCGCTGTACAATTGTGTATTCAGGGACAGAACAAAAACCCATCAACTGAGTACTGGTAATGCTTATATAATACCAGAGACCTGGCAATGCAATTGCAATGAAGGCACAGAATTCTGTGAATGAAGGCTAAGCTAGCCTCACATGCGGCTAGCAGCAGCCCGTCAGCCAGAAGCTGATTGGCTGTGGGTAAGCTAGTGGTGCTCTGATTGGCTGTGG